CCAGTGGCCACCGAACCTGAAAGGTACTTGGGCGTCAACTTCACCAAGCAGGGCATCTACTCCAAGTTCAAGACTCTCATCAGCTCCCTCCGCGGCAGACTCTCGCTCTTCAAGTCTGAAAGCACCACACTGCGGTCCAAGGTTGCAGCTCTCAAGTCTTACGCCCTCCCCCCTCTGATGTACCACTTCTATCTGGACTCACCGACCAAGTGGCAGATCAAGAAGATCGAAAACCTCACCAAATGGTTCATCTCAGCCCCCAAGACCACCGCCTACGGCTCCAGCTTCATCAACACGATGGCACTGGACCGCGCCAGCTTCCATTGGGATCAAGGTGGCCTCAACCTCTGGGACATTGGGCTCAGATCAATTGCCTACAAGGTATGGGTGTTCAATCGTTTCCTCAACACCCCAGCCCATCTCACCCATGGCTACCTGGACTCGTGGAGAACTCAACACCGCAACGCCAGGAAGCGCCTGGGAGGCAAGTTCACTGGCCTCTTCCGCAAGTTCCACACACTTTGGATGGAGTTCCGCTCCGCCCACCTCTCCAGCCATAGCGACAAGGTACCTCTCTTGGATAGCAATGGTGTCACCCTCAGTCTGAAAGACATCTATGCCATCCTCTGGAAGGCAAAGTATGGCTCAATCAGACTGACCGAGGGTCAATGGCAGCTCAGTGTCTTCCACGGCCTCAAGCTCCCAGACATCTTCAAGGTCATCAGCACCCTGAGAGGACCATCCTCGCGTAACGCCCTCTTCAGGTTCTTCTCCCATACCCTCCCAATCAACCATATGAGAGCAGACGCTGACTGTACCCTCTGTGGCAACTCCTGTACAGACCAACCCTACAATCACTTCTTCTTTGACTGCAGCAAAGTGGCAACCCAAGAAGCCATGCGCCCAGCCTTAGACTTGGTGAAGCAACGCTCTGGTATCAATGTCAGAGAATGGAACATCAAAGCACTGGACATCTCCACGAAGTCTCGTCGCCCCAACCTTCCATTCATCCACCTCATGGCAATCATCGTCAACTACCTCTGGCACTACATCGCCAACCACCTCTTTGGCAACAAGGAGGCCCTGTTGGCCAAGCTCAGCTTGGTGTGCATCACATCCTTCAAGTCCCTCCTCCGCCAGGAGTGGCGCTCCCTCATGTCCACGCTCACGAGTCACATCCTGGCCGGACGACCAGTCAACATCAAGAATGAGATGGCCGAGTTCACTACCATGTGGCACCTCAGCACTCGCAACAGCGACATCCGTCTTCCGCCTCTGCCGCCAACTATCAACAAATACTTGGTGGCCGAATTCAGAGGCCTACAGTAGAAAAGAAAAGAAAGAAAAAAATCAAGAAAATTCAAAATCGACTAACTTATATATATTATCCCGCCTCTTCAATGACGCCAATTTATTTGCAATAATAATAAACTTCCACTCTAGTCAAAAAAAAAAAAAAAAAATGAAGATTATCCCTCAACAATGGAACGATCTTCTAATTACCTCTTCTAGAAAATTCAAAGTAAATAAAAAAACCGAACCTTTAATTAATTTAGTTTTAAATTGAACAAAACGAATCGGGGAATTTAATTTAGCCATACGACATGAACATCTTCACCACCTCATTAATCAAACACACACATACAGACAGAAATTATAAACAAATACAGTAATAACATATTATTATATGTAAATGAAACCATACATTGTGATAAATGAAACTCACAGAAAACACAAAAGGAGATAAGAAGAAGGAGGATATAAGTATCAATCAAATGTCAACAGACAAGACATCAACACCATCATCACCAATATCAGGTGCTGATACAACAACAACAACATCATCATCATCATTATCATGTCATTTCAATACAACAAAGAGATCACCATTAACAACTGCACAATGGGTATATTTGTTGGTGGCACAAGGTGTCGTGGCAGGCATCGTCAACTTCTTTGTCAATCTCTTCATCACATGGATCATCTACTCTAAGGAGTCTGGTGCACTGATCGACTTTTCAGGCCAACTGACCTGCATCCTATCCGATATCATCGTCACATCATTCCTTCTACCCGTGATCATGTGTCTAATTGGTTCAATTCTAGTCACACTCGATCTTCGCAAAGGCAAACTGATCAAGCCAATCGATAGACGATGGTTAGACTCTGCATTTGTCTGTTGGATACCTCAAGGTATGTATGATTGATTGAGTTGAAGTCGACATCACTAACCTCTCATTCATCATCATCATTTAGGTATATATTATAGATGTATATTACTACGAGCTGTTATATTTGGAATGCTTGGAGTGTTGTTGTTCGCTCCACCTACACTTATTGCATTGTTTTTGGCGACAAGACCTGGAGGAGGAGACATGCTCATCAAGTGGACGTTCTATATATTCAAAGGATCATGGTGTGCACTGTTTGCATTCGTAGTGGCACCTTGTATAGCATTCATTCTGGCGGCATCTTATGAGCCCAATCAATCTTTCCTCAGACGGACATCATATTCACCATCATCGCCGTCGTCGATATCCTTATCACCATCATCAGACAACAAGGTTTAAACTTAACAAACCAAACCAAACTCATTCAGTCCAGCGACCAAACCAAAGAGGTCGTTCGATCGTCAGACATACCATATAATGTACATTGTGTATCCTTTGGGAGAAGTAAACATGGGCGTCACTCATTCATACTTGACGTCCCCAACGAGACTCAATCATATAATTGGGTCTCTAACTAACTAACTAACTTGACATGTCTTACTTGCGAAAATATCTCTTTGCTTTGTTTGTTTATTGAGCATTGGTCGGATGTGGCTGATGTTGCTGCTGGTTCTGCTGATTCTGCTGGTTCTGCTGGTTCTGTTGCTGTTGTTGTTGCTGCTGGAGCATACGCTGTTGGTATAACTTCTGTTGATATATCTGTGGAAGATAGATGTGATCGTTGTACAATCTCCATTTACCACCACACAGTGGACATGCCAACGACCAGCGATCAGACCAGAACAATGGAGTGGAACGTCGTAGAATTGTCATACGATGACATCGGGTACACTTCTTGATGGGCTTCTCTGTTCTTGGAGGTATAGGTATACGTGTGATAATGTCGTGAGCAATGTTGATGTAGTCTGAGCTCTTGGGAGAGTACTTGAAGTGGACTGGCGTGTCTGCCAGTTGAGCGGATGCAGTGGCCGCTGCCACATTCTGATGATTGGCAGAGACAATCGCAGGTGTTGTAGTTGTGGAGGAGGTGGACGACGAGGATGAGGATGTCGTTGATGTCTGGGGCACAGGGTTCTGATCGAGGAAGCCATCCAGGGGTGGGTCCAAATCGAGCATGGTGAATGAGTTGGTGATTGTTATCTCTGATGTATCCTTGGCCACCTTTTGTGGCACATGTTTCTTGATCAACTCTATCAACTCCTCTGTGAGTGTTGGTAAACGATCCGAAGTGAACGACTTGAATGTTGTCATTGGTGACGTCAATGTCTGATCAGAGCTGATGATACCCGGGTATATACCATCGATCCAGGTGTGAACTTGTGATTGTTCCTTGGCTATGGTAATTGATTGATTGATTGATGTTAGACTCATGCCGTGGACTGGCTGCCAATGTGACTTACGATCTACAGTCTTTAAACAAAGGTCCTTCAAAAGTGGAGTGAGGATATCGATGGCCAAGCGTATATCCTCCAACTTGAACTTTGGTGAGTGGTAGCCACTTGCCTTGGGTACCTCTGGGTTCTTCTCCTTGAATGCCTTTGCATAGCATAATAGTTCAAACAATGATAACATCGTGTTGATATCATAGAATAGACTGATCTGTTGATGGTTATTGCGGTGATGCGAGTTAGCAACGTGTTTGAGGAAAGGAACATCCCCTGTACCATTACAACTTACAAATGGAAATGAGAACTGCTTTGATGGCTTGATCTCAAGGTAGTGCAGTGGGAAGTAGTTTGATACTTCAATGCCAAGGTACTCTGTAGGTAGATTGAATTGGAATGCAGAGTCTTTGAGGATGTAGGTGGCGTAGAAGGAGTTCTTGAGGAAGAAGTTGGTGAACTCGATGGCCCAGTCGATGAGGTAGCCAATGTTCTCCTTGTCCTCTGTGTTGCGCTGTTCTTGACTCAGCGCGAGGTAGGACGACTTGATCGTGTCCAGCAGATAGATGATGAATGCTTTGGCCTGTGAGTCGATAAAGGCCAACTCCTTACCATGCACGATTCGATATATTGATGCACGGATCGCGTCCAGTGTGGACCTGAACTGTAGCAGTAGCCCCGATGCTGAGAGTAGATTGCACTCCATCGATAGCTTTGTGATCACGTGATGGAAGGTGTCTTGTGTGTCGTTCGACGCAGAGTAGATGCGTAGCGCGATCAGGATGTCCCACCAATCAGTGGAGCGCAGTATAGAGTACTGTAGCAGCTGGCTCAGCCAGTTCGCCACGGCCGACTTGGAGCATGTCAGTTTGCGGATGGGCAGCGACACCAATTGAAGCCTGTTTGTGTTTGTTAGACAAGCGGCCAGACATCCATTTGGCGATGGCGCCAGCGAGATACCCTGTTCGTTGGGCGCTCTGTTTGGCAGTTGTGCATTGATGATTCGTTCAAACGTCTTGCTGCTGACGACCTCGACACTGCCACATTGGAAGTTTATCCAGATCACGCCAGTGATGTTTGAAAAGTGCAGCGATGATACAATCGGAGCTGTGTTGATTGATGATGATGACGACGAGGTGGCAGTGTTCGATCTCTTCTTTCTGAAGAAGGCGCGCTTGTGTGTGCATGCCCACTCGGGCACCTTGTGACTCTGATTGTTGGTGAACAACGATTGGATGGCCAGATGCTGTGATGGATGCTGCTCGCTCTTCTCCCATCTATACAGGATGCAACAATCTACTCCACTCTTGGCAATGATCAGTGACGTCTCTGAGTTATCAAAGTATATCGATGTCACCTTCAAGTTGCGCTTTGACTTTAATATCATCTGATCAGTCTCTACATAATCCGATAAGTGTATCTTGTCACATGTATATACTCCAATGGCTGTATAGATATATATAGGTTAGTGTGTGATGTGAGGGAGGGAGGACACTCAATCAAGTATACTTACACTTTGAATAAAAGTCATATGTTACATTGTAGAGGAATATGACGTTTCCAAGTCGTTCAGAGTGAATGGCGATCATGATAGAGTCATCCTTGGTCGATATAATGTCAGCACAGTCGATTGAGTAGTACATTGGGATACCAATATCCCCTGTGATATGCTTCCATGTCGTCTCCAATAAGTTGTAAGTGACAATATGTATCTGTTAAAGGGTGGCGAGAGCGTGAGTGATGCATCCTGATAAATGAGCGAATGATGGTACATACCTTTCCATCCTTGGAGAGAGTGACAAAGGATTGTGTAACGATCTCATTGGTCGGGTTGTCGACGAATAGTCGCATGGGAGATGGTGGCAACATGGCGCCTTCTTCGGGACGATCGATTGGAGGATAGGATGACGGCAGGACGGGACAGTTGAGAGACATCCAGCGACTTAGGAGGAGGTAGGGAGTGTTGAGCGGGTGTGAGCCGAGCTCGGCCCACTCGTCCAAGTTGTCAACCTTTCGATACAAGCATATGTTGTTATGCATGTCGACTGACATGAGCAGACTGCCCTGTGATTGATTGGACCATTCCAAATACTTGATGCAGCTGGTGTGCTTGGTCTGTATCAGCATGACCTCATGCGGTAGGTCCACCCTGACCACGTTAATATAGAAGAAGTCTTGCTTATTATTATTATTGTTGTTTCTATTGTGTTGTTGCTGTTGTTGTTGTTGTTGTTGTTGTTGGTCATCGGAGATGTCGGACATGCATGTATCAAATAGGTTACGTTGTTGATTGAGTACGAATGCGATAAAGTTGTCGGATGACCATGCAACCAACTGTACAGAGGACGATGAGTTGACAATTGGCAAGAGATGACGATACTCTGTGTCAGTCCAATCATTCTTCATCGTCATGAATGACAGTGGATCATCGTCAATCATCATTGAGCCGCCGCCACTGCTTTGACCATTGATACCGCCGCCTTTACTATTTACTATATTGAAATCTGTCATCATCTCACTATCATCCATTATCTCATCTGTATCTGTTTCTGTATTATGATGACCATTGATTGATATCGATGTCGATGTTGATGTAGATGTCGTTGCTTTTGTCGCTGTCACTGATGTTACAACTGGTGAAGATAATGGTGATTGTGATGATGATGTCTCGTTGACATGTTGCAGCTGGCTCTGCAAGCCATCATCCTTCATCTTTATCGACCAAACTGAGTCCATTGCTTTGCTTGAATCAAAGATGTATATTTGTTTGATTGATTGTTTGATTGTTTGATTGATCTTAAGTATATATAGAGATATATATAATGTATATGTATATATATATATTACAATGTACACCTTAAATTGAAGGTAGTAATAATGATCAACTTCACCACCTTTGTGTAAAAGCACCCTTCACCCCATCATTCAACCAGAACCACCCACATTCCTTAAAAAGGTTCATTCCATCACTTATCTCTTCATCTTCAGATTCATGTTATACATCTTTAACATTGTTCAATCAATGTTCATTTGTTGTTATACAGATAGAGATACATAACATACATATATTTATATATTTAGTAATAGTCGAGGTCAACTCCCAATCCACAGACAGTGGTGGAACCAACATATTGCTTGGCGTGTGGCTTGGTCCAACCTCCGAAGGAGCTAAAGTCCGAGAAGGATGGGCTGTTGTCATAGTGAGCGTACCAGAGTGGAAGAGCCTTGCCACCATCCCAGCTACCCATGATTGGCTCCCATTGTGAGGCAGAGGTGTAGACACCAACCTTGACGCCTGCGGTCTTGGCGCCTGCCAGCATTGAGTTGAAAAAGTTGCGGTTGTCAGTGTGGCTGCTGCTCCAGTACGTGCCGGGTCCCTCAATGTCGAACCAGACCATTCCAATAGTGGCCTTGTATGACTTTAGGTACTTGACCATCTCCTCGACCTGACCGGCACCATTTCCACAGCTGGTGCATGGGAAGATGTAAGCGTCCACGTTGGTAATACCAGCAGCTCTGGCATTCAAGATTGAATGTGGACCATTGGTGTCGACACGACCAAGAGACTCATATCCCTAAGGGGTTGGTAAAGAATGATTTGTTAGTGTTATTGATTAGACTACTGGCATTACTTTTATACATACTCTAACAACAACCCAACTGTGACCATCAGACTTTAGACACTTGAACTCATCGACTGTGGAACCAGCAGAGATGTCTACACCCTTGGACGAGAGAACAACAGCAGTCTGGACAATAACCAATGACAGTATAATTGCAGTGTACTTGAACATGTTATAAGTATGTATTTATATATAATATTGATTTGAATCAAAGATAATGAATGGAATTTCATTGATGTAGAGAGTACCAAGGTACCAATGGACCTTGAGGCCCAATCACACCCACGAAAGTCCCAACAAATATCTTCTTTGTATCGATCAAAAAAAAATATCCAACCTTGTGAAAGATAAGGCACGTGATCATTATTTGACCAGGTGATCATTCCTGGTTCGCAACCAAAGGAGATGGAGACAACCTTTTCTTCATTACCAGGTGCGGATGTTTAGGGGTTCCACCAATCAATCCCAAGATTGAATCCCCAACAAGTATCCTGTTCAATCTTAAAGAATCGTCGTTTATTCAATTTGAAGTGCGCACTTAGTAGTAGTCCAAGTCGACACCCAATCCACAGACGGTGGTAGAACCAACGTATTGCTTGGCGTATGGCTTGGACCAGCCACCGAACGAGGTGAAGTCCGAGAAGGATGGGTTGTTGTCATAGTGAGCGTACCAGAGTGGCAGAGCCTTTCCACCATCCCAGCTGCCCATGATTGGCTCCCACTGCGAGGCAGAGGTGTAGACACCGACAGAGACACCAGCCTGCTTGGCTCCCTCGAGCATTGAGTTGAAGAAAGCCTGGTTATCAGCGTGGCTGTTGCTCCAGTACGTTCCGGGTCCCTCAATATCGAACCAGACTCTTCCGACGGTAGCCTTGTATGACTTGATGTAGTTGACCATTGCAACGACTTGACCAGCACCATTGCCGCAGCTGGTGCATGGGAAGATGTAAGCATCGACGTCAGTAATACCTCCATCCTTGGCGTTGTAGATTGAGTGTGGGCAGTTGGAGTCAACACGACCAAGTGACTCGTAACACTAAAGTAAGTTGGGAATGGAAAGGAAGTTGAGTATGCTACTTGGTTGATTGATTGACTGATTGAACTTACTCTGATCACAACCCAGCTGTAGCCATCACCCTTGAGACACTTAAAGTCATCAATAGTGGATGAAACTGAGATATCAACACCCTTTGAGGAGAAGACAACGGAGACCTGGATAAGTACCAGTGCCAAGATAACAGCGGAAAGTTTAGTGTACATGTTTGTGTGTATATATTATATCTATGTAAGTATTTCTATCAATCTAAGACCGAATTTGAGGCATAAATGGTGATGGTATGCGAGAGTACCAGAGAGAGGCCTCTCCACCTTGAAGGAATGTCTTTACAAAATATCTAAAATCGGATATTTGCAAATGATCAGATTTTTTCTTTTTTGATTAAGTTGGGTCAACCCTGACCGAAGACCAGTGCGTGGTTCCATCTTCCAAAGTGATGGACCTGGGTCCACTCTAACGATCGGTGTAATGTGTACAAACTTGTGTCGATGAAGATAATGGAGATGTTCAACAAAGTTAACAATTGGATGTTATATGTGGCCATGAGGATTTGATTGCCTTCATCGCTTTGGAGAAGGTTTATTATGGATGAAGATGTTGTTAATGTTGTACATTCGAAACAGTTAATAAATAAGGTTTGGTAGGTATTGTAATGGTATGTATGGTATAGAAAGGTAGTGAGGCTTGGCACTTAATGGAATGACTTGTAGGTAAGGTCCTTCCTGGCAATGATCACTACGACTCCCTCCTTCTTGCCAACGACTGAGGAGCTCACTGGTGCGCTAAGTTGGATGTGCTTCTTGAACGTGCCAACGGAGAACTCTTGCTGTTGGAACATGTTGCTGATGCTGACTGGAATGACCATCTCGCTGCCATTGGGCAAGAAGATGCTGTCTGGCAATGAGAGTGTGCCCTCGACCAATACCTCACGCTGGTTGACAGTGACGCGAAGACTGTTTGGACGAGAGTGCGGGATGGTCACGTAGATGATGAATGACTCCTCATTCTCAATCACATTGGTCATGATCCCATTGCTGGCATCATCCAACACATGTTGTTGGGGTGGCGGTGAGTGTTGCTGCTGCTGGTGATGTTGTTGCTGCTGATGAATCTGCAACATCTGCTGCTGCTGGACTTGTTGTTGCTGGAACTGAGCAGCCTGCTGATGCGCCTGGGCATTGTAGATTGCCTGTTGCTGTTGTTGCTGCTGAATGGCCTGCTGTTGCTGCTGCTGGAGGAGTGCCTGCACTTGTTGTTGCTGTTGCTGGAGGTGTTGTGACCTGAGCTGCAACTGCTGTTGCTGCTGGAAGTGCAATTGCTGTTGCTGCACCTGCTGCTGCTGGACAGACTGGAAGGACTGGGGCTGCTTGGAGATCAGCTTCATGTCCTTCAATTCGTTCTCCCAGCGCACAAGGTCGTCGTAGCTGTAGTAGTAGTCGGTGATGGGCAGGTCCATGGGCGGGGTGAGCGTGTGGACCGGAGCAAACTCGAGGAAGGGCAGAAGAGTGCAGGACTTGAGGCAGTTGACAAAGGCATCATGCAAGGAGAGCGAGCCCTCAGAGTCAAAGTCAATGGTCTTGTCAGAGTTGTTGTTGTCATTGGTGGACTCGTGGACTGTGGAAGGGGAGACATTGCCAGTGCCGCTGACATTGTTGGTCTGAGGAGACAATGAAGTGTTGTTGTCTGGCGAGGCAGATGATTGCCAGTCACTGGCGTTTGAGTCCACTGTCTGGCTGTTGGAGCCGCTCTCGGCACGCTGGACAGGTGACTTCATTGGGCGATCATTCAAGTCCTCCCTATTGTTCTTTCTCTTCCTCTTCTTCTCATCCTTCTTGTTCTTCTGCTGGTTGGCCGAACATGTTTGGATGAACTCCTTGATTGTAGCCTGGCAGGTTGTAATGATTGATTGATGTTAGTTATTAATGGACTTGGATGTGATGTGGAAAGATGTGACGGATGGTACATACATCATCAAGGGTGGAGAATAGGTATCCATAGAGTACGACACAGAGATTGGCCATGTCATTGGGGCGACGGTACCTCAACTCTGGTGCGATCTTGTTGACGTAGAGTGAAAGGATCAGAGAGCGACGGAGGGTTGGGGTGGTGAGGGCGGGGTTGACCTTGAAGTAGTACTTGAGGAAGGATAGACAGATGGTCTTCTTGTCCTCATTGTTGTTGATACCAGTGGATGAGGAGAGCGAGGGGATCAGGTCATACATTCCATTGTGGCCCATGTATGGCAACATGCCGGGCTGGGATGCTCATCAACGAGCTGTTGTTGGGGTTGTTGATGTAGGTCTGCAGGCCGGAGCTGGCCAATGATGGAGATGACCGATGGTCCGGTTGGTGCGGCAGGCATCACACGGCGCACCAAGTGCTTGTTCATCTGGGGCGCGGGCAAAGGTGGCGGGGTCAACGGGGTGTGTGGAGGGGACGAGTTGGGCGAGGCCGACAAGTTGAATGGAGGGATGGCCGACTGGTGTACCATCTCGGTGCTCTGCTGCTGGTGATGGTAGATGCCAGTGGACTTGGTCTTGGAGTTGCGTCTGGTTGGAGATGTGGGCGGGGAATTAATCGACGACTTGGCCAATGTGTTGGCGAGGTTGGAGGACGAAAGCGAGGCTTCGGCCAACTTGATGCTATTGTTGGAAAACATTTGTGGATGTTGTTGCGATGATTGTTGTTGTTGGATTGACTGTACAATTGGTTGTGAGTGAGTGTATATATTACAGGGCTGTTGTTGGACAAGGTTGTTGGAAGAAGACGTGTCCATTGGTAATGTTGACATGGTGCTTGCGCCAACGTTGACGTGGTATTGCTGGCCGCTGAATGATACATGGGGTGGCGTCACGGTGGCTTGCGCTGGCATTGTGTTGACCAAATCATGGTGATGGTGGCTGTGTTGTTGTTGATATGAAGGCTGATTCTGTTGGATCTGAGACAACAGATTTAAGAAGTGTTCTTGTTGTTGTTGCTGTTGCTGCAGCTCAATTCCACTGCTGTTGTAGGAGGTATTGGTGTTGGCTGGACCAGATGGAAGCAGTGGAGTTGAGGACGAGCTTGACATTGGGCTCTGCTGCTGCTGCTGATGCTGTTGTGGCGGCAGCACATGGGATGGTTGTGGCGCGTCCAATGCATTGTTAAAGTAGTTGGTGGTCTCGGTCTTAATATCGATTGGACTGCCATCGGGATAGGAGGTCAGGTAGATGTTGGCCTGATCCTGCAATAAATAATCGGATGGTATGTCGTCCATTGTGAGTTTAGTTGATTGTTATGATGATGACGATGAGAAAAGTTCGGCAAATTGAGCAAGTGGATGGATTGATGGATGGCGGGGAATAGATATTGAGCGCGAGGTCTTAGGAAGCTGGACAAACAAATTTGATGAATGGATGGGAATAGATAGGTAATGGATGGATTGATGGTTGGTTGGCGGGGAATGGGATGGATTGTTGGCGGCTTCGGTGTCGCGTTGGGAAAAAAAAATAAGCAACCTGTAGGACGGCTGATTGGCACTCCTAGGTCTGGCGAATAGTGATTGTAGCTTGAGGGGTTGTTGTTGGAGGGGTTGTTTGATTGGATTGGAAACGTATTTGATTGGTGGAGTGGGCGAGTAGGGGTTGGATTGGACTGATTGTTTGATTGATTGATTGATTGATACTAAATATGGAGAGTTGTTTTTAAATAATAAATAATAAATAATAAATTAATAAATAATATTAAGATTGATTAATAAATAATATGGTATTATTGGTTATATATATTAATAAATAGAATAAATAAATAAATAAATAGTATATATATATTTGTTATTGGGTTGATGATAATCGGGTTGATTAAGTGATGATGGTCTGGTTTGATTGATTGATTGATTAAGTCTGGTTAGTTTTAAGATGTTTGGGTATTTGGGATGTGTACAACAAGGTCTGGATATGTGAAGGGTCAACTAAATGTTGTTGATGACAATGATGATATTGATGTTTAAGTTGATGTTGATGATGATAATGTAGAAGTTGGGAACATGGGTTGGGATGATAGACCCTTTTGAAGAGTCTTTGTATAAATAATATATATATATATAAGTATCTATGTATGTTTGCTTGATGTGATGTGATATGAATACTACAAACTACAAAGCAACAACAATAAGACTAAAGTTTATACAACGAGGACAATGATTGATTCATTCATTCGATATAGAAGGGACTATATCTTAAAATTAGGATATATGGAAATGCGAATGCATGTTGATTGAATGAAACAGAATAGGTAGAGGAGGTCTACTACCGACCAGAATCAAACAACAACAAACAATCTAGCAAACAAACAGGAGTGAGGGAGCATGAGTGAGTGTGTGTATGGGATAGATGGGATAGAAAGGATAGATAGGATAGATGTCTATGGCTCTGACAGAGTCGGGCGGGAAGGAACATGTGCGCCACATTGATACTGAGGGGGCACTTTGAACAATGAGTGTAGCGAGAGAGGAGACCACAGGTCCAAGCAAGCACAAAGAACCAAGAAGTCAGTCCAGTCCAGTCCAGTCAGTGCTTGTCCCATGTGGGCAACCAATGGCATCGGGTTGGTAAGGCTAGAGGGCCTTGATGTTGACCAATTGGTACTAGACAACTTCAAATCCAAACTGTGGCCTTGCAAATATAACAAATATCCATGGTGGCGTCAACGCAAGGCAAATGGAAAATGATGGGTGGGGGTTGTTGGACGACTTTCGCCCCGCAATTCAAAGCCATGAGTTGCCTCTATGCCAACGAGGAGACACATGTGCGTGTACAAAAGGTCACACTCTAGAACTAATCAAACGACAATAATAACATCCACAAAACAATCAAATCAAACAACCAAACAAACTACAATTACAACAAGATCTCTTTTGTTGTTTGATTGTTTGGGTTATGTGTATGTGTATGAAGGTGAGGGATAGTGATGAGTGGAGTGATTAAGGTAATTTGCTTGATTGAGGTAGGGAGAGGTGGGTTTGGAGAGGTAAGAGGACCAAGGCAGGGCTCATGCCCCACAATTCAAAGTCCAGTTGAATTAAACATCTTTATCAAAAATGGTAATGATCGTCGACGAAGTGATGTGACGGATTTGATCATTGTGATGTGTGTGATTGAAAGTGATATATTTAGCTGTTATAACATTAACATTACATCTGTTACACATACACTATTATTACTATTATTATTATTATTATTATAGTATTGTAGGTTTGTTGGAAATGATTGATTGGTTGATTGGTTGATTGATGATGGATCATGATCAACTTGGAAGATGGTCCACAATGTAAATTGAGAGTATGATGATGATGGTGTAAATTCAATCATTCGTAAGTACTACTACTTATGTGTTTGTTGTACTTATAATACAACAATACAATGACAATGATGATGTCGTAGTAGAGAAGAGTGGTTTGGATTGACAATGGAAACAGTACCCCTCTAATCACTTTGGACCAGGGCAATCAGATCACTTGGATCAAAGGTGTGGTGTGGAAGTGTGGAAGTGTGTGTATTGTGTTGAGTGTGGCAAGAGAGAAGTGATGGTTGGAAGTGTGTGTGGTGGATGTGATTGGTAATGGACTGGATGATGGAAATAACAATCGAATAAAGGGATAGGATACCATACCTTATATATTATATATGTTATATATTTATAATTATCTACAGGAGGAAGGCTATTCAAGCATTTAGAGTTTCAAGAACATTGTAATATTACACGGAGAATAAATAAATAAATAGAGATAGAGATAGAGATAGAGATAGAGATAATAGGTAAGTACTCTTAAGAGTATAAGTAGTATATATATATGTATATATAGAAGGTTAGAGAGATAATGAAAGAGACAAGATAGACAGAGTTACCTTTAAGGTGGTTTGCGGGACTAATCTAAATACTGGGCGGTCCTTTGCTCCACCGGTTGTTGGGGGCAGGGCCCTAAGAATGCCTAAAGCAAGGGGAGTTTGAATTGCCAGATACGGACCAAAGCTGTTCAGCGCTCGATTGGCTCTTGATTAAGAGAGCGAGCTTACTACGCTCACACACTCACTCACTCCAATGCACATACATTGGACGACCTCTTGTTGTTTGGAGCTAAACTTACTCTCCTATCAAAGAAAGAAACAAACACCCTCACGCACTCTCTCATGATCCAGTGCCAGGACATGAGATCAAGATAACAATCGTCTGTTTGACACTGCGGCATCAACCACAAAATGTGTTCTTCCCGTTCAACTTCGAAAGAAACAAAGTTAGTCACTCTCGTTGTTGGAGCACCCAACTCTACGATGCCAGGCCACGTACCGGGCTTGGTTGGAGATTCATGCGCAAGACAAAGAACTCTAGAGAAGCTCAATCAATGGTGTCTGTTGGATATTTCTCTCCTGATTAAAATAAAATACGGGGGATGATCAAAGGGAGGTAAGTAAATGCGATACCACGGACCAGATTCGCTCATGGATATTCAAACACACACGCTAATGTCACTCGCCCCCACATGATTGGACAGGGCCTAGTGGCCTCAATGAGCCACCAGCAAGCGACTCCTGTTCCGATCAATGCCCACACACACATATCTTGACAAATCACGGGCCACGCTCACCGCACGGCAATACCATAAGTCTATTTCTATTTCAGTGTATGATCAAGAATGAAGATGTATCAATCAGGCAGTGTGTGAGATGTGATGAAGATGTTTAATTCAATAGAGGATGGCTCAATGCTGGAGGCATGCTCTCTATCTCACTCCGACAATCCACAGTGTGCCACTCCGTAGTCAGAGGAGTGATCAAAATCAATCAATCGTCTGATTTACATCGCCTATTATTTGATAAATCTAAAAAAATGATCGCATTATCGCAACAACATGACATTGCCATGCACGACTATTACCGAATTGGGCGAGGGCACATCAACTTTTCCCCCTTTGTAGGGGGCTCAGTGGGAGGCCTCCGGATGTCAACCTTATTCAATCTAAATGATCCAAAAGACATGGGTCTTTGCTGTCTAGACAATAGTAATAATAATCGATCGATTTACTGGATATTACTGTCACTCGTCTGAGTGATCGAGCCATAATCAATCCACCAATTATATTGGATCAATCCAGGCTAGCCTGGATAAAAATAAAGTGACATACATGGATAAGATAAGCCATGACAGAGACAGAGAGAATGTGAACATGAATGAGGGGAAGGAAAGAACAACTTTATATATACATTGGTGTGTGGAGGTGAGTGATCAGAGTTGAGTGGGTGATCACTCGCTCACTCAATCGATCAATCGACCATCAATCAAATAATCAACAACTACCAAACCAAACCATCAATCAACTCACTCGCTCACTCACTTGTGCTGCTCGTATGATTTGTTCATGCTGGAGACCAGAGCCGTGGAGGTCTGGCTGATGGCTTGTTGGTGTGCGGCGGCATGATCCATAAACTTGACCAGTTGGTCCTTGAGCTCCAACAGTGACTTGTCCATCAGTTGCTTCTGGTGCTCGTAATGCGCCTGGCTCTCGTCCAGCTGGCGACTCTTGTGCTCCAAGTCCATCTTGAGATTGTCTTTGAGTTGTTTGTTGTCCTGTTGGCGCACCTCCACTCTCTTCATCAAGTGCTCGAGCTCCTTGTCCAGCTTCTCCTTCTCACTCTTGCAGGCGCTCTCCAACGATGACAACTTCTGCTCGGATCTCTTCTTCAACATCTGACTGTCTGCAATATTGTCGTCCAACTGCTTGATCTCATTCCTCTTGTTTGTTATCTCCTCCTCCTTTGCATTTGTCTTCTCGTACTGCTCCTCAATATATGTCTTGAGAAGTTTCTGTTTGTTGGTAGTTCGCGCGTGGCAAAGTGTTAGATCGTGTGGCAAAGTGGTAGTTGGTTGTGTGGCGCGACACTACCGCGTGTGGCGCTACAAAGCAAAGGCGCTACAAAGCAAAGCAAATAAACAAACAAACATACCCTTATCTTCTTGAGGTCAGTGATAGTAACATCTCCTTCACCATTGGTTGTGAACTGTATGTTGTAGCTTGACGATGAGTGTTTGCCAGCAGTACTGCTATCCATGTTGACATCCTCTGATTGAGTGGACGACGACATTGATGATGATGACGAGGATGTGTTGAGCAGTCCAATTGAGTTGAGATGATCATTGTAGCCCATGATGAGATTGCGTATACTTGACACCAACTTCTCAATCTCGGCCAACTTCTCGGCCTTGGAGCGCAGCAATCTCTTCTTCTCGGTGCCCGCCTTGGAGATCTCGTCCTGGAGTTGCACACGTCGTTGGTTGATGAGCTTGGCATCGACGCTGCTCTTTTGCTGCTCGCTCACGATTGAGTCGAGTGAATGCTTGCGCTGCTCAACGTCGCGCAGCTCCTCCTCCAGACGCGCCAGTTCTGCCTGGTGCTGCTTGATGATGGCCTCCGCATCGGCCTTGTACTTGTGGTGATCGGCCACAATGTTGACAAACTTGGCAATGTCCTCCATGACAAATTTGCGCGACTGGCTCAGCTCTCCGATGTTGTTGGGCTTGCTGTTGAGCATGTCGATCTCTTGTCGCTCGGCCTCCTGGATGGCCTGCATCTGGCTGATCTCCAGCTGGAGTTGGGCGTCGCGCGAGCTGTGATGCTGTTCCAGGAAGTTGTCCACGGTCAATTCGTTGTCGGCACCCTTCAAAAAGTCCTGATAGGACTTGAGCACCTCTTGATTGAACGCGCGATTAAAGACCACATCGTCTCCAATCTCTTGCTCCTCGGCATGGGAGTACTCAGTGTCGTACTCAATCACCTCAACGAGCCAGGTGAGCGCGGCCAGCATGGGGGGCCACGTCACGGGGTTTCCGACCGACGCCAGGTTGCGCTTGGCGATGGCGATGGGGTAGCGCATGGACTTGAAGAAGGCGGCCAGGTCATCCTCAGGCTTCTGGGCAGAGAACTTGAACGTGTCGTCGATCTGGTGGAAGAGGAACTCGCAGATGCTGTAAAAGTCCTTGACCGAGGGCGCTGTCAGGGCCTTCCTTGCGATCTGATTGGGGTAGTTGTTCTTGAGCAGGAAGCTCAGCAGACGCGTGATGCACTGGCTCTGGAAGGCCTTGTCATTGATCGGTCTGCTCTCTGACCTAATCGTGCTTGGTCTGATCGATTGACTTGGCATTGACTTCTTGTTGGGCATCGTCGCTCCAAGGCTCATCTTGTTTGTGTTGATATTGACGATTGATTGTTGTTGTTGTTGTGGTTGTGCTGCAGCACTATATCTATTTGTTGTTGACGTTGTTGTGGTAGGTGCTGCAGTTGAAGTCCTGTTAACAGTATTGCCAACATTGTTGTTGTGGTTGTAGTTTGGGTTGGCTGGAGTGGAGATTGGCATTGGCAATACATTGTTGTTGGCATAGACTGAACCATTGTTGATACTAGAGGTGAGTGGACCCATTGGTATTGGAGCCAGTGATATCTTTGGTGCACTGGGATTGTTTCTAGGTGTCTGCATTGGTGTTGTAAGTGTACCAATGATACCAATCGGTTTGATTGGTGCTGTACCAATCACTGATTGTCTTCCATTGTTTATATTCAACAAGTTATTATTCTGTTGGAATGGTCTTGTAGTCATTATTATTGTGTAATATATATCTTATCTATTTATCTTTGTATTTATCTATAACTTTGTAATATATATATATTGAGTGTCAATCAAGTGATTGATCAAGAGTGTGAGTGTGTTGTGGGTGAAGTTGGACCAACCGTTAGAAGGCGCCAAAATTCAACGGAATCCTAAATTCAAATTTCAAAAATATGAACTTCCATCTCATTCCAACCTTAATGATGACTAATCTGAATCAATGATTTATCATTATCTATTTAATGTTTGATTTAGTTATCTATGATTGATTAATATTGATATTATTAATAATGACCTTTCATCTTAGGTCAGTCGAGTGAGGAACAAGATATTTTGCAAAAAGATAAAAAAAGACCATTTCCACTCAATCTCAATTTAACACCTTGGTCTCTAACATTACTCACTCACTCAAACATCATTCATTCATTTAATTAATCTAACTGATTGTTGTCTACTTGTACAACATATATATATATATAAGTACATAAGTAATAGTAATAACAATAATAATATTATGGAGATGGATAACCCTTCACAACAACAACCTATTAGATTCTTTGAAGTGTTTAGAAATAAGATCATTTATAGAAAGATATTCTCATTCATACCACTTGGTGATAAGTTATCTAGACCATTGGATAAGATCACAGATGCTCAATGGATATGTGAACGCAACTATTATGAACTGCTGCGTGATATCGTATTGAACACCAACAAGAAGTTGATCTACTCGCCCGAGTCACTACATCGCATCTGTCAACATGTTCGCGATATCGAGCTCTTTGACGCCATCTACCGCGCACAGGACGAGTTTGACAAGTCTGTGTGCGCCATTGACTATGCAGCGATCACTGGCAACTTGGAGATCATCAAGCTGATCGAGAAGCACGCGACACGCACACCTCGCGCCACCACCAAGGCCATCGACAATGCCGCATCAAACAATCATCTCGAGACACTACAGTACCTGCATTATACACGTGCCGATGGCGCGACCGTCGACGCCATGGACAATGCAGCAGCAGGTGGCTTCATCGATACCATCAAGTGGTTGAACAGCAACAGGTCAGAGGGATGCACACATCTTGCCGTCGACAAGGCATCAGAGCGTGGACATTTGGAGGTTGTCAAGTTCTTGACCGAGGCCAACAAACCAGCCACAATCGCAGCCATGAACAATGCTTCACTTAACAAACACTTTGACGTCGTCAAGTACCTTAATGCTAACAGGACAGAGGGTTGTACTACCGATGCTGTAAGTTATTCATTCAATCATTCAATCATTCAATGACTAACTCACATATTCATTCATTCAACAATATAGATTGATTACGCTGCGGAGGCAGGATCATTGGATATAGTACAATATTTAACAGAGAATAGGACTGAAGGCTGTACATTCTCGGCAATGAATGGTGCTGCCAAGAAGGGACATCTGGAGGTGATCCAATATCTACATGCCAATAGAACAGAGGGCGCGACATCGAGTGCATTGCTGTCGGCCTGCATGGGCCTCAACTTGGAGGTGATCAAATTCTTGGTGCTCAATCGCACTGAGCCCATCTCTGAGTTTTGTTTCGATCAGGCTTGTTACGCTGGCAGTTTGGAAATTGTCAAGTTCCTGGATTCACATGGATTCGTTGCCAAGCCACGATCAATGGACCGCGCTGCCCAAGGTGGCAAACTAGACATTGTCGAGTATCTTCACATCAATCGATCAGAGGGCTGTACAACAGAGGCCATGGATATTGCATGTAAGTATTAGTTCAAAGTCCAAGTCCTCACTTACTCACTCACTCACTCATTCACAATCACTTCCACTTCCAAGGCACAAGAGGCTTCCTGAATATAGTACAATTCCTTCATAACAATAGAACAGAGGGATGCACAGATCGTGCATTTGATTCAGCGGTTCAGTTTGGACATTTGGATGTGATGAAGTTCCTTCATCTCAATCGTACGGAGGGTCTCACCTCTAGAGCAATGCAACATGCAGTCAACTCTGGTAATTTGGAAATTGTACGGTTCTTGGTGGAGAGACGATCAGAGTGTTCAGTTGCCGACACAAAGTATCAATACGAAGCCAATCACCAGGAGGTACATGAGTATCTAGAGTCAATTAGAAGCAAGAAGAGGGCATTGGCAGCATTGGCAGCATCACCAGCATCACCAAGCAGGTAATACATTATTTTAATAACATATCAAAGGCAAAGTAAAGATAGATTAGATTAATTAAGACTACTTAAGATGATTAATAGATGTGATTGTGAGTGATTGCGGGAGTATATGTTGTGGTGCGTTGGGTGAGTGTGTTTGTGATTGTGATTAAAGGTGGTGGATTGGTGATCGATCAATCATGTGATTAACATCTCACATTGATCACATTACAGTTCAATCTCCCAATCCAACACTCTCTATCTCTATCGAGGTAATAATAATAACTCTTTAATTATTTAGAAATATTATAATAATTAACTTTGATAATGTCGAATGTAATATTATATGTATCATCAGCAACAGCTATGCTTAAAACAAAGAAGGATCAAGTATCTTTAAAGAATTTATTGGATGCCAAAGGTATACAATACATCGAGTATGATGTTGCCTCTGATGTAGTACAAAGGGAACATATGAGGAAGGTTAGTGGGATTACAACTCTACCTCAGGTATGTGTCCATCATCAATCAACCAATCAATCAATCAATCACCTAATATCTTTCCTTTTTCTTTAGTTATTTGTAAATGATAAGTTTGTTGGAACGTATGATGATCTTCAAGCGATGGAAGAGACAGGACATATGATGGATGTGTTCAAGGATTAGGCCATGGTTAATGGGACTTGTAATTAATTAATTAATTTATACATATAAATATATATTTATTGTCTGTGGCACAAAGTATCCTTCGCCACTATGTATCAGTGCACCGATCATTCGGTACCATCTTCATTGGGTTCAGCAGGGCCAGCATCTAATTCAAGTTCATTATGTTGCTCAACCTCTTGATCATGTTCATTATGCTCTTCATTCTCCTCATCTTCTTCATGGTGGTGTTCCTCATGCTCATGGTGATGATGCTCTCCAACATTGTTGTCGCCTTCAATATGATGAGTCGAAGTGGATACACCAGTTGGTGGACTAGATCGTTCAAGCGATGCATCTGAATAGCGTGGTGTATTGTCTGCAGAGTTTGGCAATTGTGATTCCAGGTGATGTTGTTGTTGTTGAATAGGAATTGGTACAGGTCTAGTTGGTAGCATAAGGTTGTTGGCACTGGGTTCTCTTTCAAATGAACGAACGTCTCCTTCCTTGGTGAGGTCCACATTTGATGATGATGTAGCCATACTATTACCAAGTGATTCGACTACTGGTGGCTGTCCAAAGATCTTTTCAAAGTTCTGTATCATCATTGTTATGACCATGTTGCCAAGTGCAATGTCCTCCACAACGACCTCTGCCTGTGACACAAGGATATTGGGTCCGATGACTGTGGCCAGGTTGGCAGCGCCCATCTTATTCTTGGGATTGGTGGATATCTGACTGAGCAAGTACATCAGATGATGGAGAAGATGGTAGTTGTGCTTGGGCAGTGTGTTGATCAACCTGGTGATCTGGGCCACACGCTCCTCTGCCGACTCTATGTTGCAAACGTCGATGTACTCGTTGTAGCGACCGTACGAGAGTAGTGGCTCTGGTTGTAGCTCGCGCAGGAACAGCTTGACCAAGCTACAAACAACATGGATGTCATATGTGCTGGCCAGGTTGTACTCTTTGCCCTCGTCAATCAATCGTTTGAACTCTATCACATCCTTCTTGGGACCAGACACACGGAACAGTCCCTCTTCATCCAGTCTTGATCGAATGGCTTGGAATGCACGTGATATGAATGATGGTATGGATGCGGCATCACGCGTGACCAGCACCGACAGTTGCTCTCCAAACACCTTGTACTTCATTGCCTCGTTCACTGCTGTGGCGGGAGACAACATCATGCTCATCCTGACCTTGGACTTCTCCAACTCTGACTTGCGCTTGTCCACATAGAGGCGGTACTCGTAGATGTCGGGTATCATCTGGGCCACCCAACGATAGCCCTTTTGGAAAAAGGTGTGATAGGCATCGAGATAATCGCACAACTTCTCAATGGTCTCAAACTCTGCGATCAAGTTTGTATCCTGTAGTTGAGCAGCTGTATCCATACCAATCAATTCGAATGCCTTGCTTAGATCTCCACATTCCTGTTCCTTATCCGTTATCTTGTTCACCTTGATGCCCTTTGTTTTCTTCAAACTATTCAACTCTGATAATGATGCATCATACTCTACTCTAACTTTGTCATACTCTCTCTTTGAGTTCTATGTTGTTTTGGTGCGTCTAAGTGTGAGTCCAAGTCCAGTCCAGTCGCGTCCACTTCCACCACCGGGGTACATACATGTGCGTCTCTCAGCTCCTTCTTGACCAATGATTTGAGTGGATCACTGACTTCATTGATTAGTGATGCGTTCAACTTTGCTTTGAGGTCTTCGAATGCAGCCTGGAATTCACCAATCTTTGAAAGTATTCCAGCGTAGACTACCATATCAGGAAACTCCTCTTTAACATGGACACTGTAATCGATCAATCCATCGGCCAACTCTGTTCCATCCCTTATGCTCACACCAGAACTAACAGTCTCCTTCTCAATTGCCCTCGTCACCTTTCTCAAATGGAATCTATTGTCATCCAAATGCTAATCACGTCGCTTGTTAGTGAGTGTGTTTGTGGGTGGAATAGTTCCATCGATGATGATGTGGGGTTGAGTATCATACTCTTTCCAAAGACTTCATATCCTCAGGTTCCAATGTATTGGTCCTGTTTGAAGTCTTCTCCATCAAGTTCTGCTTGGTGATTGACAATGATCTCTTTAGTCTCCTCATCTTGTTTGAATGTACAAATAAATAAATAAATAAGTAAATAGTTATAACAACAACTAGTTGATCAATCAATCACCTGATTGATTGAGAGGTCGTTAAGAGGTAAACATTGCCTCGTTGGACAAGCCCTCTCCAAAGAGGTATGGATGTGAGCCTCAAAGGGGGTTAGAGAGGACCAAACATTATCAGAAAGCTACTTTCACCATTCGTACAGCATACATTCTTTTGAATCAATGTGTACTTTATGACTTACTCGTCCCTCTGTAGTTGAGGTCCACATGTGTCAATCAAAGAACAAGGACCCCAACACTCACAGTACCATTTCCAAACAAGGGTTATAATAACAGTGATTTGATTCCAATACAGCCAACATGATCAAAAATGGGAAACACCCACCAATCCACAAAACGATACTATGCTTCGTCAACAATTCGTGATGGGATATGAATCATTCTGCAAAGACATAAGCATAAGTTGTAAAGATATTAGTAGTAGTTAACATAGAGATAGAGATAGAGGTGGGGAGAAGGGAGCGTTGTTATTGGTTGAGTTTGTTTGGTGATCTTGGATATCAAGAGTTATTGTTGTTGTTGTTATCACCATTGTTGTTGTTGCTGTTGTTGTTGTTACCATTACCAAGGTTCTCCTCATTCATCAACTTGAATAGACCAATGGCTTCACGTATCTTGGAGTGCTCGAGACAGAAGGCTTGGACCTCTTCAAACAGATCTTTGATGTTGATGATGTTGTTGCGTATGAGTGATTGGATAAAGACGCAGACCAGTCTCACAGAGCGCTGCAGCATAGCCTTGTCCTTGCAGTAGTTGCACGTGTTGATACAGTTGCTGATGTACATCGGGATGAAGTGGCTGGGCAGCTCCACCGAGGTGGCCAGCGCATTGACCACCTCCATCGAGCGGTAGTTCATCTCCATCGATATCAACTCCTGGAAGTAGTCCTTAAAGTCGGGCGAGTGGATCAGCTTGAGCATCGCCTCGATGGCCACCTCCTGGTTGTTCTCCACGAGGTTGGGCAGCTTCTTTGGCACCAGTCCAGAGTAGAGCACCATCTTGGGGTCCAGGTCCAGCTCTGCCTTGATCTGCTGTATCTGTGATTTCCTTAGTCTGCCCCTGATGGCCTTGGACATCAAATCACGTACCACCTTCTTTGGATTGGTGATTGATGAGAAGCCCATCGTTGGACTCAACAGTAGACCATGATTGATTGATGTATTGATCCAAAGTAACTAAATATATATTAGATGAGTTAGGTGAGTGAGTGTCTTTGATTGACTGATTGATTGATTGATTGATTGATTGTTACTTACATTGGGATGTTCGTATAGAGGTGGAGCAGGTCTACTATAGCTTGGTTCGAATGAGAAGAGGTCAAGTTCCATCGGTAGTATATTGACATCATTGAGTTTAGGTTGTTGTTGTTGTTGCTGCTGTTGCTGTTGCTTGTTGGCGTTCTTTGTTTGACGGTTACTTGTTGGGGTTGGGGATGATGATGAAGTTGTAGTCGTCTGAGTATCAAGAGGTTGTTGTTGAGGTGGCAGAGCACTGCTTGGTTGCTCTGGGAAGAATAGTGTTGGCGAGACACCGATACTCAATATCGATGGGAATGAGTGATGCGCCAAGCGTTCGAGATAAAGTTGTCGATAGTCATTCAGCGCTGGTAGTGCTGATTGTGATTCATTGTTGTTGTTGCTGTTCCTGTATTGCTGATCAATATCGTTTGATGTCTTCTTTGAGAACTGATATAATGTGTAGACTGTGTGTCAGTCTTGTGTTGCACAAGGTCGATCGATGGTCAAGGGAACTTACATCCTTTGGCAAATGAGTAAGGAATTGGATGAGATATGCTCGCTCAACAGAGTTGTTATATATCGATGTATGATATTGTTGTTGACTACTTTGTTGTTGTTGTTGTTTGTTGTGATTGTAGTGTTTCTCCAACTCATCGATAAAGACAGGTAAGAAAGGATTGAATATTATAGGATACTCAAGTATTGTTGTAGAGTATTGAGCTGATTCAGTATTATCCGACGATGATGATGATTGTTGTTGTTGTTGAGCAGCAATTAATTGATGTTGTTGATTATATAAACTATATAATATATAGAATGCTATTAAACGATGTGAAGGTACACGTATGAAACCATCCTTTAACATAGTATATACTGCACAGCCTATCTTAAAATGATCATTCTTTGCAAATGTACGATTGAACGTAGTTGACACTGTCTCTAATGGTTTATCCTCCTCAGACAACAATGTCAACAGTGTCACCAAGTCCTTTGAGTTGAGCATCACTCCTTCCTATCCTTAGTCTCTCTATTCGAGTCGAATCTCGTTTGTATCTAATCTTTGTTCAATAATATGTAATCGATTGATTGATTGATTGATTGAGTGATTGATTGATATGATATAATATGTATATGTATGTGTCGTTAACGAAGCATAAGCAGCATAAGTATGTTTAAGATGTTTGTTCAAACAAGCCCAAGTGAAGTTGCATTCAGAAGGGGGGTGAAGTCCAATTTATTTATGGGTCGCGATCATGATCTGGGCGCGTTCATTCTGATTCTGGAACGATGAACGGTCGTTGATGTTGTCGTCTATCTATGTACATGTTGGTTGTAGAATGTTTAATATATATATAATATGGAATGGAAGCTAGCTTCTATAGTTATAAGCAGCACCTCCATGATGTGCATTGTCAAATCCTGTCAACTCAATGTCAGAGTCGACTCGCAACACTGAGTACTTCTTTAGTATCTTGAATACTATATAACTTAATACTGTACACCATATAATAGTAGCTGATACACCAATCAATTGAATGAATAATAATCTGAAACTCTATATATATTTGATTGATTGAATGATTGTGTCAGTGATTGAGTTCGAATGAATGATCGCGACCGAATGAACCAACTTACACCTTCAATTAAACTATTATAGTTGGTACGACTTCTATATACTTGATTGAGTAATGATGTGTCGGCGAATAGACCAACACAGATGGCGCCCCAGATGCCACATGCAAAGTGTACAGAGGTGGATTGGCATGGGTCATCAATCTGGTATCGCAGCAACAGTTTGGAGAATCCAATAAAGATGAATGATGCCACCACTCCAATGATGATACTATAATATGGTGCGATGAATCCTGATGCAGAGGAGGCCGCCACAAAGCCAGCCAGCAGTCCATTGATGCATATCTTGAGATCGTAACGCTTGGTCATTGCCAGTGTTATGACGAATGATGTCACCATACTGATTGATCCACTGAGTGTTGTCGATACCTCGCCTCTCGATGCTATTCTTCCCTTGTTGATATCTACGCCCAACAAGATTGGATGTTGTCCATACCAGCTGAACCATAACAACAATGTTCCAATGCTTGATAATACAATGTTATGCTCGCTCAATACCAATGGCTTGCCTGTCTCTGGATCGAACTTTCCAAGTCTAGGTCCAAGCTATGAGTAGTTGTTGTGTCAGTTATCCTGTCCTGTCCTGTCCTCACGTGTCGTAACATACAATGATAGTGCCAACCAATCCTATTGTACCTCCAAGTACATGTACTACTATTCCTCCACCATAGTCTACAACTCCAAGTTTATAAAGCCATCCACTTTCATTCCAAATCCCTATTGTTGTTGTTGTAGCATGTTAGTCAAAGTAGTGGATGAGTGAAAGAATGAATGAGTGAATGAGCGAGACATACAATGAGCGGCCAGTGGGTATATTACACCAGATACGACAGAGTTGAGTATCAGATATGCAGGTATCTTTGTCCTCTCTGATACTGATCCATTAATTATTGTACATGATATTGAAGCGAATGCCCACTGAGAATGAATGAGTGAGTGAGCGAGTCCATGATGGTCTCCATCGTCGACATACCTTTGACACCCATATATATAGTCCTCCTCATTCAATGTGAAGAAGCTACAACATGCTATTAGTGAGTTTGAATAGTTGGCACCAGAGTCGAATGAAAGACTGTATCCAATTCCAAAGAATATGATTGCACCTAATGCTGTAGCAATGATGTTCTATGATGTGTGTAATGAGTTAGCGCATCGTCGTCATATTCATTGTCGTCATCTTCATCATCAACATCATACCTTTACTAATATATTCTTTGTGTTCTTTGCTCGTACCATACCAGCCTCAAGTAAACTGAATCCTGCTTGCATCACTAGATGAGTTGAGACGAGATGTCAGTCAGCAGTCAATCATGACATGTACACTCATTGATTGATTATTTAGAGTTGTATCAACATCATCAGGTACACATACATATAACAAGATATGATGATCTTAGTATCCAATTTGAGTCTACTAAACTTAGATTGTTTGATTTATTTGATGCTGCTGTATTCAAGTCAATTGTAGCATCAACTATCAGCACCATCATAGGAATGATGACCAATGTCCTGATCACATTCCATCCTGTATTCATTGCTTGTATAAGTATATATTAATATCTCTTTGATTCGATGTAAGTGGAAGATGAATGAATGAATCAAGTTAAGTTTTGTGTAAAAGTGTCAAAAATGTCGATTTCTTTCATTTTGACAGTCATGATTTATTGTGTTGGCTCGGACTTGGTGTACAATGGATGGTCCTCTGGAAGTGGCAACGATGATGATAATGGTACCATGCAGACAAGTTGCATCATTAGTACTTCATTCTCCAATCTAAGTCTTTTGAGCTCTTCAGACATTTGTGTATTGATCACTGAATGATTGACGATGAAATGAATGGACTTTTTGATGAAAGGAGGCTGATCATATTCCTTTGTAGTCAATGTGGACACGAGGATGGAGTAGCAATCATTCACCTTGCGAACGATATCCACATACTCTTGATGATAACAAAACATTGTAAAGTTATACGTATGAACATTTGGTATGGTCGCCATCACCTTTTTGATAAACTGTGATCGATGGAGGTAATGTGACACGATACCATAGGGTATCTTTGATCCAATGGACAGAGTGTCCAACGTGTCGGTACGTGGTGCGATTGGTGAATGAGACGCAGCCTTGGACAATGACAGTGATTTGAGTGGGCACCTGACATACTTGAGTTGTCCAAATGAGTAGATGGTGAGATCAGTGAGAGAAGGAGGCATATGCTTGAGCACGTGCTTGAAGGCGCTGCCCACCTTTAGAGATGTGAGCGATGCAGGCAGCGTATTCTTGTTAAGCTTATGATTAAAGAGTTGGCCAAGAATGAGAGTGCGAAGGGATGATGGCAGCTTGCCTGCCAGGTCTCGATTGTATCGATATCCACAATTCAATGAAGTCAAAGTCTCTGGCAGAGTATCAGGCTTTATATCCTGATCGTCATTGGAGAAGGAGTCGCCCAGGCACAATGTTGTCAAACGTGGTGGCAGTATACCTTTCTCGAGTTGTTGAATAAAGTTATTGTCAAAGATCAGTGTTGTGATTGATGATGGCATACTACCAGGCTCCAATGTATTGTTGTTGTAGTTATTAATGTCCAAGTGTACAAATGTGTTGGGCAGTTGTCCAGGTAAGATCTTCTCTGTACAGTTCTCGATTGATAGATGTACAAGACCATTTGGTGTACTTGCTGTTGGTTGAACGATTGACTTGTACAGCCTGCTGATGTGCAGACTTGTCAGGGAACTTGGAAGTATCGACATGTCCAGTTGATGTGAGTACTTGTCAAAGGATAGCTCGGTCAATGAAGTAGGAAGTAGATCAGCTATCAGCTTCTGGTTGAATGATGAACCAAATGATAGTTTGGTCAATGAGCTGGGCAGGTCACCTTTGTTGATTGGCTTATTGAAGAAATGACCAAAGGTCAGCATGGCCAGAGACATGGGGAGGACACCACTTATACTCTGGTCGAACCGACTGGCAAGTCTAAGTGTGTGAAGGGAAGTAGGAAGCGCTCCTTCAATCAAAGGTGTATCGTACTGAGTTCCAAACGTGAGAGTCTTGAGCGATAAGGGCAGCACATTGGGTTTGATTGGATGTTTGAATGAATCACCTAGTCTCAGGTACTGTAGTGAGGAGGGCAACACACCAGGACGTAGTTTTTGGTTAAACCTTGATCCACCAGCAGTATTACCATGGAAAGAGAGTGTGATTAGTGATGTGGGCAGTGTGCCGACTTCAATCACCTTGTTGAATGCTCCACCCAACGTAAGTTCGGTCAGTGACGTTGGAAGAACGCCCAAACCAATCACCTGGTTGAACATTCCTCCAAACGTCAACGATGTCAATGACTTTGGTAGGTCATTCACTCCCAATGGCTTGTTGAACCTAGCCTTTGTTGTCCATCTTGAAGCTGTACTTGGAATATTCAAAGTTGTGACCACTTCACTCTTCTCCTCCGCCTCATGTTGTTCTAATGATGTTGTTGTTGTTGTTATTGTTGTTGAACATTCTTTGGTGTTTATAAGATGATATAATGGCATATAGTTGAATCTTAATGATGGTATACGATTGTATAATAGTTTAAACAATCGTTTACATGTTAGACCAAGACACAATTTATCAATTTCATTACTATCAACCTCTAACAATCTTATTAATACAACTAATGGTAATGTATCCATGGATATTAATGTATGTATTATCTCTATGAATGTGTCTGTTGTTGTTAGGTTGTTGATTAAGATGGTGTGTTGTCTTTTGCCAAGATGATCTTTGCACCAACTTTGTAAGGTTGTAGTTTTGTCAGTCTGGCCGTGCTTTTCCAAGAATGTGTTGAATACAGTAATAAATCAGACGTCTTGGCGCCAAGATAGTTCAAGGTATAACTCCATCTGATCTTATCCATTGTGCCCAGCCTGCAGGTATGACGACACCGGGCACAACTAACCTTCTGGCGGTGGAAGTCCATAGACAACAGGTCCATGGTGTACTCCCACTGCTCATCGGATGGTAGACCGATGGCGCCAGTCCAGAGCCATCAACAACAACAACAACAACAACTACCACAACAACAACAACAACAACAACATCAAAGACAACAACAACAACAACAACAACAACAACAATAAATATTGCAGTACTTCTTCTTTGTTTAATCAAGGGAATTGGTAGTGAAGTGACTTGAAGATGATGGATGGGTGGTTGAGAATGGTGGGCATGATCTTCTTCTTGATCCTTGCACCCTCCCTATCCTGATTGAATGTGCATATTCTGAATTGTAAGAGTGTCGTGTTGGAGGCCAGTGCATTGACAACAAGACCCAGATTCTCGTTATCATATAGCTTGCATCCAAGGGATTTGATGGCTGGACAATGATTTATGATGTAGGCAATGTCACTATTGGGAACACATTCATTTTCTCCAAGGTCCAGCTGCTCCACGTTGTTGAATGACTGAAGAATCTGCTCGCGGAGCGCCAGATTATCACTGACCCACAAGTATTCATAAGGAGCACTGTCGGTTCTTGTTGCGAGCCTGAGTGATCTCAATGGCATGTTGATGCATATCAACTTCTCAACGACAATATCGATGTGTAGAAGTGATGTGTGGTGCTGCAGGAGCGTCTCTAGCATTAGCCCGCCGATACCAGGCAAGTCCATGGAACAGATCTTCCTCAAAGATACCTGCTTGGCGATGTAGTGTGCGTACTCCTCCATGAAGTGGTCGTCGTCAACACCGGCCCCAATGAACAGAGACTCGACGCACGTGAGTCGAGCGAGTTGTGTAAAGAAGTGTCTGGCGTCGTGATTGACAAATCGATTGTACTCGGTGCTGAAGTCTAGAGTCAGCGAGGTGAGGTTGTTGAGCGTTGAAAGCGAGCCGAACAGTCTGACATAGAACGATGTGAATCGGGTCACATATTGTTGTTCCTCCATGATCATATGTTCATCACTCGGGACACATATCATCACTTCTTCGAGGCTTGCGTATGATGCCAGCGTCGCTCCAAAGCCATCTTCATCAAAGGTGTCTGGATGCACAACGCAGTTCAAGATCCCAATGTTTGTCAACATCAAGTCGGTGCAACGGACGTCGGTGAAGAGCGCTGCGAGTTCGCGATGGAGCGCGATCGTCTCATCTTGGGAGATGTGCTCATAGTTGCGGGTGAGCTTGCATTGAATCTGCGACACTTGTTGATGCAACGAGTAACGATTGGAGGTGAAGTGATGATCCACCAACTCTCTAAAGGCATTGACCTCTCCAGTGAATCGCTTGTTCATCCTCACGATGAATGTATGGAAGCTCCAGCAGACGAGGCTGAGCGACCTCCACCAAGTCCCATCAAAGTTTGTAGCAATGTCATCGTGGAGCATACGTATCACTCTTTGCCAGATCGTATGGTCTACCAATGAAGAACTTGATAAAGTGTTGTATCTTGCCATTAATTATTAGTATGTATGAGGTAGAGATACAGGTATGTTGTACAACAACAACAACAACAACAACAACAACAACAACAACAACAACAACAACAACAACAACAACAACAACAACAAGACACAACTTTTGTGCGAGAGCACGCTCAATTGTTGAGTTTCTTATCTATATTATTTATACAATATCATTTGAATGATTATCCAACTTTGTTGGTAGTCCATCTAATGGAGGTGTTATCTTTAAACTAATATTTAATCTATTATACATATCTGTAAACAATCTTTTACAACATAATGATAAAGAAACAATATCAATCAATGATTGTTTCTTATTACCATGATCATCATTGATACTCAATTGTTTAATTATCTCTCTAATAATAAATATAGATAATCTATCCATTCTCTAAATATTAGTGTTCAATATGAATATATGACACTTTATTTTGAAAAGCAGAAAGGTGAGTTCGGTGTGATTGTGTGTGTTGCGCGCAGAGTTGGCTAGACTTATCTGCACTCCTGTGTCTGCTTTTCAAAATAAAGTGTCATATGAATTAACGAATGTATGAATGACGTAATGAAGAAAGTTTTTGTGAGTGTGTTGGATGACAATGTGACTATTTCCTTTTTTGGATTCTGATTGAAGTTCAACAAGTTGATTACTTTATTTCCTTCTTCTTGTACTTTTGACATCCGTCACAACCTTTGACTTTGTTGATGCTCCACCATCACCCAACTCTGCAAGTCGCGCTTTGATTTGATCATTCTCCTCTTTCAACTTGTTGATCTCATTGCCTAGTTGTAATAGATGATCGTTGTCTCGTTTCAATCTTTTGTTCTCTTCTTCCAATTCTGTAGCCAATCCAGCTGCCGAGTCCAATGTGAAGTATTGTATTGTTGTTCCAAATCGTTTCTTGTTGTACGATCTCGATTCAATTTGAACTTTGAGTACCATAATGGCATGCCATTGATCAATCTTGCGTATCAATACCTTCCACTTGTGACGATCGTCGTTGTCAACGTCGTACGTGTCCACATTGGGGAATGCTTGAATGATGGACTTTAGGAACTTTGCTCGACGGCTGTCGATGGAGCTGGATGCCATCACTGGTGTCTTTGCCGACAGGGTCAGCGATGTCATGTGATGTTTGATCGATGGCAATGCCTCCTTTCTAACATTGGTGCTCACATGTTGTATCGAGAGTGATCGAATTGGTTGAGCAGTCTTGACCAACTTTAGTTGAGGGAAGGAGCTAATATTGAGGTGTGTGACACTGGGACACTTGATTGAGTTCTTTTGCGATGAGCCAATGGTCAGTGATGTGAGTGATTGAGGTATCACTTTGTTTTCTATTCGTTTGTTGTAATGATCTCCAAAGATCAATGTTGCCAGCGTGGTTGGTAGTACGTCAACGAGTAGTTCTTGATTGAATGTTCGTCCAAACTTCAAGGAGGTCAACGACGAGGGCAGCTGACCAGGATTGATCAGTCGATTAAATTGATCATTAAACTCCAGTGACAAGATTGATGATGGGAGACTGCCTGGGATGATACTCTGGTTGAATGATCTAGAGTAGTCTCCCTTGAATATCAACGTCTCCAAGGAGTCTGGAATGAATCCAACGGGGATAGGTTGATTAAACTCTTGTCTAAAGGTCAGGATCTTGAGGGAGTTGGGCAGAGATCCAACGACAAGGTATCGATCAGACTCGCCTCCGATGATCAACTTGACCAATGAGCTGGGTAGTGAACCATGCTCTAATGCCTGATCAAACCTTCTACCAATCTCCAACATGGTGAGCGACGAGGGGAGAGTGCCAATTGGCAATGGGTGCTTGTAATCCTCGCCAAGATATAGCGTTTGTAATGACGAGGGTAGATGACCAGGCAGCAAAGGTTGTTTGAAACCCTGATTGAAGTGCAACGTCTTGAGACGAGCTGGTAGCACACCTGGTCCAAACGGTTGGTTGTACCATGAATGTTCAAAGGAAAGCACTGTGAGGGATTGGGGCAGAGCACCAACTTTGAACGGTCGATCAAATTTGTTGCGCATTATTAGGCTCTCGAGATGGTTTGGCAATACTCCAGGATGGAACTCATGAGCGTATCCTCCTTTCAAGCTCAATGTGATCAGACTGCTTGGTAGCACTCCAATGTCAAACTCTTGTTTGAAATCATTCTCTATCGTGAGTGATGTGATTGATTGCGGCAGTGAACGAGGTTGGATCTGTTGCTTAGAGTTGAAGGACATCTTTAGCTTGGTGAGTGACTGGGGAAGTAGTCCAGGCAGCAGTTCTTGCTCAAAGAGACGGTCAAGCTTTAGCGATCTGAGTGATGAGGGTAGCAGATTGGGCGTGATCAATTGTTTCGTCATGGAATTGAATGAGGCAAGATCCAACTTTATGAGTCCTGAAGGTAGGACGCCTGGTTGCAGTTCCATGTCAAATCGGTTGTGAAGTGACAGCTTGGTGAGTGATGGAGGTAGTTGTGATGGTTCCAGTTTCCTTTTGAATTCGTAGCCCAGTGTCAAGCAGGTGAGTGATGGTGAGAGAGTGGGCAGATACCTCGAGGACTTGTGGTACAACTCTGTGACGTGTGCTGGGGCTGTGGACTTGATTGATGGTGGTAGTTTAACGACACTTGGAGTGACATTGAGTTTGATAGGTCTCTTGTTGTACAACTCTGCAAACATAAGTTTACAAGTCATTCCCAAACAAACTGAATCCATATCATAATCACAAAGATATTCAAATATCTTTCTCAATACTACTAATGTTCTTTGTTGTTGGTCCATAATCTCTAATTATCTATCTATCAATTATTATTATAGTATATCTTTGTATCTATACAGAATGACACAATTCATGTCATGTTCCTGATTGGTCACACTTAGGTCGACACGACACCCACACTTGATCAAACGTCTTTGTGATTCTTCTAAAAAAAAAATATTAAGTTTTGATCTTGTTATTCGTCGAGTGACGTTTGAAGCCTACTGTTTGACGAATGGCTGGATGACCTTGACGATCTCAGTGTCGAATGGAGTGTCTGGCAGTTGTTGACCGTCAAGTATGTTCTTTGTTGCGGTGAGGTCAAGTTGAGCGTTGTGTGGCCTGGGTGCGCCAGATGGTGGATGGTTGGCTGCTTTGATGCTGGCTGGATCAATGTTGAGAAGTTTGGACATGTCCACAGCCATGTCATATTTAGTCTTTCGTTGAGTGCCAGTGAATTGAATCACTCCCTTGACCAACTGATCGTCCTGAGTCTTCTTCTGTATCAACATGATTGAACACTTGGCAACATCATCCACCAGAGTTGGATAACGTATCTGCCAATTGTCAACATCATTGTTTGGATTCTTTAATAGTTGTTCAGCAACCACTGTCACTGCACTCTCGCCAAGTGTCTCTACCTGTCCATAAAGTACTGGTACTCTAAGTATAACCTTGGATTGTTTGATTGATTGAGTGAGTACCCTGAGCGAGTGATCGTTGAGTGAACATAATCTACTTACATTTCTCGAGTTTGATCTGGTGGCAACTATCTCTGACTCCTTCTTTGTCTCACCATAGAATGACAGTGGATTGGTAACAGAGTCTGGGTAATATGGTGGATGCTTGCCATCAAACACATAGTCTGACGAGATTAGGAACAAGTATGCATTCAATTGTTTGGCAAGATCTGAGAGATACTCTGTTGACCTACATGATTAGGTGTTAGTAAGTGTAGAGGTAGGTAGGGTAGGGCATTGACTTGACACAAAGACAAAGACAAGGGACTTACAGAACGTTTAACTTTATAACTCTGTCTTTGTCATTCTCACAGACATCTGGTCTACGTTCTGCAGCACAATGTATAATGACGTTTGGTTTGAATGCTGTTACTGTGGCTTTGAGATGTTCCTTATCATCCATATTGACCTTGGCCAGAGGGTATGTATCTTTATATAGATCATAACGTGAATACGCCAGTCCAAGCAACTCGAATTGATTCTTATACTGCTCAGACATCAATACTCTACAATATGCTCTACCAAGCAAACCAGATGCACCTGTTACCAATACTCTTATACTCATTGTCTTTATTAGTTATATATGTTATTATTATCTTTTGTTGTTGTTGTGTTGGGAGAATGAAGTGAATGAAGTGAGAGGTGTGTTGAAGTTCAACAAAACACTTCAACTTCACTCATTCATTCATTTGAGAGAGATACACATAATTAGTTAGTTTATTTCTTTCTTCTTGTGATTGACTTCTTGGTCTCTAGTGGCTTTGTTGGTACTACTGCTACTGTAGTTGGCATAACCGTGGCTGGTAGCTTTGATGCACGTGGTCTTGTCTTTGGTTGAAGTGCTTGAGGCATTGGTGGTGGAGTGGCCGCCTTTGATCGTCGACGATCACCTTCCAACGCTACCAGACGTGCTTTAAGTTGTTCATTCTCTTCTTTCAACGCTTGTAGATCATCGACATAATGTGCCATCTCATCATTCTCTTGTTGCAATCTCTTGTTCTCCTCTTCTAACTCTTCCAATAGTCCTGCTTGTGATTGTGTCGTAAAGAAGTATATAGTTTCCTTTCTGTTGTTGTTGTTGTTCCTGTTGTCATCATCACCATAATCATCATCATTATCATTGTCATCATTTGATAATGTACTCTCACTTATTAATAATAATGCATGATATGGACCAAGACGACGAATCCTAACACTCCAATTGGGTCCGTTGACAATGTCATAAGTGTCCACCAATGGGAATCCACGAATGATTGACTTGATGAACGTAGCACGACGAGTGTCTATGGCACTTGATGCCAGAGAAGGTGTCCTTGCCATCAGTTTCAAAGTTGACAAGTGTTCCTTGTACGATGGCACTGCTTCCTGTCTAATGACGTTGGTGCTGACATGGCAGACGTGAAGTGAACAGAGTGACGACGGGAAGTGGACCTTCTTGAATTGATTGAATTGGTAGATCGACAGATAGGTCAAACTACTCGGACACTTGACCGTCAGCTTTTGTCCGAGGCCAATGGTCAACGAGGTGAGCGACGCGGGCAACATCCTTTTTGGAATTGATCGATTGAACGTCTCGCCAAAGACCAACGTTTGAAGTGATGTTGGCAACACATCAGTCTTGATCTCTTGATTGAAGTTGTCGCCAAAGACCAACGATGTGAGTGAGTTGGGTAGGTCACCAGGTTGGATCGGTCTGTCATACTTGTCACTGAATGACAGGGAGAGGAGTGACGTTGGCAGACTGTTGGGCGTGATGATCTGATTGAATGAATGTCTGCCTAGGTTATCATTGGCGAATGACAGTTCCCTCAGTGAGTCGGGTAGATAACCAACGGGGATCGGATGATTGAAAGCCCCACCAAACGCCAGTGTCTTTAACGTTGTTGGCAGGGACCCGACGACAAGACAATCGTTGTACGTGGAAGACAAGGTCAAATGGACGAGCGAGCTGGGCAATGACATTAGCATCTGTTTGAAGGCATATCCAATCTCCAACCGGGTCAAGGAGTTGGGTAGGACACTCGGTGGTATCGGTTGATTGAAGCTATTACCCAGGTTGAGTTTGCGAAGGGTTGGGGGCAGGTCACCAACATCGACCACTTGATTGAACGATGCACCAAGGTCAAGTGTCAATAGTGAGCGTGGCAGTACACCGGGTAGGAATGCTCTGTTGAACTTTGACGAGTCGATAAACGACAATGAGGTGAGTGCTGGAGGTAGTGCACCTGCTCGGAACATCTGATTGAACGCGTTGCTCAGAGTCAGAGACACTAGCGAGTCGGGGAGCACACCAGGCATCAACTCTTTATCAAACCTTGATTGATCGGTGAATGAAAGAGTGAGCAAGGTGGCAGGCAACACGCCCACTTTGATCTCCTGGTTGAAAAATTGGCCAAGCGCCAGGTTGGTCAATGCTGGCGGTAGTGATCGTTGCTCCAGCGCATGATTGAACGTGTGACCAACCACCAATGTTCTGAGTGACGCTGGCAGTAGTCCTGGCATCAAATCTTGATTGAACCCTGATCCAAAGGTCAACGAGGTGAGCGACGATGGTAGGATGCCTGGCTGCAGAACTTGCTTCGTGATTGTATTGAATCGTCGCAGGTCCAAGGTCTTGAGGGTCGATGGTAGATCACCTTGTGCCAGCTCATAGTTGAGCTGACAGTGTAGGGTCAACGAGGTGAGTGACGCGGGCAGTACATTGGGCATAATTCGTTTCTTGTATCTGCTGCCCACGACCAACCTGGTCAATGTTGGCGGTAGGTTCTTGATGTCCTTTATATAGTCGTGATACAACTCCACACCAGCGTCGGGCGATAGTTTATCGATTGTTGTTGGTGTAACATTGAGTCGTAGTTGTCTCTTGTTGTACATCTCTGTGAAGCATCGTTTACACGTCAGTCCAAACGACACACAATCAATCTCATATTCACGACTACTCAATTGATCAAATATATTTCTAATTATTATTAATGATAATCTATCCATCATGTACTCTAATGTAATAAATAATTATTATTTATCTGTATAAATTATGACGAACAAAATGATCACTCAGATCATGTCATCTTAAAAAATATCTTGGTCGTTTCAAAAACGAACAATTCTTGAAAAAGTCTGGGGCAAGGGCGAGGGCAAGGGCTTGACGTGATGATATGTTTATTTCCTTCCTCTTGTACTCTTGGCAATAGGCTTGGATGGTGGCGCAGTAGGTACAACAACATTGATCTCCCATTCCTTCAAATATTGATTGAGTTGATTGGTAACTGACTCTGTCTTCTCATTCAATCTCTCCACTTGGTTCTTGAGTTGATCATTCTCTTGTTTCAATTGATTGATCTCTTCATCAGTCTTAATGCTCAACTTGTGTGACTACTCCAACTTGATTTCAAACGATTAGTCCCTGCTCTGAATCTTGCCATTAAACTCTCCATACTTGTCCAATGGAAGGAACTGTATTCTCTTCTTGTTGTTTGATTGTTGGTGGTATGCACTGCTGAGAATGATTGAATTCCAAGGATCGATCTTGCGAAGTTGAACACTGTACTCCTTACTATGTATGTTGTAAGTGTCAACGTTTGGTATCGATTGGATCAATGTCTTGATTTGTTCAATTCTACGTCCGGAGCCAGTCATCGTATAGAGTGATTGGCTGTCAATGGTGAATAATCTAAAATGTTGTTTGGTCGATGGACATTCCCTGATGAGCTCCTTGGTAGGGCCAATTCTAAAATATATGGATCTATGCTTGTTGTTGATGACCATTGACCCAATGTTGTCACATTTGATAGATGTTATGAGACCCAAAGATCCCATCTCAAGTCTATCTAAACATGGGAATGACACTGGTGAGTTGTAAACTATGAGTGATGTGAGTGATGATGGGAGCTCATCGGCCGTCAGTGGAAAGGAGTACGATTCACCCATGTCCAATTCAGTGATTGATGGTGGCAACACTTCAGGTAGGATTCGCGATTCGAATCGGCTACCAAACTTGAGTGATGTCAACGATGTTGGTAGAGTATCATATTGGATCGGGTGTTTGTATGTTGGACTCATTGTCAATGTCTTGAGTGATGATGGTAACGTGCCAGGTGTGATTGGTTGATGATCATAGGGCAGGTCACAATGTATAAACGATAACTCGGTCAATGAAGCCGGCAGCGCCCCTAGAGGGATTACACCATCAAAGCAATGCGAAATGTAGAGTGATTGGAGAGAGTTGGGTAGCATTCCAACTGTGATCACTGGATTGGCATAGAGTGACAGGGATGCGAGTGAGTTGGGAAGTGAATCTAGATCGATCGTCCTGCCGTTGAATATTGACACTGTCAGTGCGGTCTTCGAGACAGTAGAATGTCTCGAAGAATAGATCTATTGAACCCATCTCCAAGATCCAAGGTCTGAAGAGATGTGGGCAGTACACCAGGACGAAGTTGTTGGTTATATAATGTATTCTTTGTGCCCAACGATAGATAGGTGAGTGATGGCGGTAGTGATCCAACTGTAAACTTTTGATTGTAATGTGACCCAAGACTGAGTGATTGTAAACGTCTTGGTAACACTCCAGGCAAGAACTCTTTGTTATAGAATGAGTATGCGGCAAATGTCAATGCTGTCAGTGACTCGGGCAGCACTCCCAATCCTATTTCATGATCGAAATCAGAACCAATGTTTAGTGTTTCCAATATTCGAGGTAGTGATCGTTTGCTAAAGATTGGATTGAATCGATTACCCAGCGTCAGTGATATAAGTGATGATGGGAGGAAGCCTGCCAAGATAGTATCCTCGTATTTACAACCAAGTGACAATGATGTGATTGATGATGGTAAGCATTCAATCATTCCGATCGGATAGTCGCCCATGTCTAGAGTCCTGAGTGATGAGGGTAGGCTTCCAGAGTGTTAGTCCCCTTTAATCTTGGTACTGGTAATCTTTAGTGATGTGAGTGAATGAGGCAGGTCGGATTGGTCAAGCTGATTGAAGTTGGGACCAAGCTCGAGGTGTCTCAATGTTGGTGGGAGTCTGTTTGTAAAGTGAGAAAGGTTGTAGACCATCTCATCATTGGGCAACAATGATATTCCTTTGATACTATTCGGTGCAACATCGATTTGTAGTTGTCGTTTCCTGTTGTTGTACATCTCTGTAAACAATCTTTTGCAAGTCATACTCAAACATAATGAATCAATATCATCTTTGATACTCAATTGATCAAATATCACTCTTATAACTATTAATGGTAAACTATTCATCAAAGTATCTATCTCTATCTCTTTGTGTGATTGAATGAATTTTAATTAATGATTGAAAAGGATGAATTGTTGGTGAGTGAGGGCAAGGGTGAGGATATGGGAATACAACTTTACAGATGATATTTATTGAGTTGGTTGGCTTTGTGATCTTGAGGCTAGTTAATTATCAGGGGATAAAGGTGAATATCTTTGTATCTTGCTCAACTCCACGCCAATGTTATGGTCCTCCAATCCATTGAAATGATTATCCTTGATATCAATCTCATCATGATCTACTTTGTTATTGTCTCCATTTGAATCCAAGATGGGCAGACTAAGGTATGTATCACCCGGTGTAGCTTCATCATCAGTATCAGATTTTGTTATCCTATTGATAAAGGAGGTACACTTGTTCCTTATCCACTCTGATAGACCTTGTTCCAAAAATCTGTGTGATAGGTAGGCCAGTGCAAGGCCAGCGGGAAGCGCAATGAGAAAATCAGCCACGGCAGTACCTGAGTTTGAGAAGTCGCCTCCTGCCAACCTGAAGAAATATTTTACAATATCAATGGCCACGAAATGGAGAAGATACCATGAGAAAGAGACGTCTCCAAGCCATAGGAGGAAACGAGGAATATAAGGTGGATGCTCTTTGAATGTGAGAGCCATGATGATGAACAAAGTCGATAATGGACCACCCCATTGTGAGAGTCCATGAGTATAGGAATGAGATGGTCGGGCATACCAAATGAGGTAGACGATGTTGCAAAGGATCAACATTGCAGAGAACCATTTGTTCTTGATTGATGTTGACATATAGAGGAATCCACCAAACATTCCGACAGCAAAGTCCCAAATGATCGGATTGCACATCAGATTCATGTATCCAAACCACATGTCGTCTGTATAGTTAGGCAGAAGAGACCAATTACCAGTTCGAATGATTGGGAACAAGACAAGAGTGATCACAATCCAAAACATGAGTGCTGTGTATCGCTGACCACGGGCAAGCATTGAAAGTCCGAATATCAAGTAGAAGTAGATTTCAAAGTTGAGCGTCCAGGCGAGTCCAAATGTTTGTCCAAAGTATGGAGCATCTTTGGGGTTGACAGGATAGAAGAATAAAGTTTTAAAAACTTCGTTGGCCTTTAGTGGAGTAACCAAGAAAGATGATTCACGTAGGAATGTCACTGTGAAGATCATCTGAATGGCAAAGATAATAGCAAACACTGGCCAAATACGAGCGAATCGTTTGATTAGGAATGTTGCAACATATTTGAGTGAACCATCTGATGAACGGGTGGTGTACACCATGATGAATCCACTGACCAGGAAGAACAGGTCGACTCCCATTGCACCCGGTCTTAGATATATCAAGCTCCATGCATATATTGGTGTACTCATGAAGATGAATTGATCATGGCATAATACTACTAACAATGCTGCAATACCTCGCAAAGCCTGTATCCAATCAAGTGACTGACTACTCTTGGATGTAATATTTTTGTCCGCTTGCTTGTTACAATTTTTAGTAATACCTTTGCAACTCTTTGGAATAAACTGCATTTTTCTTCTCTAATATATAAAAAAAAATTAGAAAATTATTAGTAATATTATTATTATTATATATTATTATTATTATTATTATTGGACTGATTCTGATTATTATTTTGTTATACTGAATCCTATTTATATCCATCGAATATTTTTTCTTTGGAATAAGAGTATACATTATATTGTTAATTATTTAGTTGAGATATTCTTAACCAGGGAGACTTGATCGTTCCTTTAATTGTCAGGAATTATCAGTCCGGGAGTGTAAACTAATGGAGTGATGTTCTAATAACTAAATGATACTATTCAGAGGATCCATAGGGTCTGTCTACTTTTGGCAGTGTCCAGGGTCCAGTGTCCTGGACAACAGTTTTTACAAAAAAGTATTTCCCGTGATACACACCTGATCAGGAATGGGGGTTATTTGCACTGATCATTGAAAAGAAATTTCAGTGCATGCCAACACGTTGCATCCGGAGTATGTCCACATCGACTTACACAATGATCTCATAGATAGTAATGGAATTGGGTTCCAAACTAAATGAGAGATGTAAAAGTAAAGTATCTGATAGTGTCGATTAGCGAAGATAGAGTTCTATCCTTTGACAGTGTTCTCTGAATTCGATTGCCCTGGTGGAGTTGGAAGTGCAACGTATGAGTGGTCTCCAGGAACCAAGTTGCCTTCTCTATCGACGTTGTCATTAATCTCATAGATTGAGCGATTGATTACCTTTGAAATACTCCACCTGAATATTTGGCCACGTTATGGTAGACTGGGAAGAAAGACAATACCTAACTCGTTGAACAGAAAAATCTGGACAAACAGTTGTAGACAGACTATCTATGAACAATGCGAAGACCTTAATTGCTCGAGCTCAATGTCATACTAATCCATCAGTCAATCATTCAATCAATCATACAACGATTATCATTTTTAATCGATCAACATCACATTTATTGAATTATAAATATGTTTCACATGTTGTCGCACCAATGTATCCATCTTGTGTCCTCTCTGCCGACTCTATATCTTGGTGTTTGTCTATTGCGGTGCCGCTTTCCAACTCTGTGATGTCATTGTTATACTTGGCCGTAACTTCGTTGGATAATGTGATGCCAGAACGTGATAGACCTCATAACATATCTTGGATGTTGTTGTACTAATCCATCAACCTGTCAAGTACTCCATCTTAACCGATAGGTAACATTAACACCTCAAAGGTCCTCTTGTGTCGCTGTAACATAAACTTCTCCACTGTTCCTCTGTAGAATCGCCCAGTCTTTCCATTGTCATAGTTCATGAAGACAAGAACTTCGGCTCCTTCGATCCTGCTGTCATCTTGTTGAGTGTAGGCAGTGGCAATGCACACGTTACAGTCAACTGACTATCTGTTCCTTGATCAAATCACTTCATTTTGCTCATCGTAATCAGATGACTTGACTGTGCCAGTTTCCAACGTCTACCTCAATCGACATCACATAGACTTTGTCGCCATCATTGTAATAGTGTGTGTTCCCACAGCAGCATCGATGTGTCCTGCAACTGTGGCACATCCTCCATCATTGGAACAAGCGCATGTTCAATGGTACCGGTCTGTGTTTGCTCGCCATCACTGTTGTCCATTCATGTCTCGCTAGGAAATGGATGGTGGGAATTGTCCGATGGTCTGTTTGATGACGTTGCCGCGCTTCAGCTGCACTTGACACAACTACAAATGGTACCGTTGGCATTGCGTTCCAATACCAACTTATTGACGTAGTGCCTTCCTTCTGGTGCAATGTTGATTAGGCGGTCAAGCGATCCGACCAAATAGATGGCTTCAGGTAGGTGATGGTAGAGGCAATGAATCGTGGTCGTTGTAGTGCTTGTAGTGGTCGTTGTTGTAGTAGTACTGCTGCTGCTGGTGTTGCTGGTGTTTCTGGTGTTGTTGACACAATGCTCGCTGTCTGATGTGTCAATCTCCATTTCCTCTAATAGTAGACATTCATCGTTGTTACTATTGTGGTTGCTTGTGTTTGACATTGTTGGTAGTGGAGCAATGGAGTACTCAAAGTGTGTAGTCGGTGGTAGCTTTGTCATCAWYSATCGGATCCTGTTTGCAATATCAACAACATCAAGATTGTTTGTCATAGGTGTTGAAACCAGTCATTCCTCACAGCAAGGATGGCCAAACGCTCCTGGATACAATCCTGAACAAGGTTGGAGATACCATGTCGCTTTTGAATGGATGTCTTCACTATTGTTGGGATATGATGGTGTAAGTTGTTGATCATGTGTTTGGTTACTCCTTTCGAGCAGGTGTATATATACCTTTGGCCTTGATCTCTGGTAGGTTTGCTCGATGGAAGATATACAACTCGACTAATAGGTGTCAACTAAGACATGGAACATCATTTTAAACTTGATAACAAACGTGGAAGGATGAAGGAGTTAAAGAAGTGGCTCGCAGATCGATTAGTTAATCCACTACTACTAGTCACTGACTGACTGACAGGTTGACTCGCGGATCGATTAGTGTATCCACTGCTGCTGCTGCTGCTGCTGCTGGGTACTGAATGACTGATTGGTTGGCTCGATGATCGATCGCTGCGATCCACCAAGCGAGTGTGTGCTGGTGCCACCATTGTCACTGCTACTACTACTGCTGCTGTTGATTGTTACACCGTGATAAGACCAAGATTTAACATAGTATTAACTTTATATTTTAAATGTATGTATATATGTATATGTATATGTGTATATAAGTATGTTAGTTATGATAATGTTATCGAATAAACACCTTACTTGTTCTTCACAATGGAAAATGAGAACTGTGGTGGGAGTTGGTGAGTGAGGGCAAGGGCGAGGGTAAGGGTAGGGCAAGGGTTTTCAACTTTATAAATGATATTTATTGAGTTGATGATTCATCCCTTGTTTCTTCAATCTATGCCTCTTGTTACGTCTTGATTTCCATTGTTTGGTCTTATTATCCTCGATTATTGCCATCATCTTTCTAACCTTGTCAAAAGTAAAGAATTGTATTTCCTTCTTGATGATTGATTGTTCATCCTCTTGACAATCGTGTGTACTGATGAGAATGATTGCGTACCTTTGATTAATCCTGCGAAGTTGAACGCTCCACTCCTTACAAAGTACATTGTAAGAGTCAACGTTTGGTATAGATTCGGTCAATGACTTGATGTGTTGCGCTAGATGTTTGGGATCGGTCGTTGAACTGAGTGTTCGATTGCCAATGGTGAATGATCCAAAATGTTGTTTGATAGATGGAAATGCCATATTCAACAACCATTGACCCAATATGGTCACACTTCATCGATTTTAAGACACCCAAAGATCTGATCTCTAGGCTCTCCAATCTTGGGAATGACACTGGTGAGCCATAAACTTTGAGTCATGTGAGTGATGATGGTAGCTGGTCTGTAGTCAGTGGATAGGAGTACCATTGGCCCAGTTCTAATGCGGTGATTGATGACGGTAACACTCCAGGTTGTAATTGAGATTTGAAACCGTTACCAAACTTGAGTGATGTCAATGATTTGGGTAAAGTACCATGTTGGATCGGGTAATTGTATGAACGATTCATTGTCAATGTCATGATTGATGACGGCAATGTGCCAGGTGTGATTGAATGATGAAGGAACACCTGGTTACAATACTCAAATGATAACTCGGTCAATGTAGGTGGTAGCGCCCCTATAGGTATGTCACCATTAAAGTCATTTGAAATGAAGAGTGATTGGAGAGAGTTTGGTAACATTCCAACTGTGATCACTGGTCTGTTGCTGAGCGATAGGGATATGAGTGAGTTGGAGAGTGCACCAGACTCGATCGGTCGGCCTTCATTCATTGGCACACTCAGTACGGTCAATGTGTTGGGTAGAGTGCCTCGTTGATATGATTGAAATAGACCATCTCCAAGATCCAATGTCCTAAGTGCTGTGGGAAGTGGCACCGGGTTCAAGTTGGTGTTCAAAAGATGGTGCGTTCGATGAACCGCTCGTTCCCCATGACAGGTAGGTGAGTGATGGCGGGAGTGATCCAAGACTGAGTGATTGTAGACCACTGGGCAACACTCCAGGAAAGAACTCGCTTTTGTACAATGAACGTCTGGCAAACGACAATGCTGTCAGTGACTCGGGCAGCACTCCCAATCCAATCGAATTGGTGAATCCTTTACCAATATTTAGTGTTTCCAATGTTCGAGGTAGTGATCGTTCGCTCAATGTTGGATTGAATCGATCACCCAACGTCAATGATATGAGTGATGATGGGAGGAGCCCTGGCAAAATAACATGGTCGTATTTACAACCAAGTGACTATGATGTAATTGATGATGGCAAGCAATCATTCATTCTGATCAAATAGTTGCCCAGATCTAGAGTCCTGATCGATGAGGGTAGGTTTCCAAAGTGTAAACTACCATTGATTATATTAACACCAGCAATCTTGAGTGACACGAGTGATCGAGGCATGTAGGATTGTTCAAACATCATAAACTTGGGACCAAGCTCGAGGTGCCTCAGTGTACGTGGGAGTCTTTTAGTGAAGCGAGGAAGGTTGTATACCATCTCGACATCGTTGTCCAACTTTAAACCACTGATTCCTTGTGTTGGCGCGACACTGAGTTGTAGTTGTCTCTTGTACATCTCTGCAAACAATCGTTTGCAAGTCATACCAAAACATACACAATCCATATCATCCTTGATACTCAATTGATTAAATATCGTTCTTATTAATATTAATGGTAAACTATCCATAATCTCTATATCTCTGTATCATTATCTGTATCTCTTTGAATGAATGTGTGAATGAAATGAATGAAATCAAATGAAGCAATAAAAGTGAAGTGTTGGGGCTAGGGCAAGGGGAAGGGTAAGGGTTGAGGGTTTGACTTGATATGTTTATATCCTTCTTCTTGTACTCTTGGCAACAACAGGCTTGGTTGGTGGTGTTGGTACAACTACTTTGATCTCCCATTCCTTCAAATATTGATTGAGTTGATTGGTGACCGACTCTAACTTCTTGCTTTCCTCTTTCTTCTCTTGAACCAATCGTTCCACTTTGCACCTGAGTTGATCATTCTCTTGTTTCAATCTATTGTTCACATCGTTTGTCTTGGTCCTCGACCCTACCTTCTTTCCATCCTCAATAAGATTTGCATTGGTGATGGTGAGTCGATCATTCTCTTGTTTCAAACGATTGATCTCATCTTGAAATCTTGACACCAACTCTCCAGACTTGTCCAAAGTGACGAACTGTATTCTCTTCTTGGTGATTGATTGTTCATCCTCTATACATCTGTATGTACTGATGAGAATGATTGCATTCCATTGATCAGTCTTGCGAAGTTGAACACTCCAGTCTACGCAGTGTATGTTGTAAGAGTCAACGTTTGGTATCGATTTGATCAGTGACTTGATATGTTGCACTCGATGTTTGGGATCGGTCGTTGAACTGTGTGATCTGCTGCCAATGGTGAATGATCCAAAATGTTGTTTGGTCGAAGGCCATTTACTGTTTGTCTTCTTGATATCAATGCTACAATCGATAAGCAGTGATCCAATATAATCACACTTGATCTCTGTGAAGTATTTCATTGAACTGATCTCAAGACTCTCCAATCTTGGGAATGTCAAGGGTGCACCACTTATTCTGAGCGATGTGAGTGATGATGGGAGCTCTTTGGCAGTCAGTGAATGGGCATACGAATGGCCCAGGTCCAATGCGGTGATTGACGATGGCAACACTCCAGGTTGGAATTCCTTGTTGCAGCCAATAAACGTGAGTGATGTCAAAGCAGAGGGCAGGATACCTTGTTTGATCCGGTGCATGTAAGGACCAATATTCAAGGTCTTTAGTGATGATGGTAATGTGCCAGGTTGGATTGGATCATTAATAATGGTACAACTGTCAAACGATAGCATGGTCAATGACTCTGGCAGTGCTCCCACTGGGATGACACCGGGAAACTGTTCTGTAATGTAGAGTGATTGGAGTGAGTTGGGCAGCATTCCAACAGTGATCTCTGGTCTGTTGAGGATAGTCAATGAAATGAGTGAGTTGGGAAGTGCACCTGGCTCGATCACTTGGTCTCCATTCATGGGTGCCTCAATTTCGGTCAAAGAGTTGGGCAGAATACCTCGTCGAATCGATTGTTTGAATGAATGGCCCAGAGTCAATATGTGAAGTGAAGCGGGCAGTACACCAGGTTGGAACTCTTGATTATATTTTGAATCATAGGTTTGCGAAATTGACAAGCGAGTGAGTTCTGGCGGGAGTGATCCAACTCTAAACATCTGATTGTAATGCTTTCCAAGTGTCAATGATTGAAGTTGGTTGGGCAACACTCCTGGCATGAACTCTTTGTTGTACAATGAGTATCTATCGAATGAGAGAGAGGTGAGTGATGGTGGCAGCACTTCCAATCCAAACTCCTGTGTATAGTTCATGCCAATCTTTAGTGTTTCCAATGTGAGTGGAAGTGATCGTTCGCCAATGCGTTGGTCGAATCGAGCACCCAGAGTCAACGATATGAGTGATGGAGGGAGGAGACCTGGCAGAAGAGGGTCATTGTAGATGTCGCCCAGTGACAAAGATGTGATTGTTGTTGGCATCCTTCTATTTGCATCTTCTGAATAGGTTTTGAAATGATCACCAAGCTCCAGTGTCTTGAGTGATGGTGGCAACTGATCAAACCTCAGGTTATAGTGAAATGTACTTTTCAACTTGAGTGATGTGAGCGATGGAGGGATGAACGATTGGTCCAACAATCTGAACTTGGGACCAAGCTCGAGGTGTGTCAATGTTGGTGGAAGGCTACGAGGCGTGCCCACAAGGTTGTGAAACATCTCTACATCAGAGTTGTCCAACAATGTTACACCAATGATACCATCTTTTGGCGTAACCTTGAGTTGTAGTTGCCTCCTGTTGTGTATCTCTGCAAACAATCGTTTGCAAGTCATACCCAAACATACACAGTCAATATCATCTTTGATACTCAATTGATCAAATATCACTCTTATAACTATTAATGGTAAACTATTCATGATGATCTCTATATCTCTGTATTATTTGTTTATCTGTATCTCTTTCTGTATATTCATCAAATGAATGAAAAGTTGAAATGTGTGTTGATGTTCAAAGGGCTGGGGTGAGGGTAAGGGTTAGGGTAAGGGTAAGGGTTTGACTTGATATGTTTATTTCCTTCTTCTTGTACTCTTGGCAACAACAGTATTGGTTGATGGAGTCATTTCTGAAGATACAAAACATTTTGTCTCCTATTCCTTCAAATATTGATTGAGTTGATTGCTGACTGACTCTAACTTCTTGCTTTCCTCTTTCTTCTCTTGAACCAATCGTTCCACTTTACACTTGAGTTGATCATTCTCTTGTTTCAATCTATTGTTCACATCATCCGTCTTGGTCCTCGACTTTACCAACTCTGCATTGGTGATGGTGAGTCGATCATTCTCTTTCTTCAATCGATTGATCTCATCCTCCAATCTTGACACCAACTCTCCAGACTTGTCCAAAGTGACAAACTGTATTCTCTTCTTGTTGGCGATTGATTGTTCATCTTCTTTACATTTGTATGTACTGATGAGAATGATTGTATTCCATGGATCAGTCTTGCGAAGTTGAACACTCCATTCCTGGCTGTGTATGTTGTAAGAGTCGGCGTTTGGTATCGATCGGATCAGCGACTTGATATGTTGCACCCGATACTTGGGATCGGTCGTTGAACTGTGTGATCTGCTGCCAATGGTGAATGATCCAAAATGTTGTTTGGTCGATGGCCATGGTGTAGTACCATTTGACTTCCTGCTATCAATGCCACTGTTGATAACCAGTGATCCAATATAATCACACTTGATCTCTGTGAAGTGTTTCAAAGAACTAATCTCAAGTGTCTCGAGTCTCGGGAATGTCAAGGGTGAACCACCAATTCTGAGCGATGTGAGTGATGATGGGAGCACTTTGGCAGTAAGTGAATGGGCATACAAGTGGCCCAGGTCCAATGCGGTGATTGACGATGGCAATACTCCAGGTTGGATTATCCTGTTGAAGTTAATTAACTTGAGTGATGTCAGCGCAGATGGCAGAGTACCTTGTATGATTGGGTGAATGTATATAATTGTCAATGTCTTGAGTGATGATGGTAATGTGCCAGGTGTGATTGGATGATCAAGATAGAGACAACCCTCAAACGAGAGCTTGGTCAATGACTCTGGAAGTGCGCCCATAGGTATGACATCGGCAAAGCGAGATGTAATGTAGAGTGATTGGAGTGAGTTGGGCAGCATTCCAACACTAATCACTGGGTTGACGCTGAGAGTCAAGGATATGAGTGAGTTGGGAAGTGCACCTGGCTCGATCACTTGGTCTCCATTCATGGGCAAATCAATGTTGGTCAAAGAGTTGGGCAGAATACCTCGTCGAATCGATTGTTTGAATGTATGGCCCAGAGTCAATGTCTGAAGTGATGCGGGCAGTACACCAAGTTGGAACTCTTGATTATACTTTGATTCTATGGAGCTCAAAAATGACAAGTGAGTGAGTGCTGGCGGGAGTGATCCAACTCTAAAAATCTGATTGTATTCCTTTCCAAGTGTCAATGATTGAAGTTGGTTGGGCAACACTCCTGGAATGAACTCTTTCTCGTACAATGAGTATTCATGGAACGAGAGAGAGGTGAGTGATGGTGGCAGCACTCCCAATCCAAACTCTTGTGTATAGCTCCTTCCAAACCTAAGAGTTTCCAATGTGAGTGGAAGTGATCGTTCGCCAATGCGTTGGTCGAATCGAGCACCCAGCGTCAATGATTTGAGTGAAGAAGGGAGGAGGCCTGAGGGAAGACCGTCATTGTACACATTGCCCAATGACAATGATGTGATTGTTGCTGGCATCCTTCTATTTGTATTCTCAGAATAGTTTTTGAAATGATCACCAAGCTCCAGTGTCTTGAGTGATGGTGGCAACTGATCAAACCTCAAGTTATAGTGTAATACACTTTTCAACTTGAGTGATGTGAGCGAAGGCGGCATAAAGGAATGGTCCATCAGTCTGAACTTGGGACCAAGCTCGAGATGTGTCAATGTTGGTGGGAGGTTCCGAGATATGCTCACAAGGCTGTAAACCATCACAACATCAGAGTTGTCCAACAATGTTACACCACTTATACCTTTTTTTGGTGTAACCTTGAGTTGTAATTGTCTCTTGTTGTGTATCTCTGCAAACAATCGTTTGCAAGTCATACCCAAACATACACAGTCAATATCATCTTTGATACTCAATTGATCAAATATCACTCTAATAACTATTAATGGTAAACTATCCATGATGATCTCTGTATCTCTGTAAATATATGTGATAAATGAATGAATGATTAAATAGAAAAGGGCGGGTTCACAATGGCGAGGGCGAGGGCGAGGGCGAGGGTTAGGGTTAGGGTAAGGATTTGACCTGATGACATATTTATTTCCTTCTCCTGGTACTCTTGGCAACAACAGGCTTGGATGGTGGTGGTGTCACACTTGCAGGTACAACATTGATCTCCCATTCCTTGAAATATTGATTGAGTTGATTGTTGACTGCCTCTATCTTTTTGGACTGTTCATTCTTCTCTTGATCCAATCGCTCCACTTTGCACTTGAGTTGATCATTCTCTTGTTTCAATCTATTGTTCACACCGTCATCTGAATTGATTCCTAACTCCTTCATCTTTGCATCTTCAATAAGCTTAGTATATGTGGTGTTGAGTCGATCATTCTCTTGTTTCAATCGATTGATCTCATCCTCCAATGTGGCCACCAACTTTCCAGACTTGTCCAACGTGAAGAACATTATTCTCTTCTTGGTGATTGGTTGTTGTTCGTCTGCGCCTGGACAACCACCACCATCGTATTTACTCATGAGTATGATTGTATTCCATGGATCAGTCTTGCGTAGTTGAACACTCCACCCTTTGCAGTGTATGTTGTAAGAGTTGCTGTTTGGTATCGATCGGATCAGTGACTTGATATGCTTCACACGATGCTTGGGATCGATCGTTGAACTGTATGATCTGCTGCCAATGGTGAATGATCCAAAGTGTTGTTTGGTCGAAGGCCATGCATTGTTTGTCTTCTTGCTATCAAAGTTATTGTCAACCATCAGTTCCTTGACGTAATCACAATTGATCGATGTGATGGGATCCAGCGAACCAATCTCTAGCAACTCCAATCTTGGAAATGTCACGGATGAGCCGCCAACTTTGAGCATTTTGAGTGCTGGTGGTAGCTCATCAGTAGTCAGTGCAAAGGAATAAAAATCGCTCAGGTCCAATGCGGTGATCGTTGATGGCAACACTCCTGGTTGAATTGGCGATGTGAGTTTATACAACTTTAGTGCTGTCAATGAAGCTGGCAGGGTATTTTGTTTGAACATTTGAACGATAGAATTAGTCATTACCAATGTCTTGAGCGATGATGGTAACATGCCAGGAGTGAATGGATGAGTTTGAGTTCTTGTACAACCCTCAAACGATAACTTGGTCAATGACTCTGGCAGTGCGCCCACAGGGATGACACCATTAAAGTCATCTGAGATGAAGAGTGATTGGAGGGATGATGGTAACATTCCCAATGTGATCACTGGTTTGGCGCTGAGAGTCAAGCATGTGAGTGAGTTGGGGAGAGCACCTTGTTCAAACACATGGCCAGCATTCATGGGAATCATCAGGCGGGTCAAAGAGTTGGGTAGAACGTCTCGCTTAATCGATTGTTTGAATGTTTGGCCAAGAATAATCAATGTCTCGAGTGATGCAGGCAGTACACCAGGTTTAAACTCTTGATTATATGCAGGGATCATTGAGGAGAAGTACAAGTACGAGATTGATTGCGGGAGAGATCCAACTCTAAACATCTGATTATAGTGTTCTCCCAATGTCAATGATTGAAGTTGGTTGGGCAACACTCTAGGCATGAACTCTTTGTCGTACAATGAGTATTCATGGAACGAGAGAGAGGTGAGTGAAGATGGCAACACTCCCAATCCAAACTCATGATTGTAGTCTTTGCCAAACATTAATGATTCCAATGTGAGTGGAAGTGATCGTTCGCCAATGCGTTGGTCGAATCGATCACCCAGCGTCAATGATATGAGTGATGATGGAAGGAGGCTGGGCAGCAGATCTTGATTGAACACATTGCCCAGAGACAATGATGTGATTGTTGTTGGTATCCTACCATTTGACACTTCTGAATAGGTTTTGAAATGATCACCAAGCTCCAGTGTCTTGATTGATGTTGGCAACTGATCAAACAACAAGCAATGGTGCCCTTTACTACTATTCACCTTGAGTGATGTGAGCGATGGAGGCAGGTAGAGCTCAAAAGGCATTTTGAACTTGGGACCAAGCTCGAGGTGTGTCACTGTAGGTGGTAGGTTCCAAGGTATGTCCTCAACGTTGTAGAACATCTTTACATCAGAGTTTTCCAACAATGTTACACCACTGATACCTTTATATGGTAGAGTCTTGAGTTGTAATTGTCTCTTGTTGTGTATCTCTGCCAACAATCGTTTGCAAGTCATACCCAAACATACACTATCAACATCATCCTGATTACTTAAATGATCAAATATCACTCTTATAACTATTAATGGCAAACTATCCATTATTTCTTTGTATCTCTTTGACTTTAGAAAGAATGAAAGTAGGTTTGAAAGATAATTAAATTCAAGGGTTAGGGTTTGGGTGAGGGAAAGGGTAAGGGGTAAGGGAAAGGGCAAGGGTTAGGGTAAGGGTTTGATATGATGATATGTTTATTTCCTTTTTCTTGTACTCTTGGCAACAGGCTTGGTTGGTGAAGCTACTCCTGCAGGTACAACCACATTGTTCTCCAATTCCTTCAAACATTGATTGAGTTGATTGGTGACTGACTCTAACTTATTGCTATCCTCCTTCTTCTCTTGAACCAATTGTTCCACTTTACACTTGAGTTGGTCAATCTCTTGGTTCAAACGTTTGATCTCTTGTTCCAATCCTGCCACAAACTCTCCAGGCCTGTCAATGGTCAAGAATAGTATTCTCTTCTTGGTGACTGATTGTTCATCATCCTCCTCTCGACGACGATTGTATGTACTGATGAGAATGATTGTATTCCATGGATCAGTCTTGCGAAGTTGAACACTCCAGTTTTTGCTGTGTATGTTGTAAGATTCGGCGTTTGGTATCGATTTGATCAGCGACTTGATTTGCTGTACGCGATGCTTGGGATCCGTCGTTGCATGAAATGATCGATCGCCAATTGTGAATGATCCAAAGTGTAGCTTGGTCGATGGCCACGCACTGTTAGGCTTCTTGTCATTAATGTTACTTTTGACGACCAGTGATCCAATATAATCACACTTGATCGATGAGATGCAATCCAAGGTATTGATCTCAAGTCTCTCCAATCTTGGGAAGGTCAGGGGTGAACCACAAATTCTGAGCGATGTGAGTGATGATGGCAGCTTTTTGGCAGTCAGTTTACAGGAGTACGAGCTGCCAAAGTCCAATGTGGTGATCGACGATGGCAACATTCCAGGTTTGAATTTCTGATTGATGCAAGACATCTTTAGTGATGTCAATGATGATGGTAGAGTACCTTGTACGATTGGGTGATAGTATGATAGACTCATTATCAATGTCTTTAGTGACGATGGTAACGCGCCAGGTGCAATTGGAAGATTGAAAGATTGACAATACTCGAGCGATAGCATGGTCAATGACTCTGGAAGTACGCCCACAGGCAATCCACCATAAAGGTCATTGGAGATGTAGAGTGTTTGGAGTGAGTTGGGCAACATTCCAACCGTGATCACTGGTCTGACGCTGATATTCAATGTTATGAGTGAATTGGGAAGTGCACCTGGCTCGATAACTCGGCCAGAAAACAAGGGTACATCCAAGTTGGTCAAAGAGTTGGGCAGAACGCCTCGTTGAATCGATTGAATAAATGAATGGCCCACAGCCAATGTGCGAAGTGAAGCGGGCAGTACACCAGGTTGAAACTCTTGATTATAATATGAACATCTCTTATGGCCCAATACCAAGCGTGTGAGTGATGCTGGGAGTGATCCGACTTTAAACTTGATGTTGTAATGCTGTCCAAGTGTCAATGATTGCAGTCCGTTTGGCAACACTCCAGGCATGAACTCTAATTTGTACATTGAATACTCGTGGAATGAGAGAGAGGTGAGCGATGATGGCAGCACTCCCAATCCAAACTCCTGTCTATAGCCTTCACCAATATTTAGTGTCTCCAGAGTGAGGGGAAGTGATCGCTGGCCTATTGGTCGGTCAAATTTGACACCCAGAGTCAACGATATGAGTGACGCAGGTAGGAGGCCTGGCTCTAACTCTTGATTGAACTCATTGCCCAGTGACAATGATGTGATAGATGGTGGCATCGTACCATATTCCGGTGAATATTTTTTGAAATGATCACCAAGCTCCAGAGTCTTGAGTGATGGTGGCAACTGATCAAACCTCAGGCTATAGTGCACTGTACTTTTCAACCTGAGTGATGTGAGCGATGGCGGCAGGAAGGAATGATTGATCAGTCTGAACTTGGGACCAAGCTCGAGATGTGTCAATGTTGGTGGGAGGTTCCGAGGCGCCCCCACAAGGTTGTGGATCATCTCTACATCAGAGTTGTCCAACAATGTTACACCACTGATACCTTTTTTTGGTGTAACCTTGAGTTGTAGTTGTCTCCTGTTGTGTATCTCTGCAAACAATCGTTTGCAAGTCATCCCTAAACAAACACAATCAATATCATCTTGACTACCTAAATGATCAAATATCGATCTAATAACTATTAATGGTAAACTATCCATGATTATCTCTGTACCTGTATCTGTATCTGTCTCTGTATCTGTATCTGTATTAATGTATGTATCTCTTTACAAATTAATGAAAATAGTTGAACAACAAATGTTTGAAAAAAATGAAGTGCGCGAGGGGAAGGGTGAGGGCAAGGGTAAGGGTAGGGGGTTAGGGAGAGGCGAGGGTTAGGGTTTGACATGATATGTTTATTTCCTTCTTCTTGTACTCTTGGCAACAGGTTTGGATGGTGTTGGTACAACAACATTGATCTCCCATTCCTTCAAATATTGATTGAGTTGATTGCTGACTGATTCAAACTTCTTTGTCTCTTCATTCTTTTCTTGATCCAATCGCTCCACTTTGTTCTTTAGTTGATCAATCTCTTGTTTCAATCTATTGTTCTCTTGATCTGTCTTTGTTGACACCTCCATAAGCTTTGCCTGATTGGTGAGTCGATCATTCTCTTTCTTCAATCGATTGATCTCATCCTCCAATGTGGCCACCAACTCTCCAGACTTGTCCAACGTGAAGAACAGTATTCTCTTCTTGTTGGTGATTGTTTGATTGTCCTTTAGACGATTGAATGTACTGATGAGAATGATTGTATTCCATTGATCAGTCTTGCGAAGTTGAACACTCCACTCTTGGCTGTGTATGTTGTAAGAGTCGGCGTTTGGTATCGATTTGATCAGTGACTTGATATGTACTGCTCGATGCTTGGGATCGGTCGTTGAAGTGTGTGATCTGCTGCCAATGGTGAATGATCCAAAGTGTTGATTGGTCGATGGCCATTTACTGTCTTTCTTCTTGCTATCAATATTACTGCTGATAACCAGTGACCCAATATAATCACACTTGATCGATTTGATGTTATCCAACGATCTGATCTCTAGTCTCTCCAATCTTGGGAATGTCACGGATGAGTCGCGGACTCTGAGCGATGTGAGTGATGATGGGAGCTCATCGGCCGTCAGTGGACTAGAGTACGAATCGCCCAGATCCAACTCGGTTATCGTTGACGGCAGCATACCGGATGGGAATGCACCGTTGAAGGTACGACCAAACTTGAGTGATGTCAAGGAAGAGGGTAGAGTATCATGTTTGAACGAGTAAATGTATGTGCTGCTCATTGTCAATGACTTGATTGATGATGGTAACATGCCAGGAGCGAATTGATGAACGAGAGTGGGACAACCTGAAAATGACAACTCGGTCAATGACTCTGGCAGTGCCCCTACAGGGACGGCAACGTCAAATCTACCAACGAAGAAGAGTGATTGGAGCGAGTTGGGCAGCATTCCAACTGTGATCACTGGTCTGTTGCTGAGGGAAAGGGATCTGAGGGAGTTGGGAAGTGCACCTGGCTCGATCACGCTGGCCTCATTCATGGGCATAGAGAGTGAGGTCAAAGAGTTGGGTAGAATGCCTCGTGTATAAGATTGAATGAGGCCTTCTCCAACAACCAAGGTCTGAAGTGATGTGGGCAGTGAACCGATTTCGAGCTGGCGTTCATAGGCAAATGTACTCAAAGTGCCCAACGATAGGAAGGTGAGCGATGCCGGTAGTGATCCAACTCTAAACTTCTGTTTGTGGTATGCTCCAAGACTGAGTGATTGTAGACGGTCAGGCAACACTCCTGGCAAGAACTCTTTGTTGTACGATGAGTATGTGACAAATGACAGTGTTGTCAGTGACAAGGGCAGCACTCCCAATCCAAACTCATGATTGTATTGATCACCAATGATTAGTGTCTCCAATGTGAGAGGGAGTACTCGAACGCGTATTTGTTGATTGAACCCAGTGCCCAGAGTCAATGATATGAGTGATTGCGGCAGTAGACCCGGCACAATGTCATAATTGTATCCACTACCCAGTGACAATGATGTGATTGATGAAGGCATCTTTCCATTCATTCCCGTCGAGTAGTTCTCAACATGTTTGTCCAGATCAAGAGTCTTGAGTGATGTTGGCAACATTCCAAAGTTTATGCTACCAATCAAGTTGCAACTGTTTATCCTAAGTGACGTGAGTGAATCGGGCAGGAAGGAATACTTGAACATTCTGAACTTGTATCCAACCTCGAGGTGTGTCAATGTAGGTGGGAGTTCGGTTTTAAAGCAACGAGCATTGTAGATCATCTCGACATCAGAGTTCTGCAACAATGTAACGCCACCTAAATCGTTTGATGCAATCTTTTTGAGTTGTAATTGTCTCTTGTTGTGTATCTCTGCAAACAATCGTTTACAAGTCATACCCAAACATACACAGTCAATATCATCTTGACAACCTAAATAATCAAATATTGATCTTATAACTATTATTGGTAAACTATCCATGATGATCTCTGTATTATCTCTTTATGTATTATCTCTTTGAATGAATGAGTTTGTTGCAAAAGAATTGAAAAAATAACAAAAGTTGCTCAATTGCAAGAGCGAGGACGAGGTCAATCTCAGCTTTTTATTCAACAACATCGAGCAGTTGTAGTATTACTCATACAATGACAACAGGCAATGGGATCAAGTTGATAGTGGAGGACATTGATCAACCTCCATCATCAAAGACACTGTCAAAGCGAAGATCTGCAATATATCTAAATGTTAGGACAATGCAACAACACAACATAACCATTGGTGATATAGTGTTTATTCAATCATCACAACAACAGCAAGATGTTGTACAACATATCATTACTGATCACAACATCACAGTGGCTGTGACATGGCCCTCAAAGAAGGTTCAATCAAATCGTACGTTCAATCAAAGTGATCAATCGCATTGGCTTACATACTTACCCTTGGCGGTGATGTACACGTAGATATACAACTAGATGCTAATCAAAGAGAGAACTGTCAGTGCGTACTTGGTGGTACAGTTATGTTGTTCACATCACCTCTGCATTCATTGCCTTCAAACATACAACAACTGCAGATTGATACTTTGTATCCTTGCTTGGACGCAATCAATATAACAGTGGAATGTCTAACGATCAGCTCCAATGATTATATTACACAGTTGAGCTCATATGGATTGTTGACATCGTTGTTGGTGGCACAACTCACTGGTACATACTTTGTTGCCAACAATATATTCACGGCGACCATCAGAGGCAGGAATACAAAGTTTAGATTGTTGTCCAAGAACCAACAAGATAATGGTGATGATAATGACATTGGTACATTGTTAAAGAATAAGTTATCAATCAACAACAATAATAACAACATCAACATCAATGCGATATTCAAGATAACAGACAAGACAACATTCACATTGGCTCAGTCATCTGCCACACCACTTCTATCTTCTGCTGTTGTACAACAACCATCTAGTACTACTACTCAACCGACAAGTAGTAGTAGTGGCAGTAGTATTGGATATGGATCAATTGGAGGACTTCAACAACAAGTACAACAGGTCAAGGAATTGATTGAGTTGTCATTCTTTAAAGGTGATATACTGTCTCAATTTGGTATCAAGCCACCTCGTGGAGTACTCTTATACGGTCCACCTGGTACAGGAAAGGTATGAATGAATGATCGTACATCATCAATGTACTCGACTCGGGTCAATCAATCTCACTCGTTCAACCAATCAATCAATAACATAGACATTGTTGGCAAGAGTTGTATCAAAGGAGATTGAATCTACTTTGTTTACAATCAATGGAGCTGACATACTTGACAAGTACTATGGACAGACAGAGAAGACATTGCAAGGTATATTCAGAGAGGCCAGTCTAAAGTCACCTTCAATCATCTTTATTGATGAACTAGATGCACTGTGTCCAAAGAGAGATGATGTAATGTATCAATGATTTGATTGATTGACGCGTAATGTCTAACACTTCCTACCCTTTATAGAACTCATCAGAGATTGAGAAAAGAGTTGTTGGATGTCTGTTGACATTGATGGATGGTATTGAGACGGCAAACAAGGTTGTTGTGATTGGTTGTACGAATAGACCGGATTCAATCGATTCGGCATTGAGACGACCAGGTAGATTCGATAGAGAGATAGAGATTGGTATACCAAATGCATCGAATCGTGAGGAGATCCTCAAGATCTTCCTCAAGCGTATACCAAACACACTCACTACCAAAGAGGTCACTGACATTGCATCCCGTACACATGGATTCGTTGGAGCAGACTTGGAATCATTGTGCAAAGAGTCGGCACTCAAATGTTTCCATCGTATAACTACTTCATCGTCAACGTCTACATCAACATCAGATATATTTGGTACATTGCTGACAACATCATCAACTTCATTATCATTGGAAATCAAACAAATGATCAATGTAACATATGATGATATGTTATTGGCAATGACAGAGATCAAACCATCGTCAATGAGAGAGGTTGTTGTTGAGATTCCAAAGGTTTATTGGTCAGACATTGGTGGACAACATCACATCAAGGAGAAGCTAAAGGAGGCCATCGAGTGGCCCTTGAAGCATCCAGAGGCATTCCAGAGAATGGGTATCAAGCCACCCAAGGGCATCCTACTCTATGGTCCACCCGGATGCTCCAAGACACTGATGGCCAAAGCTTTGGCAACAGAGTCTGGTTTGAACTTTATAGCTGTCAAAGGTCCCGAGGTATGTAGCGTAACGTAAAGAGATAACTTACATCATACTAACATTGTTGTAAACATTCATTAGTTGATAAGCAAATGGGTTGGAGAGTCAGAGCGTGCTGTTAGAGATATCTTTAAGAAGGCAAGGAGCAATGCACCATCGATATTGTTCTTTGATGAGATGGATGGTCTGGCAGTGAGTCGTAGTGGAGAGGGCAGTGGAGCAGTGGAGAGAGTGGTTAGTCAACTGTTGAACGAGATGGATGGTATGCAACCATTGACAAATGTTACCATCGTAGCTGCAACCAATAGACCTGATCTAATTGTAAGTATATGGATGTTGTTGTTGACTGTTGCAATGGCACCTGACACTGACACACATACACACGACAGGACAAAGCCATTATGAGACCAGGTAGAATTGATCGTATACTATATATTTCGCCACCAGACTTTGATTCAAGGAAGGAGATACTCAACATCCATCTAAAGAAGGTTCCACATACTGATGATGTGAATGTTGATCGATTGGCTACAATGGTATGTGTTGTGTGAACAGACCAAGACTCGGGCATGGGCACACTAGACTTGATCAAACTAACTGACAACACTACAAACATATACAATACAGACTGATGGATTCAGTGGAGCAGAGGTTGCTGCCATCTGCAAGGAGGCATCGATATGTGCCATGAAGGAGGACCTAAATGCTGAACGTGTGACCATGCTCCACTTTGAGGCTGCTATTGGCCAGGCAAAGAAGGGTATCACCAATGACATGATCGACTTCTATTCAAAGTATCAAGAACAATCAGGTCTTCAGAAGTTGTGATGAACTCAATACTTCTCTCTCTCTCTCTCTCTCTCGTCTGGACCAACCAACCCACGACCAAGGCCAAGTCCAAGACCAAGACCAAGACCAAGACCACGACCATTCCATGTTTGTTGTGAGTCCACCACGAGCCATGATGTATGTGCTTGCGTGTGTGAGATGCTCCATCCAGGCCAATAAAGAGATGGTGGGTCGCCAGCAGCGTAAGTGCACGTTGTTGACATCACCAATCGTTGGGTATTATTATTATACCCAATAGACCAATATGTTTGTTTGTTTGTTTGTATCCATGTATTATTGAACGTACTTGAACGATGATGATGATGATGATGATAACAATATAACTTCTTCTTCTCTACTTGTTGATGCTGATGTGCTGCTGCTGCTCGACCACTTGGACTCCTGCATTAAGGATGTGGATTGGGGGAGTTAGTGAGTTCTAGGTCTTGGGGGAACTAAAACATCGTGTGTGTATGTAGGTTATGGAGAACGGTCCTTTGGTGAATCATTCCTTGGAGCACGCTCCGGGCTACGAGCGTCGTCTCTGATTGGGGAACGACCAGCGGTTCCATTGTTGGCACCAGATCCATTGCGTCTGTCGTCAAAGTTGTCTCTGCGAGGCTCGTCACGGTAGCGGTCCTCTCCACGATCGCGATCATCGCGCTTATCAGCCAAACCACCATCGTCGTAACGTCTGTCTGCGCCGCCAGACTCAAAGCCACGTGGACGCTCCTCGAACCTGTCCTCTGGTCTCCTGTCGTCTGCTGGTCTCCTGTCGTCACGTCTATCACGAGTGTCGTCGAACCTGTCCTCTGGTCTCCTCTCGTCACGTCTCTGATCCGAAACGTATCTGTCGTCAGGTCTCCTGTCGTCGCGTCTATCACGAGTGTCAAACCTATCGCGATCATCCCTTCTATCATCTCTTCTCTCTCTTTCCTCTCTTCTTTCATCTCCTCTGTTGTAGTATTGGTGTATATTAGAATGTTAATATATATCATTGGTGTACACTTTACAACTAATATAACTACTACATACCTGTAACGATCTGAATCACCACCATATGGATGATATCTTTCCTTATCACCACCAACACGAGTACCACGAGTGTCTGCGTAGGCTGGGTTCCTTGGACGCTCTGGACAGTCACGAGCAAAGTGACCAACACGTTGACAGTTGTAGCACATTGAGTCTCTGGGTGGTGATCTTCTGGAGCGGTCGAATCCACCGGCGCCACCAGCGCCGCCACGTGGGTAGCGATCATCCTTTGCACGCTCAATAATGACACGTGCTCCTCCGATGAATCCATCACGCTGTCTAAGTACCTCTACAGCGTCTCTCTCATACTTCATCTCGATGAATGCAAAGTCACCATATCCAGGTCTAATAATATCAAACACTGGTCCCCACTTTCCAAAAAAGTCTTCAATATCTCTTTTATCTGTACGTTCAGTTATACCTAAGGTAATAGATAGTAATTATGCAATTGTGTAAGATATTATTATGGTTCTCAATTTGATTTGATTGATTGATTTGTTTGATCAACATACCCTTAATATATATCTTCATCCTCTCTTCTTTGTTGTTATTATCTCTAAATAGTAATATAATATATAACAATGTAATAAAGTGAATGATGAAGAATTGAATAAGAAGTTGGATTTCAAGTTGCCCTCATTCCATGCATTCAAACACACACACACACACACAACAAATAATGACGACCTATGGAGATATTATCATTATGGTGATCTACACACAATAACATATTACTATTTATATATCATCAACCAAAATATATCCATTTAAGTAAAGAAATAATAAAGTTATAACTTTCACTATGATCATTGAAAGAGTGTAACGTTACCATTAGTTTTTGAACCAATTTCTTTTGAATTTTTAGTATTTTATTTTGAATTATTTTTTCAAACACACACAATGTTGCTTCACGCAAGCGAAAGAATGATGAAGGAGAGTGAAAGTTGAAACTCACTCCTTTTGTCATTCACCAGCTGTTTCGATACAAGTACATACAAAACAAGGAATCAAACATGTCGATGCCACCACCAAAGAAAGTCGAGGGAGAGCAGGCTCCAGTCCAGGAGACCACCAAGATCTCCATCACCCTGACCTCCACCAACCCAAAGGCTTTGGAGCGTGTCTCCTCCGACCTCATCGATCTCTCCAAGAAGAAGAAGGTCAGAGCAAAGGGACCAATCCGTATGCCAACCCGCGTCTTGAAGCTTACTACCCGTAAGTCACCATGTGGTGAGGGTACCAACACCTGGGATCGTTTCGAGATGAGAATCCACAAGCGTGTCATCCACATCTTGTCCACCGCCGATTTCCTCAAGGAGATGGTATGTATTGATAAAGTTACACAAGTTCGTCGCGATCATGACAGTTACTGACATTTCAATCACAACTCATTATCTCTCTCTTTCAATCAACAGAACTCCAACTCAATCTCCATCGAGATGGGCGTTGACGTTGAGGTCACCTTGAACAAGAAGTAAACAGACATGTGTCATTCCATGCGAACATGTACGCTGAACCTTACAATCATCATTCCAACTACATTGTAGTTGTGTCTCCTCCCTTTCTCTTATTCTTATTACATGATCATTCATTCAAAAGATGATATACATCATTGGTTTATTAACTGTTGAAGCATTGGACCATCTCTTGTTTGTTAAACTCAACCTTGAACAATGGTTTGTAATTGGCTGGTAGTGGTGGATATAGTGATTGTTGTTGTTCTAATGCTGCTGCCGATGATGATGTCCGTATAGTTGTCGTTCCACTATTACCACTACTACTGCTACTACTAGTAGTACTACGATGTGTAGAGGTTGGAGTCCTATTTGGTGTCATTGAAGATGTGTTGTATAATGCTTCCAATGATTTACCATGTGCTCTTGGTGACACTGGAGGTGATCTTGGATAACCTCCATGTGGAGAGTTCATACTGGTGGAGCCACCTCCAAGCATATTCCTTTGTACCTTTGGTGTTGTCTGTGCTGGAGACATCATTGTATCATCTCCTCCTCTGGCCTTGTTTCTCTTTAACTTTCTTGTGGCTATCCATTTCTTTAGTTTGCTGTGTTGGGGATGTTGTATAAGGGCAAAGGTTAGGGTAAGGGTTGGGGAAAGGGTTAAGGGTTGAACGACTTGGATGTTGGTTCCAAGCTACAACTACATACATAAAGAATGGAATGGACCTAAAGAAGTACTTATCCTTGAGAGTACCAGTCTGTTGTGGTTGTTGTTGTGGCTGTCCAAGAGGGTTCTTCTTGATGAAGGTTGTTGGCAAGTCTTCAATTAGGAACCAATCGATTTTCTAAGGATAGAGAGGAAGACAGAGACATTAGTTCTTGATGTCCGTTGGTTGGTTGGTCGGTATACATACACTAATCTCCTTCCTTGTCCTTGGAATGAATGATGTATCCTCTGATATACCACAGATGATGAATAGCTTGATCTTTTGTTCCTTGATGATGATCTCAATATAGTGTCTTGGATTGAGATATGGTCCAATGTCAAATCCAGTCTCTTCCAGTACCTCACGTACTGCACAGTCCTCATCTGGCTCATCCTTGTTCACTTTACCCTTGGGAAAGCCCCAACTTGAAGAGTTGAATCCTTTGACAAACAATGCCTTGTCCAAGTTCTCATTGAGTATTATCGCGCCAAACACTGGTACCCTAGTCTTGTACTCTGAGAACTTCTTTAATATCTCCTCCACCTGATTCTTGTGAGGTTGTAAGAATGGACAATGTTGGAAGACTATCATGATGATGATGTTAGTTCATTCATTCATTGGATTGGATTGGCCAACGACAACATACAGTTCTTTGTAAACTCTGAGAGGGAGTACTTTGGGAGGGATGGATGCTCCTCGCGACAAAAGTCCTCGTAGAACCATGCTGCCGCTTCAATTTGGAATAGTAGACGTTCGAATGACTCTAGCTCTTCAGAGGGTATATTGATGACGAATCGACTTGCAAGATCATCAAATATATCAGACAGACTTGGTGCTGGTTGTTTGCCTCCTCTCTTGTTGTTGCCTCCACTCGATGAAGAGTCATTATTATTACTAATGATGCTACTAGAGTCATGGTGATGTTGTGCTGTAGTCTGTTGTACTTGTATACGATCACTGCTTGCCAAGTTGATTGATTGAATAGATTGTTGTTGTTGTTGTGACTGTTGCTGTTGCTGTTGCTGTTGCTGCTGCTGCTGTTGTTGTTGCATCATTGATTGTGTATATGGGTCCATTGGCATTGGCATCATTGGTGGACCCATACCCATTGAGTAGGCTGCGGCATGTGGATGATGTGGAGGAGGTGGCATCATATGCATTGGCATACGCATGGGGAATGGAGGAGGTTGCATCATTGGTAGTCTAGGCATGCCAGGCTGTTGACGCATGCCAGGTGGTTGCATCATTGAAAGATCAGGTTGTGGCACACCATAAGGTGATGATGGAGGAGGTTGTTGTTGTTGTTGTTGCATCATTGAATTAACATGTTGTTGTTGCTGTTGTAGTTGTTGTTGATGTTGTAGTTGTTGTTGATGTATTTGTTGTTGTTGAAGTTGTTGTTGCTGTTGCTCTGCTGTACCTGATCCACCTTCAATCAGGACTTGTCTATTTCCTGTGAAGAACATTCTGTATATTTATGTATATGTTATGTTTTTGTACAAGTTGTAATAATGATTATGAAGTTTTAGTCAATGAACTTTCAACTTCACCTCACACACAGTTTGAATAGATTGTTATCACTTATATTATGGGATTGAATTCAAACAATCCATCTTTGATGGATGATCAATCATACACTCAATAATAATATTTATTGGAGACTTATTTATCCATTTATATATTTATATCCAATGACAACTTACATAATTGATCACATTGACAAGTGTGTTTGAATCACCCCAACACACAATCAATTCGATTTCCTAAAGTAGGTATAGTGATTGATTGGTTGATCAGTGTTAGATAAATACTAGTGTGAGGGTGTGGGTTAATCAATCAACCACGATCATAATTAACATTGGCAGAAGTGGTATATTGAGTATACTATCTACCTCATCTTGATCATGTCCGTCTCCACACTCACCCCCTAATGTAATTGATTGATTTGATTGAATGTCCGCAGTGTGGGAGGACACGGAAGTTGAGTTGATGGTGGTGAACATGCGATTCTCAGCTGATGTCATGTCCTCATGACTCTAATCTCTCACTCTTACTCTCTTTCAATCAATCAATAAATTAATTAATCAATCGATCAAAAACATCAGTATTATTTTAATCAATAATGTATTATGTTGTTGGATATCTATATCTAATGGAAGTGATGAGGAATCTATATCGTATACTTATAAAAGATCAATTACATGATGGTATTGGTAGACATGGATTCGCATTACAAATTGTTATATTTACTAAATTGGTATGATAATTATTATTATTAATATTCCCATTCAATCATTCATTGACTAACTTCTAATTACCAAACTCTCTAAAGACATTAATAACAATAATGTTCTCATTTTATTATAGAACTATAACATGGTATCTATTTGTATCATTTAGTGCAGATATTATTGCATCATTACTTGGTATATATGCTAGTTTTAGAAGGGTACTAGTACTTTTATTTGTAGTAAGTTATAATAATAATACTCCGGGATAATAATAATACTAACCTAATAATAATATTTTAGTATTTTATAACTACTTTGGTATTATTCCTATTCAATTCAATACCATTAATATTATTGAATACATCAACTTGGAATGTAAATGGACTATCAGTTAGAGCAGTATTACAATCAACTTTACATTTTTTATTGATTGTAGATGGATTGATAGTATTACATTTATCAAAGAAACAAAGAATGATGATACAAGATGAAGAGGAACGTCTAAAATCAGAAGAATCAGAACCATATCTCAAACTACCTTCTATAGAAATAAGTACATTCGATCCAACTTGCATGTCATCAATGTCTTCATCATGTCCAGACGAGGCATCATATCATCATCAACATCTTGGTAACAATAGTGGATACTTTGGAAACAGTAACAATAGTCTATTGAACAGTAGTAGTGGTAGTAGTAGCAGCAGCAGTGGAGGTGGTGGTCTCAATCAATCATCACAATATCTATATCCATCAATTGATGATCCATATCGAATTGAAGAATCATCATCACATTGTTGTGGACATAGTGTTATATATCTTCCACCTCTATCAACATCATCATCTACAATTAAAGCTTGAGCATTGGATGCCACAAGGAGTTGTGATAATAATAATAGACGAACCAAACTGAAACTGTATTCGAATCGACCAATTAATCATTGACATAAGGTACCTTGATCTCTGTATGTGGACATTCTGGACCAAGGTTACCAATTGATTTGAGCTTGTCCACCATTGCAATCACACTGTTGAAACACATCTCTGTGTTCTCGACTGGTACCATCAACTTGATTCCCATGGGGTAGTCGCTAGAGACGGGGACATCCTCACGATTCACTCGCTTGTGCATTGGTTTTGTGCTCTTGATCTTGGAGATGGTGAATGGTGACTTGATCGGATCGTTCAGACTGAGTCGAATGAGGAATGTGTTCTCTGGTCTACTGCGTAGACGTCTCTCTGACACATCACGAGCAATGTCAAAGTGGAACCATCTCCTGCTCACCAATGTTGCCATCTCCTTGAGTACCACCACTGATTCTGATGATGTCGTCGTGGCTCCACGTGGTTGTCCATAGAATCGACCAAACCATTTGGTCATCAAATCGAACCTATCAATATTTACAAATCCATTCTCATCATCATCATCCATCTTTGTAGAGACTATAATGTAAGGGTAAAGGGTTAGGGTAAGGGTAAGGGTAAGGGTAACATGATCGTGTTACACAACGACATAACATACTGAGTAACTTTGATATTGGTTGTATATCATTAATATCTACACCAGTAGATTCGGATAACTTTCTACTAAAGTCTGACCATTTGACATCGTCTGGTGAGTTGAATGATGTCTTCCAAAATGTGGCAGCACTTGGTTCACTGATGGCAATGTCAATCAACACCTCATTCATCTTTTGTGACACTTCAGAGAATGATGGACGCATCGTTGAATCATGATCCCAACATCTTTGCATCAACATTGCCAAAGACTTTGGTAAATGATTTGGTACTGTTGGTCTAAGTCTTAAATTACAAATGGCCTAAACGATGTATATAAGTTAGTGAGTGAGATTAGATGTATGTGTGATCAATCAATCATCCAAACATACATTTGAGAACTCCTCCATCTCTGAATAGTCTGGGAATAGTTCCTCACATGTTGCCAACTCATAGAGGATGAGACCAAAACTATATACATCAGCCTTCTCGTTGAACTCCTTCTTTTGCATCACCTCTGGTGCCATGTACAATGCAGTTCCCTTTGGTCCTCTCTGATCCGTCGTAGTCGTACCAGACTTTAATGCTTGTGAGAATCCAAAGTCTGTTATCTTTACAGTGTTGTCCTTGCCAATCTAAATGAGTTTGTGTATGTGTCGCGATGTAAGTTATACATCATCTCCCCTTGTATCACCATCAATGATCCATCCAAAACATACCATAAGGTTGGCCAACTTCAAATCTCTATGCAAGATATTATTAATACCATGTAGCCAGTTCATTCCAAGTGCCTTTTGTGTTTGAGTAGTAGTAGACATGTTAGTCATCATTCGAGTCGTTGACATCTTGTTAATCTTATACATACAGCATCAAGTGCCATCTTCATACGTTGATAGAGGGGTGGTGGCTCTGGACTCCTGTGGATCAACTTCTCGAGGTCTGATCTCATGAGTTCAGAGACAATCATGATCTTGCCTGGTTTGGTACAGGCACCCATGCACATTACAACGTTGGGATGGAAGATCTGTTTCCAGATGGCCACCTCATTCTGAAAGGCCTTTAGTTCAGACTCGCTGAGTGTTTGCTTCTTGGGGACCTTGACCGCCACGGGCTTTCCACGACACGTCGCCTTGTACACCTTGCCATATGCACCACCGCCCAACAAATCAGTCTTTGGATCAAAGTTGATCTCTTCAGGTGGTATCTCTGGTGGTCCAGAGTTGTTCCTTTGTGATATCTAAGTAGAATTAGGTATGAGTGACATGTCGCTGTATGTTTGATGAAAGGCTACATACTCTCTTCTTTTGAAGTAACATCTGTTGTTGTAGTTGTGGCGAGAGTACACTGATCATTGGTGTGGTGGCGGAGGATGAGGTGGGCGAGGAGGAAAGTGCTTCGATTGGAGGATTGGTATGGACTAGTGAGAATGGTTGATTGTGAACGATCACCTGTTGATGTGGTGGTAATGTAACTGTCTTGTAACTATAAGGTCCATTGTACTTGGCAGTATGTAATGTAGTAGTTGTTGTCGTTGTTGAATTAGTTGTATTGGTTGTATTACTACCACCACTATTGTTGATGTTGTTAATGTTGTCATCTGATGTAGGTACTACAGATATTGTTGGTACAACTGCTGCTGCTGCTATCATTGTTGTTGACGATGATGATGACGATGTAGATGTTGATTGATCGACACTACCAGCAGCTCCACTATTACTATGACTGATTAGATCATGCATATTCGTCTCGATGTATCTCAACTTTGATTCAATCGTTGTGATTATATCCTTTACAGTGATCGATGGTGAATCTCCTCCTCCTCCAACTCTATCAGGTGCAACAGGATCAACATCAACATCAACAACTACTACATCATCTGTTGTTGTTGTTGTTGCAGTTATATTATTGTTGTTGTTGTTTAATGTCTTTAGGATATTCTTCAACTGTAAGTAATAAGGTTCAATCTTATCACTCTCTGTTGGTAATGCTGTATAAACATATTTCCTAAGAGCGTTCAAGTCCATTTAGATCGAGTATAGTATTGTATAGTATTGTAATGTACTACTTGTTGTGTAGTTATGTTATGAATTATGTTAAAGAGAATGATGTACTACTACTACAATCAATGCTGTGTGCCTTGTCTGTGTATTATGTGTACATGTAAGAGTAGTTGTTGAATGATAAAGTCATAGCCCTCAACAGCGTGTTTGATATTTGTTCCAGAATGATTCAGAGTTTGGTGGGAGAATGAAAAAATGAGTAGTTGTGTTGTGTTAGGGCGAGGGTTGGGAGAGGGTAAGGGCAAGGGCAAAGGGTTGGGGTAAGAAACATAAGACATATTCTCAACTCTGGACCAAGTTATTATCAATGTCAATAGAATATATATATGTTTAGATATAAACAAATATTAATATTATCTCTTTCCAAGTTTTATAATGTCTATTATTAATATGATGGCGGTTAAACAGATGAAAAGGTTTGAATTTGACATTGAAGATCTGTTGGGATCAGCTTATTGTGTGTGTGTGAGTGTGTGTATGAGAGGATGAGAAGACGAATGAATTGATGAGTTCTCACCTACAACGGTAACATTTATTTCATTCACACTTGTTACAGTGTAGAGATATGTCTGAGCAAGGCTCGAGTGATACATACGAGGAGAACGAAAGAGTATTAGTACATCATCAGGGAAAGATATATGAGGCAAAGGTAGATATACTTATTCATTCAATGTTAAAGGGTCATGTTGTGGCGCCACACTCACACTTCATTCAATCATTCAATCATTCAATCAATTGACATTAGGTATTAAAGGTTGAACATACAGATACAAACAACAAGAGAAAGAGAAATACATTGTATTTAATACATTATCAAGGTTGGAAGGATAAGTATGTTGTTATTATTGTTGTTATTCGCTACATTAATACGTCAATTACTAATAATTATAATTATAATCAACTTATTAGATACGATGAGTGGATAGACTCTAGCAAGATGTTAAAGCTAAATGAAAAGAACAAAGAACTACAACGAAAGCCGTTGTCTTCTTTAAAGAAGAAACCAAACAATAATATTAATCAACAACATCAACAACAACAACAACAACAACAACAACATCATAGTGAAGAATCTGATGATGGTAGACCAACTCCAACTCCATCACCTTCCACAGCAGGTACCAGTACTACTACAACTACATCAACCACATCAACATCATCAACCAAGAGGAAAAGAGTAGATGCCTCTGTACAAGAGTCACAAAGACTTGACCTATCACTACCCGAGACACTTCGAAAGACCCTCATCGACGATTGGGTATTCATAACCAATGATAAATCATTGGTAGCATTGCCCAGAAATCCAACCGTCAGTGATATACTCGATACATTCCAACAACAACATCAACAGTATGTAGACTCTTGTGTGACCCTTTGACCGTTGGACAGACTACCTAACACTTCATCTTCATCATAATGATAGCCTGGAACATGTTAAACAGTTTGCAGATGGTATAGAGAGTTACTTTAACAAGGCACTTGGAGTGATGTTGTTGTACAAGTTTGAACGACCTCAGTTTGGAGAGATGGTCAAGTTACATCCAAACAAACCAATGTCAGAGATATATGGTGCGGAACATCTGCTTCGATTGTTTGTTAAATTGCCAGACCTACTGACACTGACCGAGTTGGAGGACAAGACATCGGTAGTACTATCAAAGGCCACCGAAGAATTGATCAAGTATGTGGAAAAGAATGCATCTACATTCTTCCTAAAGGAGTATGCTCCTGTTACAACATACTATTCACGTCTGGCAAACTAAACTAAACTAAATGTACATAATAATAATAATAATAATAACTACTTTATTGGATTGATGATGATGATATTACTACAACAACAACAGCAACAACAGCAACAACTTAACTTTAGTTCATATTGTTCTGTCTCTTCAATGCTTCAAAGCGAGCGGTCAACTCGTCAAAGTCTGGGAAGGCTTCGTCTATGGTGGCCGTTGACGAGGAGGAGGCTGCAGGACCACCTGGCGTTGGTGTGTATTGTGGTGGAATGGCAGGGAATGCTGGCTGGCTGGTTGATGTGGCTGGTGTAGTTGGTACAGATGGGAATTGAGGTTGTGGAGTAGGTGTATATGCAGGTGGAGGTGGAGGTGGAGTTGGTGTTTGGTATGATGGTTTGTTTATGTTCTGTTGTTGTTGTTGTTKGGGGAGGTGGAGTTGGAAATTGTGGAGGTGTATAATGTTGTGGAGCGATCAATGTTGGGAATGATGGGAATGATGGTTGTTGTTGTTGTTCCATCTTTGATAATGATATTGGTTGTTGTTGTTGTTGTTGTTGATGCTGAGGAGTTGACATCATCATATTGCTAACAGGTACAGAGGATACAACATTGTTACCACTTGGGAACATTGACATGTGTGGCGCAGGTTGTTGCATCATGATTGATGGACCCGGTGCGACGCCGACAGATGCGGTTGGAGGTGGAATTGGATCGACACACCAATCGACCTTGCCCTCATATGCAATCTCATTGAGGTATTGGAACACTAGGAATGGTTCCGGAGTGACGTACGATAGCTTATAGACAATCTTTGGATTGACATAGGTTTGACAATGACAATTGACCTCATGCTCCAAGCCACGACCATACTTTGCCAACAACTGTTTCCTTATCAGTTCCAACTCTGGTATCTGTATTCTCTGTGATGCATAGATCAATGTATATATTGATTCCTTTAACTCTGATGGTACCTCGCTATAGTGTAATATGTATATTAGTATCATCGGACATCACATCACAATCATCATCATAATCATTATTATTATGTATAACATACCAGGTAGCAGTGATCAATGGTAATCTAGCAAATAACAACTCGCAAAGTACTTCAACGATATTATAACATTCGATAAGATACTCGTCTCTTATGACAGTCTCTACACGTATTCTTGCACTCTCCTCATTCCTATTTCTCAACAACTCTGCAATATGTCTCTTCTCATCTCTAACCAAGTTTGCCTTCTTATTCTTTAATATCTGTATTCTACTAACTGCAAGTTTTAATTGTACCTTGCTAATGTATATATATATATGTTAGTCATATATAGTTCAATCAATCACAATCACATTCAATCAATCACAATGCAATCATACCATTTGTTTGGATCGAATTGTGGCCCAAATAGAAACATGATTATAACTTATATATTACTTATTCTTTGTTATATGTATGATAGTATGATTGAAAGTCAATGAGAGAGAGATAGAGTGTAAGCTTAGAACTTGATGAGCTCTCACACTTGGAGCAGCAAGTAATAGTAAGAGAGAGCAATAGTAGGTTGGAATCACTCACATGCCCAAGACACTCAAAGATTGTTCACTCAAATTGAGAGTGATAAACACTCTCCACTAACACACAACTCTAAAAAAACAAAATAAACAAGGGTCTTGGACCTAGCTTCCCAGGAGTGTTCCACAATCATAACTCTTGCTTGCTTTGTTGAGACGCTCTGAATGACCACTTTCAAAGTCAAAGAATGAACTAGAGAGATAGAATAGAAAGATAGTAATATATTATTGTGAGATGATTCTCATCAAATATCTATGACGTCATCAATCAATCAATATCAATATTTTAATTAATCATCAAGCTGACATAACTAACTAAATATCTTGTTATTATTATTTGTTTATCAATGTGATGAATGATTGATAGAGATGAAATTGAAAAGTGTTAGTCAAGACTAATGAATTGAATAGATTAGTAGATTGGATTGATTGATTAAAGATATATTGGATCAAGGGTTATATCCGATTTACAATGATACCACTGTACCTACCCCTTTTCAATAGAGTGATAAGAGGAAGTGTCTTTAGAACTATCAACATCATCGATTTCTTTTCTCGGCTATGTTACCCAAAACACACTCGGCTAATGCAAACTTTTTAATTTTATTAATTGTTTGTTGTTGTTTGGGAGAACAGCACTTTATTCGATGGATGGATGTGGATGTGAGTTGCCCCGAGCTTTTGGTCGACAACACATCGTCATCTAGCACGTACTCTCACTCTCCATCTCTGTTCCCATCTCTCCCGTCCCTCTCTCTCTCTCACTCATCTCTCTTTAATCAATTGAATGAGTTAAGATTAATTCATTTATTCATTCATACATATACATATTACACTATATATATCTCATTGTTTAGTAACTTGGATTTAAGTTATTTATATTGAATACACAAACAATATAGATTACAAAAGTAACTCAACAATGTCATCTCCAATAGTCTCTGTTCAAGAGGCATTGAAGGATATGGTGTCCTCATTACCAAAAGATGTAAGTGCATGGCTTGTTCATACACATCTCAATCAATCCAACTCAATCAACTAACATATCATTACTACTATCATAGTTATTCGAAAAAAGTACAAGTAGAGCCATGAGAAGATTATTAGTATCTATTGGCCTTGTAACATTTGGTGCAATAATGGTACATTGTCTACCATGGTATTTGCTACCGATTGGTTGGTTGTTTATGGGTACGGCCTGTTGTGGAATCTTCTCAATTGGTTATGCCTGTGGCAAGAACCTCTACTTTAAGAGCCGTTCAATCAACTACTTGGTCGGAACGATCTGTATGTTGCCATTGATGTACAACTTGGAGTACTGGAAGGAGAAGTCCACGCTCACTCAGAGCACCGTGCGCGACTATGTCTCTGAGTTGACCCGCGGCAAGTTCTGGTGGCTTTCATCGCCCCTCCAATGGGTCAGCAGCAACTTTTCGTTCAAGACATTCAGTGGCCGCGTCGTATTTAGCATCAGTATGCTATACCTGTTCGTCGCTGTCTTCTTCCCATTGATGACGTACGGTGTTGGCTGGTGGGGATTGTGCAAGTTCTACTTGATCCCATTGGTTGTCTATCACTTTTGGATGTCCACATTCCTCAAGGTCAGCACATTGTCATTTGATGGCGACAGACCAACCTTTATCCACATGCCCAAGTTTGTCGAGTACCTCACCAACGACTTTAACATTGGAGTGACTCTCAGTCGTATCCAATCGGCATCACAAGACATCATCCCAGCGTACAAATGGAGAGAGGCCTATGATATGCTCAAGCAAGAGTACAAGGAGATCTCTGAGCAATCATTCTCTTCATTGATCACCAAAGTTGGTCCAACCGTAAAGAATACCATTGAAAAGGTTGCTGATGTAGCTGTATCTGCTGCCAGTACTGCAACCTCCTCCTCGTCCTCAGTATCATCAACTGCCAGCACCACCGCCACTACCTCCAAGTTTGAAGGTCGCCCATGGTATGAAAAGGTTGTATGGACAACAACAATCTTTATCTTTGCCACACCATTGATCTCAATGTATGGTATGGCCACAACACCATTCAACGTCAAGACCTACATCACTGCCTTCCTCAGCTACTACATTGCTGGCATTGGTATCACTGCCGGTTACCATCGCCTCTTCTCCCATCGCTCCTACAAGGCAGTGTGGCCAGTCCGCTTCGTCCTCATGTTGATGGGAACTACAGCCTTTGAGATGTCTGTCATTGACTGGTGTCATGACCATCGTGCTCACCACCGCTTCACCGACACGGATAAGGACCCCTACAACATTAAGCGTGGATTCTGGCACGCCCATATGGGTTGGTTGATCTGGAAGCGTGAGGAGGAGCCCGATGCAGACGTGTCTGATCTCAAGGCCGACTGGGTACTCAAGTTCCAGCACAAGTACTACTTCCCATTGTCCTTGGCATTGGGTATCGCATTGCCCATGTGGATCTGTGGACATTTCTGGGGCGACTGGCGCGGAGGATTCTTTGTTGCCGGTGTGGCTAGCAAGGTTCTCATGATGCAGTGCACATTCTGCATCAACTCATTGGCACACTATCTGGGTGAGGCCACCTACACTGATCAGCGTACACCAAGAGACTCGGCCATCACCTCGTTGGTCACATTTGGAGAGGGCTACCACAACTTCCATCACGAGTTCCCCTATGACTATCGTAACGGAGTGCACCTCTCTGCCTATGACCCTGGCAAGTGGTTGATCTGCTTCCTCTCGTGGTTCGGTCTGTCCTATGACTTGAAGAGATTCCCTCAAGAGTTGTTTAGAAAGGGCAAGATCCAAATGGCCGAGAAGACCATTGCCAAGGAGCGCGCCAAGCTCGACTGGGGTCTACCATTGACAGAGTTGCCATCGTACGATATGGAGCAGTTCAAGTTGGTTGTCAAGCAACAGTCAAAGAAATGGTTGATTGTCAACAATGTCATCTATGACGTGGAGCGATTCGCCAATGAGCATCCAGGTGGTGAACAGTACATCAAGGATTACATTGGAAAGGATGCTACAAAGGCATTCGATGGATTGGTTTACAATCATTCATATGCCGCTCGTAACATACTTGATACTCTTAGAGTTGCAACTATCAAGGTGCAGCAATAAGTTAAATCAAAGTGTGTGTTGCGTAGATGTGTAGGACTCCTTCACCAACTAGCCAATGTCAACAAGTTGGTCATCAACAACCTTGTGTAGTCTTACCAATAAACATGGACCCCAACAACGTCAATGATCTCAACAGACCCAATCACTTTTTTTGAATCAGAGTCCGACTTTTCAAGGACCCACCCGATATTTTGAAGAGAACCTCCCTTGTGTGTCATGATGAGACCTTCAATTAACCAATCATTCATCTGAACTGAACTAACTTCAAAGTTATATATATATATATATATATATATATACAAACAAATATAACAATCCATGGATTCAAAGGATTATAAACAATTTAAAGAATGGGTACCATTACAACAGATAAGTCTTGGAGGTATAATGGATAAAGCATGGAAGTACTTTGATTATGGTCCAAAGGATGTTACACCAATAGTGTTTATACCAGGTGTCAGTGGTACTGCAGAGATATTCTTTAGACAACTTGTAACTCTATGTCCTAAAGGATTTAGATGTATATCTGTATGTTGTATATCATACTTGGTTCAATCGAATCAACATCAACTAACATTACTTTATACATTACATTACACCATCAGATACATTACTCATCATATGACTCTACAGGTGAATGGTGTAAGGGATTCGATAGATTCCTTGATAGGATGGGATTGGAGAAGGTACATTTGTTTGGTACGGCATTGGGTGGCTACTTGGCTCAATGTTACTATCAGGCAAGACCGACGAGAGTGGCCTCGATGATCTTGAACAACTCATTCTCAGACACACAGTACTTTCATGACAATGCACCTTGTGCTGCAATGTTTGGTCTGATGCCAGAGTTTATGCTCAAGAAGATGGTACTGTCTAGATTCCCATCGGGATTCGTCGAGCCAGAGATTGCCGAGGCCGTAGACTTTATGGTCGAACAACTAGACTATCTCACTGGCAATGAGTTGGCATCACGTCTAGCTCTAAACTGTAGTATAAGTACATTGAATCAAACTGCTGGTCTAACTTATGATCAGATTACAATCATTGATGTATGTATAAGTTAGTAAGTAAGTTAGTATATTGATAGAATCATTTACTAACTACAAGATATCTGTGTCTTTAGTGCCTAGACTCACAGACTATACCAGAGAATATGAGAGAGGAAGTGTACAAGTTCTATCCAATGGCAAAGATTGCATTGTTAAAGACTGGTGGAGACATTGCATATATATCAAAGGCAGAGGAGATCAATGTATATATACAAGTACATCTACGTAATCATGGTTTGGATCCATTGGCCAACAACAACAAAGAAGAAGATGGTAGTGATGTTAACAATGGAGACAAAAAGACAACAACAGTGAAGGAAGATCATCCTAGTTCAACAACAACATCTCAACAACAGCAGCAACAACAACAACAACAACAACAGAACAAACAAAACGATAGTATATTCATTGAGGAGGAAGAAGGAGAAGGTGACAAGGATTACAATGTATTCTCCAAACTTCCATCAACAACAAACACTACCATTGCCAACTTGGAAGAGAACATCTTTGAGGATGAGAACAACCAATAAATGTCCATATCATGTTTAATACTTTGACGATCGTCTTGTCGAATCATGATGATGATGTCTACTACTACTGTTACTGCTACTACCACTATGTCCATCCTTTCTCTTCTTCTTTTTCCTATCTATATCTTGTTCATGATGATCATCATCCACTTGTTGTAGCATACTCTTTAACTTGTCTGTCCTAATATAAGAGTTCAACTCCTTATCTCTATCAGCAGCCTTTCTCTTTTCTCTCTCACGTTCTCTCTCCAACTGATATCTTCTCTCTTCCTTTTCTCTTGTCTCTTGTTCAATTGATCGTTTCTATGGTAGTTGTGTGTTAGTCATGTGCCAGTTGCCTGTCTACTGTCAGTATACTGACGCCATCCATACCTTTTGTAGAGTAGCATTATAATATTTATCAGCGTTTGGATCACCTGGACATATATCCAGAGCTCGCCTAAAGTTTAACAATGCCTTGTCATAATTGGCAGTATTGGCATATGCTGCACCCAACGCAACGTAGGCATCCTTATGACTATAGTCCACTTCCAAAGCCTCATTATATATTGCAATGGCCTTTTCAAACTCTCCTTTCTTGGCATACTCTATACCCTTTGTGACACTGTCCATAACATTGATTGATTGTTAGTGATTGGATTGATTGATTGGATCGATTCCGAGTTTGATGGAACTTACGCATCATGAGCCCATTCATAGTTCTGGTGTGATCTTAGTGACTTGTAATCCAACGATCGTTCGTTTGGTGTAGTTGTTGGTATTGGAAGGAATGATCCCCTATCATCAAGTCCCAATGATGTCAACATCTTTTGATAGGACAATGGATTGGTGAATTGATTGTCTGCATGTAACATTGTAATAATATCACTGGTCTGACATTGTTCATTAGCCTTTGGTTGGTATAATCCCTATAAAGTAGGTGTATACAAAGTATTAGGAATTGATCATCATACTGATCAATCATACTTAAACTTACCAATTGGAAATGTTTAGAAAAGTAACTACTACTTGATATCCTTGTAATGTCTAGACTTAGAGTGATCAGTTCAGTGTCCAGTTGGATATCTTGTATAAGGGTCTTTACCGAACAACCGACATCAAAGTATACCAGTTCCTTGCCAATGTTGTGATTGAATTCCGACGATGGTATCAATCCAGTGATCATAAACTGTTCAATATAATTGAGTGAGCTGGATCGGTCATCACCATTGGGTCCTCGAGGTACAATAGTAGGGAGCTCCTCTCTATCTACAATCAATATCTTTGTGATCATTATCTGAACGGCACCATTATCAAGTCTTGACTTTATCGTTCCATGGGCCATTATATGATTGATTCCGACACCATTGTCGTCATTGGATGATGTTGGTCTCCACAGTTGATACAGATCCCTTAGTATCTTGTCCTTTGATAGTTTGAGCTCTGAAAGGCGATCAATCCTCTTTAGAGTATACATCAACTTGGGTATTGTACAGAATCCATCTGTTGCTGTTGCTGCTAGGTGTTTGTCTTGATATATACATCATGATGGGTAGAGGAAAGAGAGAGAGAAGAATGGTTGATAACTGCTATAGCTGTCTGCTTGCTAGCTTAAGAGATGTTTGACGGTGGACACCATTGCCAACCGCCCCAACCCTTCAGACGTTACCTGAGGATGATGAAGATGATGTTGATGCTGTAAACTTGTTCTTGTATCTATTTAAAACTTGTTGTATTGTAGTGTTATTGTATAGTCCTCCTCCTCCTCCTTTAGATGGTGTCATTTGTTCCATTTGTAATCTATCTATCTATCTATCTAGGTGTATAAATGAATGTCGACAAAGAATGAATGAGTGAACGAAAGACCACTTTTATTTTTGAAAGGTACCGATCTTGGATGTGCCACTTGCCAGGTCTGTCCCCTTCATCATTGGTGTTCGTTTGATATACATGTACTCTGTTGGCAGGTGATTGATGTAAGTAAATAATTGAGAGTTGTTTATACAATGTTGTACTTACTGTCTGAACTCTTGATGGCCGGTGATGCATAGGTCTTCTTTAAATCTGGAAAGTGTTTGACTTGTTGATGTGATGATGTTGTTGTTGTTGGTACTCCAATAGGTAGAGTTGATCCACCACTAGTCTTTGGCATTGGAAGTATAGGGGATACTGGTATTGGTTTCCTAATGTTTGATGATGACCCGTTGTCGTTGTTGGATGAATATACATTTGGAGAGAATGTTGTTGTTGTTGTTGTTGAACTACTACCAGTACTAAAGGCAAATTGAGTATTGCCCAATCCAGATGTGTTACTAATATTACTGCTAATACTATTATATGATGGTACTTCCTCCAACTTCCTCTTTAAGTTCTCATAGAGTTCTTCCAACTTTCTCTTTTGCCTGGTCTTTTCCGCACACTTCTCTGACAGTTCAACAATCTCCTTCTTGTCCGACTCATTCTCCTTCTTTAAATATTCAATCTGTTTCTTCATCTGATCAATCTTCTTCATGAAATCATCATGCTGCTTGATATAGGTAGTCTTTAACTTTGAGTATTGATCCTCATAAAACTCCAATCTCTTGGCCTCTTGTTGATGGTATAACTTGTTCTGGAATGTCCAAAAGTCTATCGCCTTTTCTGATATTGTCATTACTATGAAAGTATTATTAGTATTATTAAATATCTTGTCCACAATACAAATATACAAACATACTCTCTTTTGGATTGAGTCCAAACAGTTGTATCTATAAATAAAAGTTAATATTAATTAAATAAATATAGTCATAGAAGAGATACTAACTGTTTTCTCAAAGCTTGATTCGATTGTAATGCCATATATTGATCCTCTATTTTAATATATTAGTATTCATATTGGTATTGATGGTCTTGGATGATAACATACTTATTTGTTAATTGACATTCACATACTGGACACATCCTATCATTGTTGAATCTCTTTGTTGCACATTGTTCACAAAAGCTATGCAAACATGTTGTTATAAAACATCTCTCTTTGTTCGTAAACTCTCTCCAACAACTGTTACAATGAAGCATTATTATACATATAATTTATAGAGATAATAACAAATATATATAAATGTACAACAAGTTGTTGTGATGATGTCAATCGCGATTTAATAATAAAGTATTGTTGTTGTTGTTGAGCGTGAACTGGAATGTGTAGAATCAAGATCTGGTTTTATCCAAAAAAGGAAATGTTTTGGACTTGTCTATGTGTGTGTGTGAATGAATGTACATGTCGAGGTGAACTTATTGACTTGGAAGAACACTTTGAGGATCATCATCTTCATCTTCATCATCGTCATCATCATCATCATCAACATTGAGATTCTGTCCACGAAGACCAAGTGATAATGGATTCTCACCAGCACGTGATCGTTGTGAGGTAACTGCAGTGTTGCTGGCAGGTGGTGTGTTGGCTGGCATTATTGCCAATGAATCCATGTCCATGTCAAAGTCCCTTGGTGAATTGTTGTTGATATCATCTTGTGAATGTTGTACTGGTTGATGTTGATAATATTGTTGTTGTTGTTGCTGTTGCTGTTGATAACGTGAATCATCAAATGCAACAACTGATCTTGTTTGTGATCCTCTTGCACCACCACTATTATTGTTATAATGCATATTATGACTGTTTCCACTACTCTGTGAAGTGTTGTTGTTTCTCTGATTGTTTGATGATGATCCAGATGATGATGGTGTAGATGATGGATTGACTGATCCAGGTGTTTGATAACATGCCACAAGGAATTGAACAAAGAATGAGTTGCCTTGTTTGGTATCAAACTTTAGTGCACTAGGGTAGTAGAAGTTGTCAAAGCAGTTAGTACACTATTATCCAATCAAACAAGTATATAATATACATACTTTCCATTCTGTTTGATATAGAATGTAAGAGGATGTCCAAGTGTCTCACAGAATGCCATGATGGTCTTGAACTCTTTGATTGAGAATGTCATATCGATAAAGTTATCCTTTCTTCCATCAGTATGATACTCATCAAAGTCACTTGTATCAAGTTTGATCTCTGTCTGCATTGTCTTGTCTGGTGCAACTGTATGTATGTTTACTATGTCAGTACTACATCATTATCGTCATCAACTTGAATGTCAACTACTTACTCTTTGCATTATCTTCACCAATATAAGTCTTGAATATGATTACATCATCACCAAGTACCAATGATATCTCTTCAATGTTGGTTGTAAAGTGACTGAGAGCATCGAGTAGGATCTTGGGCTTGATGGTCATGCGTACGTCATAGTCATCGTTCAGTACTGGGTTCAGCATGTCCAGTTCCTCATAGTTGAGCTTGTATGCCTTTCTAATGCCCTTGTTGCAGAGTAGATGAAAGTTGGCCTTGCCCTCATTGTAGTTGATATACAATGCCACCTTTGCAATGCTGGCCAACGAATGGAACACTTGATTGCAATGCTTGGACTTTAATCTAACACGCGCATTGATGGCTGTCTGATCTACTTGATAACTCTCAAAGAATGATTCCGTCATTGTTATCTCTATATATGCTGACTTTGATGCGTTGCATGCTTTGAATTTGATCTGTGTGTAATTGTGTAAGTACATGGCTTGTAGACAAGCTGCTTTGCTACTCGACAACAACATACCTTGTCTACATCTGTATCAACGTTAAACTCATCGCATAACTTTGATAGACATTGTATTCCTTTGGCAAATGTCTTGACATGATTTGATTGTACAACTACTCTGACCATTTTGTATGTATTATCTATATATATATATTTATTTATCTGTTTGGTTATGATTGAAGTTGGACAAGTAATCAAATGACCCGCCAATATCTCCAGATTTTACTTTATTCTTAGAATTGTAAAATTGTGTGTGAAATGTCCTCTAGGGTTAAGGCAAGGGTAAGTGTTAGGGTTGAACTTTGATGTTTGATGGTCATTCGTTCATTCACTCATTCATTTACATGTCTTCACATTCATCACCATTATTACCATATCTATTACAAAGTAATATAGTTTCTATTGTATGGAAAGGCAATGAAGGTATCAATCAAGGTAGATTGTCAAGGAGATGGAGATTGTCATTGAGTTTGGTTTGCAAACGATGGCATTCATTTATAGTACAACTAAATGATTATCTACATATTCCATATATGACATATTCAACATCATTGGCTGTACCCAAGTATAAATATGATCAGTTGGTCTCTCTTTTGGCAGATTACAACTCTTATGGACTACAATGCAATAGACTACATATATATCAACTTTATTTCAAGAATCCAGGCATTACAAAGTTATTTCAATCAATAATGGTGCCAACATCTAGTATGAACACGTATATCGGTGCTCTCGATCAACTCTTTTTGGACAATGATGGTTATTATACTCGAGCGGATCGTCCTTTTATAGACATACGACCACACAAACTTGGTCTTTATATAGATATGGGTACAGGCCAGTGGAGATATGACTATGATCGTATCAAGTCAATGTTTACCAACACTCAAAGCCTTACACTTGATCTGTATCCTAGTATAGAACGTGAACAGTTTGTTGACAGACTTCTCTTCAAGGGCAACCACCTCATCAACCTCACCAAACTCAAACTCATCGGAGACCGCCATGATTTCACTTGTAAACTGGTGCCACAACATCGTACTCTGTTTGGAGGTCTGACCAGTCTATCAAAGCTGCGATCACTCAATATCTTCTTTTCTAATGGCGAGTCAGTTCGCAGTCTTGATGAAGGTAACAACTTTTTTCAATCATTACATCAATACCTGGTCAACAACAACAATGATGGTGTTCATCATTTAAACACATTCAAGTTTCCATGTGGACAACTCAACTATGAAACATTGTACCACCTCTTCCAGTCACCGAATCATTCAATCAATAAGTTGGAATTGTACATTTGTGATCACCTACCTATTGTATCACGCACACTCAAACAGATTACATTCTGGGTCAATGATACTGTCAACACTACAATATACGCAGATCTAATTCGTTCAATGAGTGACCGAGTTGGACACATCAGACTGATCGATACAAATGGAGTTTCTATCCCTTTATCATTCAGTACCATCACTCCATGATTGGCTCACTCTCATTCACTTCACTATCACTCAACTTTGAGCTTTGCTTAAATGGAACAAAGATCGACTACTTGAGCTGTTCGCTGAACAACTGACCATCAGCAGAAACATTTTATACATTTACAATGTACTTCCATCCTATAGAGCTAAAACAGACATTAGAAAGTTTGATGGATTCCAGACATTGGATAAATGTATCCAGTCCAATACAACAATCCAAAACAAGTCTTCATGGTATTGGGATCGACTACAATCTGTACATTGAACGTTGATGTGCATCATTGATATCCAGTCCAATCAAACTATCCAAAACAAGTTTCATGGTATTTAGGATCGACTACAATCTGTACATTTATGTAATGGTGTGTATATGAGTATTGATAACAATAAATACTATTGTAGCAATCAATCAGACAGTATGTTCAAATCTGTTCTTTTGTAGAAATGAAGATAATATTATTACCCCCTGTTGTGAGGAGATTTAAATTAATGGATTAACTAAATTAAGTAGTTTATCAGATTATGAAGTTGGAATAAATTATTATTTCCCACCCTCCCTATTTTGGATGATTGATTAATACCGGTGATCACCAATACCACTGTTACCCCTATGACTATTTACAGAGAGAGTATAGTGATCAATCAATAATAGTCCGGGATATGTATATTTAAACAACAATTTTTGACGACAATTATCCAATTAAAAAAATATTCATATTATTTTCTAATTAAATATAATAATAAATTTTTAGATATATAACTAAAAATGTATAAATCATTATTGATGATGATCCTTTTAATAGGACTTGTATCTTGTATTGCTGCATCATTTAGAACAGATAAAAAGAGTTCTTGTTTGAATGCTGTTGCTAATATTGTAGACGATGATACCTGTCACAAGGATATTAAAGGTATCCACAACAGTTGTATTGCTCATATCCATGGAAGAATTGCATCACCTTGTACTTCAGGTGTACATGCAATGAAGAAGTCAATCAACAAACATAAATTCAATACCAACCCATCAGTGGAGATGATAGAAGTAAACTTTGGAGAATTCAATATTACAGTTTCCTGTAGCCAGTAGATACAAGTTAATAATTATTAATGATCAAAGACCTAATTTAATTGTATTTTTAAATTATGAATAAACAATACAATCGATCATTATCTAGTAGTTCATACTTTCAAATTCTGATTGATAAGGCTATACTGGTCTGGTTAACATTATAGTATGACATCTTTTACACTCTACCTTGGACTATTGCTTCACAAGTATAATAATAGTTTCACTCGTAAACATCGTACATTGGTTATCCAGTAGAAGATGAAGATTAGGAGCGAGCTATCCTCTCTGACTACTGGTGTTGTTTGGTTGTTCGACGGCGGTGTAGTTGTTGTTTTGTAACTGTTTGTTCAATGCATCTCTTTCCGTCGACCTAAATCATCATCCAGTCATTATAATCCAAAGTCACTGTTGTTGTAGTGGTTGGTGGCTTATACCTATTGATCTGTACTGCTGCTGTTGTTGTTGTTGGTGTCTTTTGGTAGTAAAGTCAGGTCAGCAGAGGTCAGGATAGCCTTTTCCAAGCCAGTCAATGTCAATCGTTTCTGGCCAGTCGCTGTCAAGACGGTCGTTGTTATCATGCCAATCTCGTCAAGTCAGGTGTTGTCGTCAGTCCAGCCGTTGACAAGCCAGTCGTGGTCATGCAAGGTCCAGCAGTTATCATCATACCAGCCGTACTCAAACAATTCGTTGTCGGTCCAATATGTTCAAACCAGGCATGTTCAAATAAGTTCAGTTAGATCAACAGTGATTGCCATGCTCAGGCCAGTCTTGTTCACTACAGTCGCACTATGCCCGTCGTGTTCAAGCCAGCTAGTCATTGTGAGGCCAGTGTGTTGAAGACAGTCGTGTTCAGGCCAGTCGTAGTCAAGCCTGCCGTTGTCATGTCGTCGTTGTCGTCAGGCCGGCCGTATTCAGTTTGTCAGTCAGCTGGGCTGTCGTTGTCTGGCTGTGTGGTCAGATGTGGAGTCGCGAGGTCAGGCCAGTCGTTGTTAAGGCCAGTGTTACTTCAACACTACAGGCAGTTTGTTTCTCATCGTTGTTCTATGATGGACATGACTATACACATATACTATGTTTGTTCACCTGCCTTGCACTTATGTTGTTGTTACATTATTTGTTCGTTCTACATCATCTTACTATGAGTGCATTGGTAACAGTAGTTGGCAAACAAGATAAAGATTAGCAGCGTCTCTGCGCAAGAATGACGACCTAAAACGAGAAGTAACAACATTTTTTTTTTTTTTTTTCCTCTGTCTAACTCTGGTGGATGAAGTACACTCATGTGTGTGGTGTAAGTGTCTTGTCTTGTGGAGACCTGATGTTGTGTGGTCATGGGTGATGGACTACAAGTGATTAGGGATTAAAGTATGGATGAAATTAAAAAGGACAGAAGTGGTTAGAATCAATGTATAATTACCAAATACATTGGTAAGTGCCAATGAGTAAAGGGAGTAATGAAAAGTTGGCGCCAACTATACATTATTACCTTTGCACATTGGTAGATTCCAAAGTTATCCACAAAGTAATTCCCAAGTTCAAAATTAATATCCATAGTGATTACTAAATCATAATACTTTGGTAAGCGCCAAAGTAATCTTCAATATATGTTTTGAAAAGCCAAGTTAACTTTGGATATACCACTCAGGTAAGTGCCAAAGTGATGACGGTGGACCGGTCCTTAAATAATGGTCAATGTTTTATAATTGATGTAAATAACTTTATTAATATAATTGCAATTATTTTGACTCCAAAGTAGATTATGACGTTAGTATTAATAACCAAAGAAATCACCTTTTGTATACTAGTATGTAAATATTATATTCTTCTCTTCGAGTATGCCTGTGGTGATGAGACGATAGACACTGACCACCTTCTTCTGGCCAATGCGATGCGCAAGATCCATGGCCTCTAGATCCTTCATTGGGTTCCAATCGTGCTCGAGGAAGATCACTGTGTCGGCACCTGTAAGGTTCAGACCCAGTACTCCGAATTTGTCTTCAGCAATGGGATATCGATTGTTGGATCTGCGTTGAATTGATTGACAATGGTTTGTCGTTTAATGGCCTCAGTCGAGCCGTCCATCCTGACTGTCCTAGACATGTCCATCAGTCCAACACACATGACCACACAACATCAGGTCTCCACAAAACAACACACTTACACCACACACATGAGTGTACTTCATCCACCAGAGTTAGACAGAGGGCTAAAAAAAAAAAAAATGTTGTTACTTCTCGTTTTAGGTCGTCATTCTTGCGCAGAGACGCTGCTAATTGATTGTTTAAACATACAGAGAACAATAACTACCCAATCTATCTCTATTTATATCTATGTATATATATGTCTATTCAGTCTTCATGTCACCAGCACTTTAGCAAACATACAATCATGAGATGGACAACAATGTATTCAATTTCCTACTGGGGATAGGAATGTCGACTCAAATTGCAACAATAGCAAAGGCAGTACCAACAGTACCAGCAACAGCAGGATTTAGTCACGTCAAGTATCTTGACAGCCAACAACAACAACACAGTAGACTGCCTGGCAGCCACCTTGTGATGACGATGTTGTTGTACAGTAGTGCAGTCAACTTGCTGATTGGGCAGTAGCAGCAGCAAGCAATAACAACACAACAGCGAGACTGTGACTAGGATGTCAATGACCTTGGCATTGACCACTCTGTCGAATCTGACATGGTGATGAGAGTGATGGCCATGACACTAATGTTGATGACCTCAAGCAGCGGAGTACTGTTCGCGAACTTGTCCACACTATTGGCAAGTCGATGGACTCTGAAGCCTGTCAAAACAGAATGGAAGAGCATGAATGGAGAGCTAGTACCAATACCTTTGGAGTACATGTACAGTCGAGCAAAGGTCCTACATCTTGTCACGGCAATGGCACGATTACTTCCACGAGAGTATCATCAAGGACAACGAAGTGAGAGTAGGACATTCAACGATTGAGAGAGAGAGCAGTGGATTCCATACGATCCCCGCAGGTGGTACACTTTGTTATCGACACTGAATTCAAGATGCTACAGCAGCATTCGATACAATATTGTTGATATTGGGACATGATCAAGTTGCCAGCAGTGTGGCAGCCCGACCATCCATTGACCAAGATGCATGCACAGCAGCAACATCCTCAAGTGATGTTTACATACTTTCAAAAACAACCAACAAGTAACTCCTTTGGCAACAGTGTAGTCCAATCAACCAATTGCTACATCATTCCATTCTTGATCACTGGTCATCATTACAACGTCCTCATTGGACATCAACAATCCAAGGCTGTTTTCCACATTTCAAATGTTGAGCATCAGTCAACAACTACATCAGTGGACTTCAATCTGAGACCTTTATTCTCAGTTTTCCGTTAGAACGATACGCCCTACGTTGCTCCGCCCCTGATGGTCAGCGATTCAAGTGGAACGAGAGTAGTTGTGTACCTCTGTCTTTTCCATGTTCCTGGCGGACTTTAAGCAGCCATCGAGCAGACTCATCTCTCTGCAACCACGTGTTCAAATGAACCATCCTTCAGTCGTTGTTAGGCCTGTGTGTGGTCAAGCCAGTCGTGTTCAGTCGTTGTCAGGCCAGAATGTTCAAGCCAGCCGTGGTCAAGCTAGTCGTTGTCATGCCAGCAGGAGTGCGGTCGTATCCGGATGGTCAGGCCATCAGTGTGTTCAGTCCAGTCTCTTTGCAATCATAAGGAGTAGATACCAAAAAAAGTAACCTGCTTTAACAAAGAAGTGTGGATATTACTAATAGTAGTAGTAGTAGTTGTTGATCGATCATTTAATAAAATGATATCGTTTGCAAAGTGACCATGTTCAAACTCTTGGGCTGAACTTAGAAACCACACACAACCAACCAATTGCATCACACACACTGATTGATTGATGGACTGGATTGACAGAGTAGTTTTGAGATACAACAACATCTATTTTAGATACTATATCAATTGGAGGCCTAATCTCCTTTGGGTTCTCTGAAGAGAGGTGTTCCCGTGCGATGAATCAATTCACTGACTTTATAATCTTGATTGGTACTATATTTGGATTACAATTAAGTCACTCAGTTCCCTATTCTCTTCACCATCTCACAAAGTTACAATGACGATAAATTGGTTGTTCTTCAACAATATCCTATCATTAGGTCGATGAATTGGATTATGCTATTGAGAAGTGAGTTTTTAAAGTTGAGTTTCCTTCCAAGTGCTTCTTTCTTTCTTCCAGTGCACCCTGCTCTCTCAATATAAAGGAGTATGGATATCCATTCTAAATACAATATAGATATACTTATACTACTACTACTATATCATTAATACATATTTTTACAATCAATTAAATAATATGATCAATCCCTAATTAATATGTCACTATTGAAATTTGATTAAGTAGATATTGTTTTAATAATAGTGCATGTTGTTGTATCGGGATATGTTTGTTCTTTGCTGTCCAGTTTGACTATGGTCTGCCTCATCTATTGTGATTTAAACAGGTTTCCATTTTGACGAGTCAAGTATTCTCAAAATTGTCTACTTTGTTTCTAGGTGGCTACTGGTCTCTCACATCAGCCTGTGCTCCAACCAATCAACTAAATATATTTAGATCTTCTTTTACTCCAAGCTTTAAAGGAGTATGAAGAGAAGAATCAAGTACCCTATACACCAAAGTTAATCATTGTCGCAGACTGATCCGAGATGAAGTCATATTTGAGAGAGTGTGGAACAAGATCAAGGATATCGTATTATGGTACTGTACCCTCCATCATCTTTGATATTTGTGGAACATACTTTTGACTCTTTGGTTGGCAACATTTGCTCAATTATCAACTTTGGAGTGGATTCAACTTCTCCCAACTTCTACCTCAACAGTTGGCAAGGAACTCTGATTATGTGTCAGAGATTGCTGGTCGCTACAGCGACCCTCAATCACTTCCATCAGCAATGCCAAACCAAGGGCCTCTTCTGATGCCTTATACAGTTGTGTTAACAGACGACAATCTACAATACTCTCTGGACGATTGTTAACATGGAAGTCTACGAGAGTATTCGACACCGATCAAACAACATCAATTGGAGCGATCACTGACAACCACTCTATTTGCAGGACAACTACTATCAATGAGGTAATCAATACTTCGATGGGTATGCACAGACCAGGATTTTTGACAGTTGATGACAACTACTTTGATATCATTGATATGGCGTCGGAGCTGTTGGGTGTTCAATGGGGAACAAAGATGGCCAACAAAAAGAACAATAGTCAATTTTGTAGCCTCAATTGATTCAGCACTCGGCTCGGAGCACTTCCAGCCAACGACAAGGACGCCTATATCAATCAACACACCTGGTAGTGTAGCAAGAACGATTGTGGGAATCCGACTCTCAAGTTCGATGGTCGATCGGCAATTCTCAGACTTGGACAAGCCATCGATTCTAATTGTAGATACCAATTCGTTAATATGGAGACCTGATTAAATCCCAAAAGAAGTGGCCTACTAGAGTCAAGCTGGACAGCAAGGACCAATCATATCCCGATACAACATAATGCACAACTAATATATTACTCTAACAACAACAACTCAATTAAATGTCGACATTGTACATAATCAAACAAGTAAACAACAGCTCTGTCAATATAAACATGTTCCTCATTGGGTCAATTTGTATTGTTGTAACTTCAGCTAAGTACACATCGATGTGTAGTGGTCAAGCCGGTCGTTGTCATCAGGTCAGTGGTGTTGAGGAGATCCATGAGGTTCTCCATGGCGGTAGGTTCTCCATGGCGGGGTACGTGTTGATGGCAATTGCCATTAATTATGTCTCCAGTCGAGAGAGCGCCCAGCGAGCACATGTAAGTCGAGTGGATGCTCCCCATCGTTAAGCCCGGGATGATCGCAGCCTGGCCAGAGTTGAGTGCCACCATCGCATATTCATCCATTACCTCTCTTTCCATCGACCAAATATCATCATATATAATCCATAGTCAACTGTCGACAGTGTTTGGTGGCTTATACGTATTGGTATGTGCTGCTGTTGTTGTTGGTATCTTTTGGTAGTGTAAAGTAACCACCTTCAGGCCAGTCTTTGTCAAGCCAGTTATGGTCAGGCCAGTCGTTGTCAGGTCAGAGTGTTCAAGCCAATCGCTTTAGGGCCGATCGTGTTCAAACCTGCCAGTTGAGTTCAAGCCTGTCGCTGTCAGACAAGTCGTGTTAAATCCAATTGTAGTTGTGGGTCAGTCATATTCAGGTCAGTCGTGTTCAAGCAAGTCGTTGTCAAGCCGTCGTGGTCAGTTGTCGTCCAGCAGTAGCTGAAGAGCCAGTGTTCAGTTCAGTGGTCAGTCATGTTCAAGCCAGTTAAGGCTCACAACTGAGTATCAGTTCAGTCAAATGGTCTAACTGAGCTCAGTTCAGTTCAGTTAACTGAGTGACTGACCAGTCTGAGGAGTCGAATATTACAACTGAGCCTATAACTGAAGACGGATCCGACAGAAAATGAGACTGAGCGTTCAGTTTAACTGAACTGAATTGAGACGCTCAGTCATCAGTTGTGAGCCTTAAAGCCAGTCATTATCATCAGCCAGAGTGTTAAAGCCTGTCGTTGTCATCAACCAGTCGTAAGGCCAGTGTTGGTCAGTCGTGTTCAAGCTAGACATGTTCATGCCAGTCGTTGTCCGGCCAATGTATTCAAGTCTGCCGTTGTTAGCCAGTCGTGGTCAAGCCTGTCATTGTCAAGTTCAAGCCTGCCTATGTCAGGTTGTTGTGTTTAAGCCTGTAGTGGTCAGGTGTCGTCCAGGTAGACTTGGTTAAAGTCTGCCGTGGTCAAGCAGTCATGTTCAAGCCTGTCGTTGTCAGGCCAGTGTGGCCATGTCAGTCGTATTCAGTTCAGTCGTGTTCAAGCCAGTAGAGTAGTTGTCGGGTCAGTCATGTCCAAACCAGTTGTGCTCAAGCAGTCGTGTTCAAGCCAGTTGTGCTCAAGCCAGTCGTGTTCAAGCAAGCAGAGCAGTTGTCGGACGAGACTTTTCCAAACCAATCATGTTCAAGCCGGTCGTGTTCAAGCTATTCATGCTAAATCCTGTCGTTGTCAAGTCAGTCGTGTTCAAGCCTGTCGTTGTCGGGCCAGCAGTGTTCAGGTCGGCTGTTAGAAGCCAGGCCAGCCATTTGTCAGGTTAGCCGTGTTCAGGCAAGCTATTGTGAGGCCAGTGGCCAGGCCGGTCTGTTGTTCAAGTCTGTCGTTGTCAGGCATGTCGTTCTCAAGCAAATCCATGTCCGAATCATTGTCAGGCCATTCGTGTTCAAGCCTGCCACAGTCGTTGTCAGGCCAGTGTGGTAAAGCCTGCCGTTGTCTAGCCAGTCGTGCTCAATCCAGCCGTGGTCGTGGGTCAGTCATGTTCAGGTCTGTGTGCTCAAACCTGCCGTTGTTATCATGCCAGTCGTCGTTCAAGTCCGACGTTGTCAGGCCAGTGGTGTTCAAGCAAACCATGGTCAGTCGTGTTCAAGCCTGTTATGCTCAAACCTGTCGTGTAGTCAAGCCAGCCTGTCGTGTTCTAGCTTGTCGTTGTCAAGTCGGGCCAGTCGTGTTCAAGACATTCGTTGTCAGCCATGTTCAAGTCTGCCGTTGTCTGGTCGGTCATGTCAGACCATTCGTGGTCTGGCATGTGTGCTCAAGCCAATCGTGGTCAGGTCAGCCGTTGTCAAGCCAGCTGTGTCGTCCAGCCTGCCTGTTGTATTCAAGCCAGTTGCTGTCAAACCGTGTTCAAGCCTGCCACAGTCGTTGTCGGGCCAGTGCGGTCAAGCCTGCCGTTGCCAGGCCTGCCGCGCTCAATTCAGCCGTAGTTGTTGGTTAGACGTGTTCAAGCCTGCAGTTGATCATGCCAGTCGTCGCTCAAGCCTCCCGTAGTCAGGCATGTGTGTTCAAGCCATCGTAGTCAGGCCAGTCTTGTTTAAACAAGTCGTGGTCAAATTGTTATAGATCTATTTGACTAGAGTATACATATATACTTACAGTGTACACTTTGAGTTCCTCACTGTGAGGACCAGCCGTGATCAGCCTCGACATCGAGTTTGGGATATCCGGTCGCCATCGACCTGCATGTGCCCCTCACACTGTTTGCACCTCAAGTACTTGCACTCAACTGTACCAGTCGTGCTCATGCTAGTCGTTGTCAGGCCTGTGTTGTCGGATGCTCAAACCAATCGTATTCAAGCCAGTCGTATTAAAGCCTATCGTTGTCTGGGCAACAGGTCGGCCTTTGTCATGTCAGTCGTGTTCAAATCTGCCATTGTCAAGCCAGTCGCATTCCAGCAGGTAGTCGTTATCATGTCAGTCATTGCCGTCAGGTCAGTCGTATTCCGGCAGTCCGTTGTCAAGCGAGTCGTGTTCATGTCAGTCGTGGTTAAGTCTGCAAGTCGTTGTTGGGCCAGTCGTGGTCATGCAAGCCATTGTCCGGCAGTCGTTGACAATTCAGTCGCGTTTAGGTCGGCTGTTGTAAGCCTGTCCTGGTCACCTTCCAAACCAACCTCACTATGACCTACTAGACAACTTCTATACTTTAATCCCTAATCACTTGTAGTCCATCACCCATGACCACACAACATCAGGTCTCCACAAGACAAGACACTTACACCACACACATGAGTGTACTTCATCCACCAGAGTTAGACAGAGGGCTAAAAAAAAAAAAAATGTTGTTACTTCTCGTTTTAGGTCGTCATTCTTGCGCAGAGACGCTGCTAATCTTCTCTGTATCGTTCCAATTTTATAATTTTGGTCCCCGAAGGGAGCCAATGATCAATAGAAACAAGTCCGGTCTTAAGGAATTGAAATTATAACAATTATATGATTTATGGTTTGAAATAACGAATGAACAAATGTGTGTGAGTGATGAATGTTCGTCAAACCCACTTAAAACACACCGTCCACAAACGAAAATTCAAAAAGTGAAAAAAAAAAATCAATTGAAAAAATATATTTTCCAAACAGATAATAGTAAAAAAGTTGGTAGTTATACAAAGTTCAAACAAATAACTCAAACAACCCACCATTGATCAATTATGAAAAAAAACTAGGTTGCATGATCTATAAATGACATCCAAACGATTTTGTCATGGCAAGCCGGCTCAGGAGGAAACAAGTTAGATTGATAGAGGTCTTCTCTTTACCTCTCTACCCTTATTAATATCCTTTCCCTTACCCTACCCTTTCCCTTGCCCTTATTCCTTTCCCTTGCCCTTATACTTTGCTCTTACCCTGACCCACCCTTACCTCTCTACCTCTCTACCTCTCTACCCTCTACTCTGTAAAGACTAAACAGGTTGGACACCATCTACAAATGTTTGTCAACTCCAACTGTCCACCTTTAGTGTGGAAGACACTCAGTTTACCATTCACCACTTGAATAGCTTTATGTACAATCATAAACCCCAATACCCTCTCTACCTGCCAGACTCTGGCGGGTGGTCCTGGATCACTAAACTGACCACCAACTATCCACTTTGTCTCAAACTCGACAATCCAGCTTGGTTGGGCTTATTCCTGCTACCTGTACCAGAAACCCCTTACACAATTGATCATTAATCATGATTGGAGTTCCCACATACTCTCTGTCATGATCATCATATCAATGTAATGTCCAATCAATCAAAAACCTAAAGATCTCAAACTTGTTGTTATTGTTTGGTTTCCAAGGAATATAAGGTGGTTGATTTTATTTGTCCAATCCAATACTTTTTTGGTGATCGTGATCCTAAACAGCTTCTGTCAATGTCGATATGATCCCTCAACATGTCATCCACTACTACCTGCTTATCTGTATCTTCTAAAGACGCGAGTGTTTCTTCTCTTGTAGTTGGCACGGACTGAAGGTCTAGCCTTGGCGGCATGACGACCTCCCTTCTTGTTCAAACCACGAGCCTTGACACCGGCGGCAGTGAGACCACGGAGCTCACGGTGCTTGTGCACTGGGTTGCAGATCCAGTTGTAGCGGGCGTCGTTACGGATGGACTGGTGAGAGTGATCCAACAAGATGACCTCAAAGTACTTGTAGGTCGAGTCCTGGTTGACCCAGTACGAGTTCAACACACGAAGGTTGGGGCAACGACGAGCGACACGCTCCTCGGCGACGGAGCGCAAGTTGCGCGATGGCTTCAACTCGTTGACACCATGGGTCTTGGGCTTGCCACCAGTGCGACCGCCTGGCACCTGTCTCTTACGGCCTCCGCGACGGACACGGATGCGGTAAACGACGAAACCTTGAGTGGCCTTGTAACCCAAACGTCTGGCTTTGTCTGGACGACTTGGGTGAGTGGCACGATGGCACACTGGCAAGTTTCTGTATTCCCAGCATCTAACTCTGAGAAGGAAACGAATAGCATCAGACTGCTTATGCTTGTACAGTTCCTGTAAGTATTTGTAGGCACCTGTAGTAGTAGTTGATTGAAATAGTTGGTTTGATTGATTGGTTTGATTGATTGATTGAATGATTGTTAGTTTGTGTAGGTGATAAAGTTGATGGATAGATATCATTGTCTTTGTAGTCGTAGTCACAATCACCATCATATCGTAATCGTAATCATTCGTCAGGATTCTAGATATATCAACATCGTTCTCTCTCGCAAGTAACTTGTTTGAAAGGTATCCTTCAATCCTTCATTCTATCCATCGTTCGATTGATTGATTCATCTGTAGTCGACTACACTAGATTGATATAGAGATAGTAAGATATACACACCCATTCCTGTTCCTGTTGTGATATGTGACCAAAGTGTGAAGCAATAGCAAGTTGATAAAGTGGACTATGAACCAGATGCGAGAGGAGGCGAGTCAGCAGGACATCCTGTCGCTCACTCACACACATTCGTGTGAGTTTGGAGCACATAGTTTTGTAAAGTATGTTAACAAAATCAAAATAAATAGTTTTTCAAACATTGATCCAATTCAATTGGAAGTTCGAAACAGTTACTCTTAAACAGTTAGTGACAACATACATAGAGATAGATAGATAATGTAAATAGAACTTGTTATATCTAATATATAGTATCATACACAACATATATATATAGACAATGGTATGTATATCAACAACACTCATTTATAAACATTGACCACATTCAACTTTACTTACCTCGATCATTCATTCATTCAATGATATAGGCAGTTACAGATAGATGTATTGGATTATCTATACTTGTATTTAGTATAAATGCTTTTATATATTACTCTATATGGGTCATTGTAACAGTATGTTATATCTAGTTAACTAAACATGCATCACATCTCTAACAATCACAACATCTTTTAGCCATTCATAGATAATGATCATTGGATACATCAATACTTTTCACCAAGAGAGTATGGTATAAGTATGCCATTGATGTTGGTTGTAATTGGTCTAACAATAATTGGTACATTCTTGGGTCTTGTAATGGTTAGTTCAAAGAGGAAATAGAGTATAGTAATATAGTATTTATTGTATACCTTGTAATATTGATGTCTTATTATTATTATTGTTGTTGTTGTTGTTGATCGATAGGTATCTAATAGTAATATATTGACCAAATGTAGAGAATACCATTGTCATACCAAATGATAATACAAAGATACTCATTGTAATTGTGAATACGAATGATGTAGTCACACCTGTAGAGTAATAATGTCCAATGTGATAGGCAAACAATGAACATAGTTGTAGTACAACCAATAGATCCCATACTTGTAGACTCAATCTTGTAGTGATCCAATCATATTGATCCAACAGTTTGATTGTATAGCCAAATGTAAACTTGCCACCTTTTCCAACGGCCCTCGGTACAAGTACAGTTGGTAGAGGTGTCACTAGACGCACCAAGAATGTCCAGAGCAAGAAGAAGTAGCCAAGTTTGTGTACGGTCATGATGAATGTTGCAAACTCTGGTATCGCCGTTGGATCATACACTCCTGGTACTGCAATTGATACATCGCCCATGTCAAAGTTCATACCCATCAATCTGTACAATGTCAATACACTACTGATCAACAATAGTACTGCCAATGGTAATAGTTGTTCTGATGTTGGGGTTGTTGGACCATGGTTGCTTGGATCATCATGTTTGGTCAATGATCTATTGATTGATAATGATAAGATATTACTGATTGAATATAATTGTGGTAATATGAATATGATCAAGTATAGACGTTCATGATCTGTAGAGATAAAGAATAGTAATGTTGATACTGGTAGGAATAGATCTGATTGTTGATATCTTGAACTAAACATTAATACCACTGTATGTATAATTATGATTGTATAGATAAAGAATGCCAATGTTGATAACATAATATGATATGATGTCCAATAATAATCATATAAATATATGGATGCCAATAATAGATAATATGTTCCAAACTTGATATATAATGGATAGAATATACCATCATTATCTGATATCTTTGTCATTGTTATCCTTTCCAATATACCTGCCATTTGTCCATTATATTCAAAATATAATAACATTGTTGCAAACAAATAATTGAATCTATATATTGACTTGGGGGAGTATATGTTTAGTTAATTGATATATATATCAATATTATATATTATAATAATATATTTGTTACTTACATTAAATATCCAACTACCTTCCAATGGAGGTACAATGATATATTTAATCATTGCCATAGTGAATAGGATATAAATGAATTTGGTGATTGATCCATTTGGTGTTTCAATATTATTATGTTGAGTGTTGTTGGATTGTTTAAATAATAATATTATTAATAATAAAGTAATATAAATATTAAATGATTCATTCTGTTCTAATTGTTGATAATAATATAATAGTCCACAGAATGTTGTTGATATTATAATTATAATAATATAGGGGATTAATGTTGTGATTGGATTATCTGACAATTCAAATAATAATCCATTGAATGATCCATAACGTCTATTGATCAATTGATACATTGTAAACATCAATGCCAATGGATAGAATATCAATTCAAACTGTGGATAACGTTTGAAATTGTTGAGTGAATGTTTGAGTTGATCAATCATCTGTTCAAACCTGGCCACTGCCTTGACAGTATCACTGTCCTCATACTCCATCATTGAGTTGGACTGTTGTTCATCCAAGATACCCAAATGTTTGGCCAACCTAATCAACTGTATTAAATTGATTGACAATAGATGACGTTTGTGTTCCATATCAGTGGTGGCTGGATCCAAACGACCAGTGTTCTCGGCGGGTATAGATGCACCCGAGCCCATAAAGTATTGTGTCACTGTACTACATAGATCAACTTGATCAATCAATTTGTTTTGTTGATCCGCGGGCAATGGTACCAGGTGTGGATTGTAAATGATTGTGAATGCTTCGTTGCCCTGATCATTCCTTCCATGTGCTCCAGTGTCATTGGGTGTCTTGCCACCATGATCACTAAAGATCATCAACAAGTATTCCGGATGTTGATCGACCCATTGTTTAACGGCCGCCATATCCTTGATCCATCCATTCAACAGTTGAACGGTGGCCGGATGATACTTGTTTCCAGTCATATGATTACGTTCATCAACCATATCGCCCGAGAAGAATATACTACTGTCACGTCCAGCAGCCTCACGATCCAAGTATTGTTTGGCACATTGATGAGAGTTGCCCAATGAACATTGAAACAATGTTTGATACAATGCCGATGTCTCTGTCGTACGCTCCAATACAACACCATTCTTAAAGTAATCACCATTGCACAGTGAATCGTAGGCAGGCAGTTTGGTACCGACATACTTGAATGGTTGTCCAGTGTGTGTGACCAATTGATGCATCAAGTTATCCTCTCGGATGTAGGCTCCAAAGTAGTTGTATGGTGGTGTACCAGACATGTATGATGTAAACACTGCAAACGATGCAGGGAATCCAACATTACGTATACGATAGTGATTAGAGTTTTGTTGGAACAACTCCACCATACCGTCCATTAGGTCACGTGCCACTCCATCATTGTAAAAGAACAATGTACGTTTGAATGAATTGATTCTGTCGTCTGGGCATTGACCAGGACGTCTACAATCTGTATTCTCAAACAACTCCTTTGTTGACTTTACATCCAAATAATGAAACTTGGCCAACACAACTGTCAACAAATAAATCATCAACAACAATTGACATGTTGTTAAGAATGTTGATGATCTAATAAATCTTTTAAATAATAACATGATGTAATATGTGATATATATATATTATGTATGTATTAAAATGTAGAATGAAGAGAATGAACAATGCAACACTGTTGTTTGTTGGGACTCCCTGGATACCATGCCTCACACAACATCGTCATCATATTTTTGATCAAAAAATCAATCAAGTGATTCTGATTGGGTGACAGAGTGGGACCCCGAAAAGTCGTATGATTGATCAAAATAAGGGATGGGAGGTCCCATGATGATAAAGTAATCTTTATGGAGTCCTTGGTACATAAGGAGTAAAAGTATCCTTTGTGATCTCTACCCAATCAAACTCGTATGATGTTGGTAGACCAACATGAGAGGTACTGGCAAACTGTTCGTTGTCCCATGTGAATGATGGCTGTTGGATACGAGTTGGTCCACAGATGGCCAATGCGGTCTGCTTCTGTACCATTGACCAAGAGGTCATCTTACCATCGATACCACCCATGGCAATTGGTCCTTGTTGCAACAGATCGAAACGAGAGGCAATTGCATTGCCTGGATTGTCTTGAGCCAATGGATCAGTCTCGTAATCATTGTACTGGATGTACATTTGATAGTCCTCCACAGAGTAGACCTTGTTGGCGTCACGTCTCATGATCATTGCACGTGCATTACCAATGTATGACATCTCCTGTCTCAATGATCCATCCAAATCATTCGAGTTATAACCAGACATGTTATAAATAGTCTCATAGAATGGTACATTATATGATGGCCAATATCCCATTCTAAGTATTGCTGTTTGGTCGGCACTGTAATATATGTTAGTAGTTGTTGTTATCATTGGGACTGTCCCACTAACCTACTACACTTACTACTCAATATAACCTGGAATTTGTTCCAATACGTAGAGTGCACCATCGGCAAGACTGACGTTGGGAGTGAACTTCTTAAAGTCAATCACCATCCATTGGTTGTTGTAGGTGCCACTGTTGTAGAGTGATACGGTCTCACACCATTGCAATCCACTGGTGGACAGTCTGTTGGAGACCAACACACGCATCCAACTCAGTACAGACTGTGGACGAACATTCTCATACAAACTAAAGTTAAAGATGTTGTTGGTAGTCTCCAAGATTGACAATTGAGTGTTCAACACATAGAAATCATCAATAGACGATAATGTTGCAGGGTATGCACTAAACAATTGATGGTTACCAACTGTTTGACTGGTGGCCTATACAGTGATTGATCGATTGTTAGTCACGTGACTTTTGAATCTACAATCTGCTACATACCGAGAATCCAAAGGTATAAGACTTGAATACTCTAAGCATTTGAGAGTAAAAGTACCAGGCAACATGTCCACAGTAGAGTTCAGAGAGGTCGTCGGTCAACTTGACTAGGGCGGTACAATGGGAGCTCTTCATCAGGTCGACAAAGGTAGCGGGTGGCTTTAGGCTCTCTCCATTCATGTATTGGATGGCTGGTATCACATCAAACATATCACCGGCCATATTCATAGCGAATAGATCGGCCAATGTCACTGGTGTCAATGATGTACCAACAATGGCATCGGTATAACCAACCAACATGCTCTCAATCTGATTCATAATCAATGATATTTGATACCAATATACATATAATGAATCGGTCTTGTCCATCTGTGATTCACTGTTTGTATATTTATCAATGTTTGTATACTAATGAATATATATATAAGTATATGATTGATGGGACGAGGATGTCGATGATGATGACGACGAAGATGACACTTACGATCCAAGCAATATTATCCTCGATCCATGCAGTTAGGTTTGCTGGCAACTCATCAAAGCCTAGTCTATCCTTGTAATAGTTGATACGACCAAAGTAGATTGCTTGATATGTCAAGTATCCCTCGAGATATCCTGCACATTGAGCTTGGGCGGCATCAGTGTAGGCCGATGAAGTGTTGATTGACAAGTAGATCCAACCAGTTGCATTTGGGAATCCATCAAACAATGCAGTTGCAACAGACTCTGTCTCTTGTCCCAACACAACCTTGAATGAATTTGAACCATCATTCATACATGAATAAAGAAGTGGATTGAATGGTGTTCCAGCAGCTTCCTCCGTCGTTGTCTTTGTTGTTGCCGAAACAACAATTGTAAACAACAATAACAAAGCAGTTAATATTGTTGTTACTCTCATATCTTGTTGTTGTTATTATTATATGTAATGATAATTAATGATACAACAATTGCTCAATTGTAAAAGAATGAATGTCATGCATGTCCGACGGACTTGATTCAAATTGAACCAACTTCAAAAGAATCTTCGTGTGGGGACCTTCTTCCATCCCCCCAACCCCAGCCTTCGACCCACAACCCTCGACCCTCCAATCATTCTCCATGATTGAACTTTGATTGGATTAAAAGGAAATAATAAATGATAAGGATTTTATATATATTACTACTACTTATCTGTAAAGTCACCAACCATTTGGATTGGAGCAGCCCATACATAGTATTGCTTGGTACCAACTTTGGGCACCTTCTTGATGATGCCCAAACTATCTAGGATGTTGGCAATGTCATACAGTCGTTTACATTTGGCTGGCATCGATGTTAGGTTGTAGGTATCCTTGGCATCTTGTATCGATACTTGTTCTCTGACCAAGAATAATCTAATAAATAATCTACATAGATTGGATATTGAGGTTTGAGCGTCATCACCTGATGATGTTGCTGCTGCTGCCACTCCGCCACTCATATCAGTGTCACACATTGACATTGCAAATATAGAGTAGAGTGATGTTGTGATGTTCTGTAGACCCTTCCAGTGGTAGCAGTCACGTTCCTCCTTGGCCACAACGCCCAGACATTCCATGACGTTCAATATCTCGTAGAAGCGACGCTTGTTGACTTGTAGACGGGCGGTCAGTGACTCTAGGTTGATCTTGGGATCGGTACTATTGGCAAACACATCCAACAGCATGTCACATATCTTCTTGAGTGACTTGTCACTACGTTTGTAAGGTGATTGATCCATCCTTCCAGCGCCAGTGTTTAAAGAAGCTGCAACAGACTTTGGTGATGTTGTTGTTGTGGTAGTTGTAGTTTGTTGGATTGGTATGGAAGGTGATGAGAATATCTGTGTTGGTGCATACATCATTGGTGATGGTGATGTCATTGATGTCATGGAAGTGGGCATGGTAGTTGTCGTGGAACCAACAAATAATGGAGGTGGAAGTGGACGTGACAAGAATGATCCACTACCAAACAGAGGTGAACTAACAAGATTGAGTGATGTTGATTCACTACTACTGTTGATAGATTGATTGGAAACTTGTATATTTGGTTGGCTTTGTTGACTTGATTGTTGTGGACTTGATTGTTGTAGTTGACTTGGCTGTTGTTGTTGACTGAATGAGTTAAAGTTGGAGTTGGAGAATGAGAAGGTTGGTTGTGTTGTGACATTGTTGTTGTTAAAGTTGTACTGATGATGTTGATGATTAAGTTGTTGAGTCTGTTGATGATGATACTCCATCATCTGTGGATGTAGGTAGGATGGTAGATTTGGAGTGGACATTGATAGGTTGCTTGGTTGATCATCGGTCATTACATTGTCTGATTCCAAGATTGAATCATCGTCGTCATCATCATCGTCATCATCATCAGACGAGAAGTCACCGGTAGTATATGCATCATCAGTTATAGCATCCTCAGACATTGTTTGATTCCATTGATGTTGTTGATATTGTTGTTGTTGTTGTTGGTACTGTTGTTGATACTGCTGTTGTTGTTGTTGTTGAGTAGTTATACCAAGTCCATAGACAGTGTCTGCGGCAGAGGAAGCAACATCCCATTGAGTCTGCTCGGGTACTGCAATTGTGAACTGTTCACATGGTTGAGTAGAAGAAGTAGTAGTAGTAGTAGTTGTTGATTGTACATTATTATCATCCTGTACAATATTGTTGCTCGTTGCAGTCCTCTGATTGGCAAGTACATCAGACAATGAACTTGAACTGGTTGATTGTAGAGCGGCTGATAGTGAGCTTGACGATGAGGAGTGACCTCCACTGAGGAATGCAGACAGTGAGCTGGAGCTCGTAGAGTGAGGCGCGGCCGAGAGTGAACCTGATGATTGGAACGCGGCAGAGAGTGAACCGGATGATTGGAAGGCTGCCGACAGAGAACCAGATGATTGGAATGCTGTCAATGATCCCAACGATGGTTGTGACGCTTGTGGTGCACCCATCAACGATTCAAAGATCTTATTAATCGAGCTCTGTCTCTGAAGGTAGTCAAACCTATTGACATAGTCCTCCAAGTTATTAAATGATGAGTTATTAGACATATCTATCTGTCTGTCTTGTAATGTTATAAGTACTTGTAATGTTATAAAGTTGTGAATGAATGTGATTGTGAAAGTGACAACAATGAATGAACAAGTTACTGGTGATGTGATGACTTCAAAGAAAGAATGAATGATGTTGGATGGGTTTGTTTGAATAAGGTTGCTTAGATCATCTAATGATCGAATGTTATTCAATGGGTGGGCGATGGAACAAACACAACTACATGGACATGAAAGTAAGTCGATGAGGGAATCGACAAAAAATTAACCACATCAGTGTCTCTTGCTTGAGGGGTACAGGGGCACGATCATGTGCAATGATCAATCGACCCCACATACACTCACACACGACTATCTACTCGTGACTTGAGGGACCTGTGGGTCACCAATCACTCAGCACCACCATAAAAGGAAATGTTCGTTCGTGTCTGTGATCTATTACAAGGGAGGGAAGGAGCAGCAACATTGCTGTCGTGGTCATTTAATCAATTAATTAATGAAGTAAAGTAAAGTTGTTATTGCTACTACTGTAATCTTGGTGAACCTGATGGTGTCGGCGTAGAGATTGAAGAGAATGGATTGAGTTGAGAGTCTGATGGCATGTTGACTACCACCCAGATTGCTGTGGCCTCTGCTCTAACTATACCATTCTGATCCTTCATTGTTGACTTTATGAATATCTTCTTGCCCTCTCGTCTCTCTATCCATGCCTCTATCAATGACACTGATAGCAATGGTACAAACTTCTTGTAGTTTACCGATAGATTAACTGTTACTGCATACTTTTTAAGTTGTACAGGTTGTTCTCCATCTATTAATATATCATTATTATTATTATTATTACTGTTACTGTTACTGCTGTTGTTGTTGTTACTGCTTATTCTACTATTCTTTGTATTACTTATAATAAAGTCATCATAATTATTGTTATAATAATATCTTATACAACATGCCATACAATCGTCAAAGACACTGGCCAATGCACCACCGTGGACACACTCGGGTGGTCCTTCACAGTAGCTACTCCAATATACAAAGCCAACTAGTGATCGATCACTAAACTTGTTGGGGAATGCCTGTTCGGAGGGACGTGGTGGCGGCGTGTCGCCCACGACCACCAGTGACGCGGGGTCCAATCCCAGACAGTCCTCGTCAGCCGTGTCCAGATCGCTGTCGGCCTGCCATCGCTCGCAGGGTGCGTCGCCAATGATCGAGCTGTAGCCCTTCCAGTAGAACTTGGAGCAGAACTTGCGGTCCATATATACAAAGTTCCTGCCTTTGAAGCCTGCCTTTTGACGGCCTTCCTCCTGGTCCATTCCATTCCTACTGATCAAATACAAGTCATTGCGTCGTACTATTGAGTGTACCCAATGTGGCCATTCTATATTATCCTCTTCTATAAATGATCTTATTAATGATTTATGACTATCATGATTATTATTATTATTATTATTACTACTACTGCTACTGCTACTACTACTATGATTATCTGGTGTTATCGTTAACTTTGGTACTAATGTATCTTGTTTTTGTTGTTCATTCAACCTTTGTTGATGATGTTGTTGAGCTGCTTGTTTGTTTGCGTGTAAATATGTATCGTCGTCTATAATCATTGAGGTGTCTGAACGATGATGGTGATGCCCCAGACGTAACTTTCCTTTGCCTGAACCTGCAACACCATGATCATCTACTTGTCCACTTCCCTCACCTCCATCAGCAATAGCTTGTTGTTGTTGTTGTTGTTGTTGGTGCTGATGTGCATTTCCAAAAGCAATAAAGATAGTCTTTAATGCCTTCCAGAATGAGTTTGTCATCCTCCTAAACTCTGTCTCTATCTCTATCCACTTTATATTATCAATTATTATTCTTCCTATTTCTTTATCTTTCTTTGTTTGATTTGCTTGACTATCTATCTCTATCTATTATCTCTATCTTTACGTTGTTACTCTCTTTGATAAATGAGTTAATAACCTTGTCTGTGTGTGTCGTTGTTATTGGTGTTGTTGTGCTTGTGAACAACAACAAATATAGTAGGGTGGTGTTTAGGGTCAATTTACTTGTTGTCGTTGTTGGAGGCAATATACAAGATTGACTTGTGGTTGTTGTTGTTGTTGTTGTTGCACGTGAATGTTATTGTGTGTGTGTTTGAATGAATGAAAGTGTGTTGATTGTAATATGTGTTTGATTGAAATACCTACAACATGTAAAATATCCTATCCTATATATTATCTGTAAGTAAACAAACAAGTAATAAGTGTTGATGTTGTTGAAGTTGTATTTACAAATAATACTATTGAAATTGACTGGTGGAGAATGTAAGTGAGTAACAAACAAAGTTACAATAGAGGGGGTACTTAAGTGTGTGAGTTCGGGATTTGACACTTCAAAGTTATGCTTTGCATCGTTCAAGGAGGAAATTCCCCATTATAAGATTAAACTAATTTAATTTGGTGTGTTTGTCGAGGCCTTGATGTGGTGGAGGGAGGTCCAAAAGGGGTCGCAAGAGACATCGATGACAACACATGCCCCATCCCAGGGTGAAAAAGAGATCGGGCAGTGTGTGGTCCAACCCATTGTTACAGGAGAGCTTGACCTCTCTACCATGGTGATTGTATCACGTGACACCTTCCCATTGGATGGTAAGATAGATCAATGAACGGTTATTGTTGTTACTACCATTGTCATTGATGTTGCTGACGTTTTGGTGGTGGTCATCACCATCATCTTTGTCGACAATTGTGGTTGTTGCCAACAATGTAGTCTTGTTAACATTGACTGCTAGCCTCGCCATTGATATCAACTCTAGTGAAGAGACTTGTTGTGTCGGTCTCTTGACAATAACGATCATCTCTGAATGATGATGAAGCGGATCGCCAATATATGCCAGAAAGGTGCCTCCAAACTTGGTGCCATTGGTGAGGTAGTAGCCCTTCTCCCAGAGGTCCTTGAACACTCTGTATCTCAGTTCGAGGTCGTGGTCTATAGACTTGTTGTTGGACTCTTGATCATACATCATCAAACGCTTGATATCACAGACCTCCTTGATCTCTGCAGCATGTTGTTGACGCCAGTTGGAGTGACATGCAAGGTAGGTCTCTCTGGTCGAGTCTTTGAGCAGGTCGGCAACAGATGTAAACAATGTAGTATGTACCATTGCTTCATAGTTTTGTTTGGCTACAACACCGTTCGGTGTTGCTGATCCTGAGTCTTGTCTTTGTTTCTTTTGTTTCCTCTCCTTTACATCAACACCATCATCAACATCACCTTGTTGTTGTTGTTGCTGTTGCTGCTCTCTATACTGTTGATCTCTCTGTCTTTTCTTTTCAATTAGTTCTTCAACTTGCTTGGCAGAGTCAAGTTGCTTTGATAGGACCAATTGATCGAGTTCAGCTTGCATCGGTGCAGACATTGTACCTTGGTCCAATAGCCTTATCCAACCCTTTTCCATTCCCAATCTTGTCTCTTCGTATGACAGCATCATAGGTAATGTACCACCCAATACATTGGACGATGCAACACATCCAATCAAACAGCCTATAATACGATGCTTGAATCTCAATGTCTCTACATCTAATGGTATATATGATTATATGTATAAGTTGAGACGAATGAATGATTGATTGATTGATATGTGGGTAGCCACATACCTTGTGCATTCCAAACAAAGCCTTGATGACCAATCAAGTAGATATCTATTCTGGTCGTTGATTGATTATGACTCAATGTTGCATTGTTCTCGTTGTTGTTGTTGTTGTTGTCAGAGTCATTGTCAGACATTGAATTCCTACACCTTTAACATGTAGAATCACAAGATTGATTGATTATTTCTTTGATTGCGAAGGTATTCAGAATGGATATGTTCTGCAATTCTGCAATAATTCGGTCTAGGACATCTATAAATTCCAACAACTCGAGTTGTTAATTCAAACAAGCAATCAATCAAACAATTAATTAACATATATTAATATATATATTTGTTGTATAAAGATATTATTTATTATCACTTTCTCTTTTAATCTTATAAATTATTTATAAAAAATGGTCGATGTTGTAAAGAAGTGTATGTATTTATTATTTCCAAGTTGTATATTACTGGAACCAACATATTGACACATCTATAATCTAAATATTATATAGATAATGCTGGTACCAATCGTGTAAACCTTGGTATTAATGCTAGAACAATTGAGGAAGATGAGGAGGGAATTAAGGTACCACAACTAAAGTCAACAGTTCCACAAGCAATCCAAAGAGCACGTTGCAATCTAAAGCTTACACAGAAGGAGCTCGCTGCAAAGATTTACGAGACTCAATCTGTTGTCAATCACTATGAGAATGGTACTGCCATCCCATCAGTCGCAATCCTAGCAAAGATGGAGAAGGTACTTGGTGTCAAGCTCAGAGGCAAGGACATTGGTCATCCACTTGCTATGTAAATGGAACAACAATATATAATATATACAAACATGTACATTCAAGTTAACTTCCATGTCGACTCTAGAGTACAAGAGCATACATACTTGTTGAACGAAGTTCCACAAGATTGTGCTCACAAGTACTTGTCGACATGGGTAGCATTAACCTTTGGATCAAAGGAATAAACAACCAAACAATATGTAGTAGTAGATAACTATTACAACAACAACAACAACAAATTGATTTTATACATATATTGTTTATTAATTAATTATACACAATAATAGTATTTTTTGAATTGAAGGGATTATGTACATTAGTTATAATATCTACCCTGTTGCGTAAGAGGTAGTTGAAGATCGTTCTTTGAGTAGTCTGATAATTACAAGTCTATGCATTACCAGATCCAACCTTATCTTGTAATTGTTGTTTCTTCCTGTAATGTAATTATAATGTTAGTCATCAATTTGGTTGAATATTAATGTGGATAGTACTGGGACTTACAATAACTCGTCATCATATTTGTTTCTCTCATAGGTTGGACGTTTGGCCTCGGGGAAGTATGGGTTGGAGATCATTGGGGCCTTGCCAGTGTTGTGTGTAGCTCCGTTGACTCCAAACTTTGCAGCATCCTCAAAGCTGGCACTCTTCTCCATTCTTGGCTTGGCTTTAACGGATTCAATATGTTTCTTCTTGTCTTCGAGACCCGATTGCTTTAGACCATCCATTCCCAACTTGTCTCCCCACCACACCTTCCAATCAGCATTCCATGCTCTCCAGTTATAATCTTGATGATCAGTAGACATCTTTTAGAAATATTAATTATTAAATATTTAATATATGTTAAGTTATTTGAATGATGAATGGATGGAAGTAAATATTAAACCAATGATGAGTTTGATTGATTGATTGATTGATTAATTGATTGATTGATTGATTGCTTATGTGATCACCAAAAGGGGTTAATTAAAATTTATATGTATATTTATAAGTGTATGAATGATATATAATGTGGATATATGAATAAGTATATGAATGTATGTTAAGACTCTTGGTATTTATAACAATGTGTGTGTGTGTGTTAGTGAGATAGATAACTCATAGAAGTATGGAAGCAAGTATTGTGGACTTTACCATACACATGCATGCTTCAGGAGGAGGGTCCGTCAGCCCCGAAGCAATATTATTCTTGCCATCTTTCCACTTGTAGACACCAACCTCCCAACATTCCAATGGAACCAATACTACACAAATTGAGTGTTGATTCAATTCGCATACACACATAAATTACATTCACACATTACACATCGCATCTGGATCCAAATGTGTGTTGATAGGGGGCACGTCAACAGAGGTATTCATTCATGAATGTATTAGCACTAACCCACTTCTAGAATTGTGTGTGAACATAATAGGCAGGTTGTCCTTTTTCGGGAAGTATCGTTGTTGGGTAATAGAGTGAGCGATTTTGATTTTGAATTGTGTTTGTGCTGGATTTTGGTTTAAGTCTTATGTACATGTGATGTTGGGCAGAGATAATGATCAAAGTAGTATGAGAAAGGATGTTTGATTAGGTTCAATCAAGGGTGCTTCACTCCTTGTCACTTTGAGATTGTGATTCTTTGTTAAGGTCCTATTCAACCTTCTAGTTCAACAACAAACTAAACTAGTACATTGGAACAAGATATCCATTCAAAGCATGTGTGTGATTGATTGACTGATTGACAAATTGTTGTATTATTTCTATTGTTGTTGTTGACAATAACTCAACTAAATAAGTTATTTCCGAATATTATATAAGTATGATTAATGACTAAAGAATGTCTTGGAGTTGTAAACAATTATCTCATCATTCTGAAGTCCATCCCAGAGCAATTCACTGAACCACTCTCTCTTGTTACACCAAGTCAAAGTGCAAAATAATTCGATCAAATCACTCCGTTTCCAAGGTGTGCAAAAGTGAATCTTTGATGGAAATATCAGGTTGGAGGACTAGTCCGTAGGTTGTGGGTATCTATTTAACGCCACTCAGAGTGAGTGCGATTACATCATCATTCATACCAACACATACATACATATAACATTGTATAACTATCTACTACTTATTATAAGTATTATTATTTTTAAAAAATGAACGGCGACAGATTGACATCAGGAGGTACTGTTCACTCCAACACTCCAAACAACTTCTTGAGAAGTGGTGAGTTCCATTTGGTATGTTGTCAATGTTTGATTGATTGATTGAATGTGATTGATTGACTTACAAACAACTTCATTCATAGGTCATCCAACAAGATGGTAACTTGGTAGTTTACAGAGGATCAAACTTTGCTTCAAGCAATGCCGTATGGTCCACTCAGACCCATGGCAAGGGTATGGCTCCATTCCGTCTGACCATGCAGGTATGTGTGTCTTCTCACCTCATTATACAGAGATCAGATCAGATCAGATCAATTGATCATCAAACATACTAACTCAAACAACTTTATACTACTACACAGCATGATGGTAACTTGGTTATCTATGACCAACATAACTCACCAACATGGGCATCACATACGAATGGCCGTGGACATGGACCTTACACTCTTTACTTGGCACCAAGCAGCGGAGTTCACGTCGTTGACTCTCGCTCATCATGCCTTTGGAGCACACCTGGCCACGAAAAGTCAACCCTCCATCTTCCACACGCTGGCTTCCCAAGCATGCCAAGCATGCCACCTATGCCATCCATGCCAGTTATGCCAGGTATGCCAGGTATGATGCCAGGCTACCCTTACCCAGGCCAACCACAAATGTACCCCGGTCAGGTGGCCCCAGTCTATCCAGGCCAGGTCTACCCACCAAGCCAGCCACAGGTTGTTGCCCCAACCTGCCCACCAGCCAGAGGACATGGCCATCATCACCACCACCACCATCACCATCACCACGGCCCAGCTCACCCACAGGGACGTTCCTTCTTCCAGGGCGACACCATGAAGAGCGAGGCCACCCTGCACTCGCACTCGATGAACGCCATGTACAATGGCAACTACTTCTTGGTCATGCAGGACGACGGCAACCTCGTCCTCTACCACGGACTGAGCTGGCTGCCCGCCCACGCCATTTGGTCGACACAGACCTACGGCAAGGGTCATGGACCATACAGATTCTCCATGCAGCACGATGGCAATGCCGTCGTCTATGACAGCCACAACCATCCAATCTGGGCATCGCACACATGCAACCGTGGACATGGTCCATACAAGCTGCAGTTGCATCACAATGGCAACCTCACCCTCAACGACCATCATCATCACCAACTCTGGAGCTCGCACTCTGGTCGTTAAAGGTGAATAATAAAGTGGATGTCCTGGCACTCAAAGTCACACCATCTATTGGGCTTTGATGTGTCCAGATGAGATGAAACAAACTAAACTAAATTATTAGATTTAATTAATTAAAAAAATATTTATATAAAGTCTGGAAGTTTGAAAGGATGAATGATCATTATAGAATAATAATATTATATATATATACATAATATTCATGGATATTATACCAAGTTTGGAATCATCAATTAATAATATTGATCCATGTGTTGCCAATAACTCCTTGAAGAGATTATTTGATTCTAGAGAATGGTCAAGACAATTATTTAGTTATTCATATGATTTGAAGGATAACCAAGATCAAATGGCAATTATAAAGTTAAGTAGTCAATTGAATTTTATAATTATTGGTTTATTTAGTTTACAAAAAGTATTTGATATTTATCTTGATAGACCTTTGGATCATATTACAAATCTTCAATCAATACTTAATTTAATTAAAGAGTATATTCAAGAACTAAAGAAAGAGAATGATAAATTGATTGCAGTGCTCAAGAAGTTCAAAGATGTATTGATTCGAAATCCAAACCAAGATATACCTCTTTGTTATAAAATGATTATCAATCTTTATTGTGTCTCGAGATCATTATACCGACATTATCAATCAATGTCCGAGGCATTGGTATCTAGGGATGTACCAATGTTCATAGAGAATATAAAGTCAAAGCAATCAATATTCATGGTATCATCAGATGAATCAATCAACAAACACAACAATATTGAAGACAATCTTTATACCAACTACTTTATCAATCCAACCAACCAGACATTTGAATCTCTTATCAACAAGTATGAATCAATGTCAAATCAAGCATCAAGTACAATAGAGTATTGTAATTCAAACAACTTGAATGATGTAATTGTTTATAAATAGTTCATTAAACATAGTTATTCATTGTTATCATAGTCTAAAGTAGGGCGAGGGCAAGGGTTGAGTGTTGTTTTGCAAAGACGAAAGGTTTGGCGCTCAAGATCATTGTACTTTCATAAACAAACAAACATACATACATACATATAATACATTTACATCATGTGCAAACATATACTTGTATGTATAATATAGCATTGTATTGCTTATTATTACTATGTTCTAATCAATCAATCAATCAATGTTATATGTACAAAATGTGTGTAGAATGCTCAAGTCTCTATTAGAGCGATATGTTGTAAGAGATGGTTTGATTGCCCAGAGTGTCATAAGGAACAAACAGATCATCCACTAAAGAGAACAGAAGAGATTACATTGGCGTGCAAGAAGTGCAAGAAGGTGTTTAGAAAGAATACAGCTGAGGAGATGGATGAGGCAGATGAGTTCTGTCCACATTGTGGTATGTGAATGAATGAGACATAGACAGACAGACAGACAGAGATACAGAGTGCTAACATGTTACCATTCATTCAATCATTCACAGATAATCAATATGTATTGGATGCAAGGACACCAGAGAAGAAGCTATATGTCGAATTTGAAGGTGATAGCGAGTTGTTGGACAAGCGTTCAAAGCTGAGGAAGCAAGTACTTGGTCTAGACGATGACATGAGAGAGTGTTAAATCAATCCCTTCACAGTAATAACTAAACCAACTTGTATAAACAACATCCACGCTATCATTTACATCGATTGATTGATTGATTGGCCGAACAAAGACAAGACAGCAACAAAGTCAGCAAATCAAGTTACGGATATCAATCAAATTACCGATGACGTGCCGTACATGTGTGTGTCTGTGAGTGTATGTGTGTTGTAGTAACTGTTCCCAATTTGGACCTTCCAATGGATCGTTAACACAAGACGACAAATGATCATGTGTTAGAGTGTGTGTTTGAGAGACTTTCAAAGGTCGTCAGAGGGTCTGCAAAGTTAGGTTTTGAACACCACACTTCCGAACGGAGGAATAAGATTCGATTCAGAATACCCTGCCAAAGTGAGATACTTCCAACACGTCAACCTGACCTACATCTTCCTTCATTCTATTGTTTACTTTTACTCAACTGTAAACATAAATATAAATATACATCGTCTCCATCTATAAATAACAACTCTTTGTTCAACATCATTTACTTTTAGTATTAAGTAGATATAAAGATAAAGATAAAGATAAACAACAAATAATAATAATGTCTAGATTTGGATTCATGTCTAGATTCCAATCGAGACGACCTGACACTGATGTGGAGATGGGTCAGAGTTTGATTGAGATAAGGAGTAGTACGGATGATGTAAAGGCTCACAAGTATAAGGTGCCTCTGGCAAAGTTAAGTGTCAGTCTTAAAGAGCCAACAAAGGAGGAGCTCAATCTTAAGCGTCCAACATTGCCAATGGCCTACAAGATGATGCAAGCACTGATACCATACTATTGGACCAAGAACTCTTTCGGTCTAAAACTACGAGTCGTCATCTCTGTCTCCATTATATTCTTATCCAAAGGTATTAACCTTTATGTTCCACAATTATTTAAAGTATGTAATATGATACGCTCGCCGCGCGAGTACTGTTTGTGTTGCCAACCCAATATGTGTCGCTAACTCCACACTTCGCCACACTAGCAAATGATAAATACATTACCAAACTCAGTACCAATAAGCTTGATACTGTTATATGCCTTGTTGACATTGACTCAAAAGAGTATATGGGATCTTAGAGATTTGATATTCCAAGAGGTCAGTAATGGTGCCACGCGTAACGTCTCGCTCGAGACATTCGACCATCTACATCGCATGTCACTCTCGTTCCACTTGAGCAAGCGCACTGGTGGTCTGATAAAGATTGTCGAACGTGGCACCAACAGCATCGTCAGTCTGCTGTCATTGATGCTGTTCAACATCTTCCCAACACTGCTGGAACTATTCACCGTGACAACCTTCCTGTTGTTCTCATATGGCTTCTACTTTTCTGTGATCAACCTGTGCAGCTGCGCCCTGTACATTGCCTTTACGCTCAGTGTCACAGAGTGGCGCAATCAATATCGTCGACTGACCAACAAGAAGGAGCACGAAGCGTCCGACATTGTCGTGGACTCGCTGACCAACTTTGAGACGATCAAGTACTTCACGTCCGAGTCCTACGAACGCTCGCGCTATCGCGAGGCACTGCTTCAGTTCCACGCAATCAGCCAGCAGGCCAAGACATCAATGGTGGCACTCAACTCTGGCCAGGCTGCGATCATCATCTTGGGCTCAACGATGGGCCTCATCTATGCGACTTACATGTGCTCGCTGGGCGCTCTCTCGATTGGAGACATCATTGCCATCAACACTTACATCTATCAGATGTTCCAGCCACTGGCGTGGCTCGGCAGCAGCTATCGTATGATCATTCAAGCCTTCACCGATATGGAGAACCTCATGGATCTCCTCAACACGCATCCAGATGTTGCCGACGCTCAAAACGCTGTGCCCCTGCTCTACACGTCGGCCAGTCACGAGCTACCATCGATCGAGTTCAACAATGTCTCCTTCTCCTACAAGGCTCAGAAGAAGTTGTTGGACAACATCTCGTTCAGAGTGCCCGCTGGCAAGTCTGTGGCCATTGTCGGTCCAACAGGTGGTGGTAAGAGCACCATCTTTAGACTGCTGTGCCGTTTCTATGACGTTGAGGAGGGAGAGATTGTCGTCGGCCAACAGGACATTCGTTCAGTGACCCAGGTATCATTGCGCAGTGCGATTGGCGTCGTGCCCCAGGACACTGTACTCTTCAACGACACAATCGCCTTTAACATTGGCTTTGGTAATCGTGACTGCTCCAACGAGGAGTTGATCGATGCTGCGCGTCGCGCTCAGATCCTCGAGTTTATCGAGAAGTCACCCGAGGGCTTCATGACCGTGGTGGGCGAGCGTGGTCTTCGTCTGTCCGGCGGTGAGAAACAACGTGTGGCAATCGCCAGGACCATCCTAAAGAATCCACCCATCCTGATCCTGGACGAGGCCACCTCTGCACTGGACTCTATCACCGAGAAGAAGATCCAGCAGTCGCTCACAGACATCTCCAAGGGCAGGACCACACTGATCATCGCTCATCGTCTCTCTACAATCATTCACTGTGATGAAATCCTTGTACTAAAGGAGGGTAGGATCGTTGAGAGTGGCAACCACCATCAACTGCTTTCCAAAGGTGGAGAATATGCCAGTCTTTGGAATCAACAATTGGAGCATCCAGATAACGTTCAATCTTCATCACCTTAAAGTCGACCACTTATATATATCTCAACCATGTATTATCACAACAGCATGTTCGAACATCATCAGTCATAATTAAACCTTTTGATTGATTGACATTGGAATGATCCAAGTCTTTGATTCGTGCGAGGTGTGGGGTTTGAGTTCTTTCGTTCGTTTCTTCGCAATCTGATTTTGATTTGTTTTCATTCTTTCATTCATTTATTCATTCCATCAAATATATATAAACAGATAGAGAGAAAGAGTCACATGAGTACCAACAAGAGTGCAACATTAAGCTCTATCGAGAGTAGGCTAAGAGCAAACTCCAATTGTATGTTATTATCACTCATTCAATCATTGACGTTGAATGAATGATTGATCGTTCTAACATGTACTTTGATGTTATTAAAGGGATGAGCTCAGTGGTCAATATGATGAAAGACCCAGCATCATCATCAGAGAAGGTTCCATTCGCCAGTCGACTTATAAGTGGTGATATGGCCAACGGAGGGGATCATGATGATGATCATAACATGAATGGAGGAGGACAGGAGATTGATCAACATAATACATCACATAGTACATCATCAAAGCCATCCAAGACATCAAAGTCATCATCAACAACAACAACAACACCAAACAAGACAAAGACACCATCAACAACATCGACAACAACAACCTCTACAACATCAACTACATCAACTACATCTACGACAACAACGAATAATGGTAGTACAATAGTACCAATATCTGAAAAGATGAAGCTAAAGGCAATGCTACAGAAACAACTCTCTGATATGAAGTTGAAGAGACAACCAAAGGAACAAGCAGTGACACAACCAATCAAGAAGTATAAAGATGCTGATGGAAATAAGAGAGATATAGTAGTCAATGATGATGGAGGTGGTAGCAAGAATAGTAATAATAATAATAGTAACAATAATAATAATAAGAGGAAGTTGTCATCAACTGATGATGAAGAGGAGGACGATGAGGACGATGATGACGAAGATGACGAAGACGATGATGATGACGAAGATGATGAAGACGAAGATGACGAAGACGAGGATGATGATGACCAAGATCGCAAGCACCGAAGCAAGATTAATGTATGATATGATTCGTAGTCGGGAGGTCGCGCGCCACATGTTGCCGCAGCCACGCACACACACACACAGACAACGACTAACAACCTCGCGCCACAAAACAACGCAGGGAGACGATCTACAATTTAGTACCTTTGACTTTAGCAGTAACAAACCAGTGCCAAGCTATTTGGCCAGGAAGATAGAGTCGAGCAAGTTGTCAAAGGAGGAGTTGCTGAGGAGAGCAGAGCTGAGGGAGCGTATTATAAAGCGTGCGGAAAAGACTGGCGAAGGCATAGAGATTGCCGAGACACTCAAGTGGTCATCGGCAATGGACAAGGCCAAGGGCATAAAGGTCAAGGACAACGTGCTGCTGCTCAAAAAGTCAATGAAGCGCGAGTTGCAAAAGAAGACAAAGAGTGCGCGCGAGTGGAACGAGCGCAAGCGTGACCTCGACCATAAGAAGAAGGCCAAGATCAAGAAGAGAGAGGACAACATCAAGAAGAAGATCGATCGCAAGAAGGACAGGAAGCAGGGTGGCAATGGCAGTGGCAGTGGCAGTGGCAGTGGCGGTGGATCCAAGAAACCAGCACAAAAGAGAGCAGGATTCGAAGGCAAGAAGAAGTCATTCTTGAACAAGAAATAATAACAACTCAGAGAGACCTCCTATCACTCCAATATTGGATCAATGATCATCGTCATACCATGGATTGAAAGACAGGACATGTTGGGAATAATGATGATGATGTGATGGATGGCATTGGCAACATCCTTGGATAGAGATGTGTGAGATAAGATTTAGGTTTGTGTTTGGATCGATCACAAATTTATATGAGTCTGATCAATATTTGATATATATCCATATAAGGAAATATGACCATCATTAACCGCTTCACCAATTGGTGTCCACACATCCATCAAATTAATTAATCAATCACTACTACTATCTTAAACATCAGATGGTTGATTGTATCTGATCATCAAACACACCCCCTACTAAGTGGAGAGAGGGTAGGTTTTAGGGAATGGTTAAGTCGAGTGGAGTGATAAAGACATACCGGCAATTAATGTAATGGCCAACTACCGTCACTCACAAAATGTTGACTAAATCATTCAATCAATCAATCAATCACAATTAACCACCAATCATCCTTTCATTCATTCATTCCCCCACAATCACCAGTCAGTCAATCAATCACAATCATTATCACATCTATTCAAACTCTAAAGGTGTTGAGTGGACACCCCCCTTTATGATGATCAAGTTGATAGCATGACCGACATTGTTATTCACGCATGTGAAGTTGAAGTGTTAGATGGATGGATGGGTTAGTTTTGTAGACAGACCAACAACACAAACACACTCTCACTCACACCTCAAACTGTGTCTCTTCAAACATAGAGATGTAACTAATGACTAATCTTACCATATATGATGTTGTTGTTGTTGAATGGATGGATTGGATGTTATGGTTGAGTCTAAGATGTGGTTGATGGTGTTGGTGGTGTCCCAAGCAACAACACACTTACTTACTTACTTCAGAAACAACAATGACATGCCGCATAATGTCCCCTGCAGTCAGTCATTCACTCAGTTAGCCGGTCACTCAACAACAACAACAACAACAACATAAGTAGTAGTAGTAATAGTAATAAGGAGCAAGCAGCACAGTGGATGTATCCTGGACAACATAACATCAACCAACTGACTGACTGACTGATTGATTGATTGACTGTACGTGCTTTAAATCAACCGTCACCTACCAATCAATCTTACTAAAGCAATCCTAATACTTGCTGTTGCCAACAAACAAGACGTCAAAGTATCACTACTACTAGTGGTGCGTGAGCATATCCATCCCCTGCAGACGGCTGCACTCTACTCTCATTCATTCAATCAATCATCCAATCAATCAATCCATCTACAGTTGTTTGACCTGACCCAAGGCTGTGCTACCTGCATGTTGGCAATCTTAAACAACCCAACAATCAATCCAATTCAATCAACCAATCAACTTGATCATTCAGTCTATCAATCAATCTATCACTCAATTATAACAAACAGTCAATTAATCAATCAATCAGCCAATCAATCAATCAACTTGATTTTGGTAAGTTGACAATATGGCACACACGCTCATCACAGGCAATACATTCCAGGACATCCTATTACGTCACTGTGAAACTAATTAAGCTCACTCGTGGAGCCAACTCACTCCGGAGTGAGACGAACTCAAATGGCCAGACTACTTACTAACTCTCTCCCTCCTGTCTACCAATCAAATAACATCATCCTTAAGTGTCCCAAACAATCCCAGACACCTAGACGATTTGACATCACGTTCACTCAAACTCTTTTGGATGTCTATACTTGAGATTGATTGATTAATTTCTTGATAAAACAAGTTACCCTAGTATGTTTGTTGTTCAACTTATTGGCCTTATGCTGGCCATGTTCCTATCCGCATGTCTTGGAAGCAGTACAAACAACAACAACAACAACATACCAATATCATCAGCAACATCACCTACAACAACTGGAAGTGAACGTCTATTGGCCAAGGAGTTATCTGCAACATCCGTGGTCTCTTCAATAATTCTACTTGCCATACTCAAGTACTACATAGACATTCTCCGACACTTCAAATCACCATCTTCATTGGCCTCCCCATCTTCATCATCCTCATCCTCAACTTCAACATCAACAAACATGTCCACAACCAAATCATCAAACATGGACCAATCGAATGAACCATGTGGCGCACACTCTGGTGGAAACACCAACACTGCCAGTCCTGTACCCGAGGTCCATGATAATGGACAACAGATTGATACCATCATTCCAACAAATTACAAACAATGTAAGTACATGATTCAATGATCCGGGACCGCCTGGTAGGCCTCATTCTAACAACATACCAATCATTAGCACACATTGTACAACAACGCTTTGGCAACTCAATGATCACTGGTAATGGTATCAATGGTACTGTTGGAACTGTTGGTGATGATATTACCTTCAATGTTGTCTCTTATGATCATGTTGGTAATAGACGAACAGTTGGTGGTGATAATGTCCAAGTTCGTATCCAGGCCAGAGACATCAACTCCTTGGATGATCATGGTGGTGCACTGCCCATCGCCAGAGTAGAAGATTGCTCCAATGGTATCTACCATGTCACTTACAATGTGTCAAGGTCCGGCAACTATTCAATCAACGTCGAAGTCAATCATGTCCCAATACGTGGATCTCCATTCAGTGTCTACCTTGTACCGGTTCAATATCAAGTACAACAGGAGCACACAATCACAACGACAATAATGGCTGGTCAGGAGTTCTCATTCAACGCCACCCCATTGAGACAACCATTGCATCCAATCATAAATGATACTTTGGAGATTGATACATACATCACAGAGAATGGTACCACCAAGAAGATCAACAACAATGACTTTACCGCGGTACCCTTGGCCTCCACTGGATACACATGTCGTGGAAAGTTGATTAGATGTGGCGACTATACAATTGAGGGCACGATCAATGGTATTGTCGTCCTGTCCAAGCGCATCACTGTCCAACCTGCACTCATGTCTGCCAAGTACTCATTGCTGCAATGGGATGGAAAGGAACTAATCACAGAGAACAAGTTATTCTTCTTGGACGACAGTTGTTCACCCGCCTCCGAGATGAAGCTGCTCGTGTTGGTCAAGGATCAATTTGGCAACAAGTCAAGAGGTTGTATCAATGATCTCTCTGTTGAGGCACATCGATCACTATCACCCTACACCAACAACCACTACAATGGTGGAGATGAATCATTAGATAACACACAAGAACAATTGAAACCATTGTTGGAGGTACATTCTAGAGGCATTGCAGTGAGACTTCCAGCTCACTCCAATGGTCGATACAACATCTCGATCAAACATCAAGGTGAACATATTGTCAACAGTCCATTCTCATTGATTGCTGTCAAACAAAGCGAGTACAATCAAGTCTCTGCCAAGCATCAACAAGGACAGGCATCATTCCAATGCAAGGTAGAGAAGAACAACAAACTCACAAATGTATATTTAAATATTACCACAACTGTAAGTTACATGGATGTTACTAGCCAATACTGGAAGGAACCAGTATACTGACTCGATATATCATGAGCAGAAGATAGAAATATGCCAAAGTTATTACTTTGTCAATGTAGCATTATATGAATTTAATATCAATCCAACTGTTCAAGTATGTGTAATCAATCAATCCAAAGACACATGAATGAGTGTACTAATCAAACATATACTTTACCTCATTAGGTCATTCTAACAAGTGAATCAGAGATACTGATCAAGGATACAAAGAACAAAGTTCACCTGAAGGACTGCAATGCCTTCCTCATACTATTAACAACAACTCATTTCTTTGGTGAACAATCTGGTAAGACTATCCTGGTCAACTGGCAATGTATCAACAATCACTAACTCAATCAATATACATATAAATTTAGAACCAACATTTGATTCCAAAGTTAAATGGCTCAAGACTAGATTGAACAAATTACATCCGACAAGCAAGGCGACACCACTTAAACTCCACATATCGTCAAGAGATAACATACTTGAAGAGTCAATTGAATTCTTTCAATCAGTCGATCCAAAGTCATTGGTGCTGTCACGATTGGTTATCAAGTTCTTGAACGAGGACGGCGTGGACATTGGTGGCATATCAAAAGAATGGTTTGCCAAGATCTCTGAGGAGATTGGCAGCAAGACTCTGTCGGGCTATCCATTGTTTGAAGGTTACGACTCTAATCGCCAGTTCCATCCATCACCATTCTCCAACATGATTCCAAACTATCGAGCTGCCTTTAGGACCATTGGTAGTCTTGTGGCCAAATCAATATATGAGAGCATCATCAAGGCGGACAGACATCTCTCCATCCGGTTCACACCATGTTTCTACAAGCTACTCCTCAATGAACCACTGTCACCTTCAGACATGGAGCTGGTCGACCCCGAGCTCTACAGGAATCACATTCAATATATCCAACGTACACCAATCGAACAAGTCAACCAAGCCATTGGAGAACCACTCTACTTTACAAGGACCATCACACATCTCGATCAAACCACTCGTGTGGTCAGCGAGCGATCCATCAATCTCAAGCCATTTGGTAATCTAATACCAGTCACTGATGATACCAAGCAAGAGTATCTAGATCTATTAGGTATGTAGTTTAAACTATTTTGGAAGGGTTGTAAACAAGTACTAGTACTTACAATTCATACACTCAATAGTTACAAACATATTCTCAACATCAATCAGAGCACAGATTGATGAGTTTAGAGATGGATTCTCTCAAGTCATACCATTGGACCTAATATCAATCTTTAATTGGAAAGAGTTAGACCTATTAGTATGTGGCAAGGATCATGTGGACATTGACGATTTAAGGTTACACTCAAATGTAATTGGTGTCATTGTAAGTGTACCTCCCATTCAATCAATCACTCACTTTATCCTACTAACATAAACAATATTTATAGTGTCCAGAGATAATAGACAACTTTTGGAATATCCTTAGATCGATGGATATTGTAGAGAGGAAGAAACTCTTGAGGTTTGTCACTGGATCATCATCAGTACCATTTGGTGGCTTCAATCAATTGTTTCCACACTTTACCGTCAATATTACACAGCATGGCTATTCAAATCGCCTACCTGTTTCACACACCTGTTTCAATAGGATAGACATCCCAAAAGGATGTATCTCTTTCGATTCGCTTCAACAGAACATTCTCTTGGCAATAAATGAAGCAAGTGAAGGTTTTTCACTTGTTTAATTTGTTATTATTATTAATACTAAATATTATGAAATTAACCTTTATTAATCTAAAAATAATACTATTAAATAGTTTAGATTCTTTACTTTATATATATAACCATTATATTCAATAATATTGGAATTATCACTTGTAAACGGTACCTACAAGTTGAGCAAAAGTACATAAAAAAAAACTTCGACTGAGATAAATAAAATTTACGCCCAAAGGGGGGCTCGAACCCCCGACCACACGGTTAAGAGCCGTGCGCTCTACCGACTGAGCTATCCGGGCAACTGTGAAGTGAATACATTTTACATCGGTTAAGAGCCGTGCGCTCTACCGACTGAGCTATCCGGGCAACTGTGATCAAAAATACTTTTTCAACAGTTTTATGGGTAAATTTTGGCGGTTTTGGAAAATTGTTCCATCGTTCGAAGTGCAGAGGCTCTGGCGTAAATAAGACATCGGATACATTTATAATATCTAAACATTTCCCTTTATTATTTATCCCCTCTCTAAATATCCTAAACTAACCAAAACAATATACAAACAAATCCTATGTACATTTCTATCTCAATCAAATATGGTCATATAGATTTTAGTATCTGGCCAGTCTATTCCATATTCTCTGTTGAGTATCAAGTAATTGCCAAAGGATACTATGGTGAGTATCAAGGTAATTGTCATAGATATTTATGGTTTGAACTATAGTTGGATAACAATATAATGATCAGTCTACTAGTCAAGTTGATGTTTATTTTTCCATTTGATTGATTTGTTTGGTGAGACGATTGGTTTACTCGTCGTCAAGATACTTTTGTATCCTCAATTAACTGGGTGGTAACGCTACACACAATGGACTGTGAATGCTCCAATGTGCGATCTGACAATCCTTGCTGCAATAGGGGCTGACCAGACATCTGGCACAGTAGTTGGTACCCTCGCCTCCACAGTTGGCACAAATGTTTGATCTAATATTGATTCGTTCCTCATTTGACATTTCCGGTGTGATCACTGGAGTTGCTGCAGTTGATGTAGTTGATGTAGTTGATGTTGTGGTTGAGGTTGAGGTGGGAGCAGCAGCGGGAGTCGCAGCGGCGGCTGGGGCAGCAGCAGCCACTGGAGCAGGTTCAGCAGTCTTTCCCTTCAACGCTGCGAGTACGACGTTGGAATGCTCAGTCTTGAGTCCCTCGAGGATCTTAACCAGTGATGTTCTCTTGTTGAGCTCGTCCACTGTCTTTTTCGGGCTGGCCTTGCAGAGGCCGGCCAGCGATTGAACCGCCATTCTCTGTAGGTCTTTGTAAGGTGGCTTTACTCTGCCTGCCAAGTCAACCAATCGAATCACCAAGTTGGCAAAGTACTTTGACGCAATAATGTAATTGCACAGTGGTTGTGAAGCCCAAGTCATCATAGCCATCAGCTTCATTGGACCCTGAACAAACATAGCAATGTACCATTTGGAGTCCTGTGGAGTACCTCTGATTGAGTTGGTGGTATTAGTGAACATTCATTCATTCATTCGTTCGTTTGTTGTTCTACTTACGGCTTGTGTCCTGCATCATAACCTGATTTCGCGTTGATAAAAGGTGGCTTGAAGGTCCACTTGCAAAGAGATTCAATAGAGACTGGATTGTCCTGTGTGTCATCGAGGAGGAGGAGTAGAGTTCAATGCTATTAATAATGCTTTGAAAGCTGTCATTGAATACTACTACTCACAAGCATCTGTTTTGCCACAGACTTTAGGTACTTTGCTTCGGCGGCAATGTCGCCTAGACCACAGAAGGCAGCGAACCACTCCATGTCTCTGGTGGAGAAGTTGTTCATTATTGCCTCGTAGTGAGATCTCGTGTAGAGTGCAGGCTCACCCATGATAACTCTGTCATCATCGTCCGAGTCGTTGCTAGGCACCAACATCTGAATGTACATTGGTATTTTCTTCTCGGGTGCTGTGCCGATTGGAATACAACCAATAGCATTGTAGTTTTGTGTAAAGTAGTTCATTATTATCTGTGTCAATATGTATCTCTGTATCTCTATCTGAAGTTGTTGTTTTTTTCGTTTAGATGTATGTGTGTGAATCATCGCAAACCCTAGGTATGATGAATCATTCTTCATTGGCGCATCGCTGCAGCCAGAGGACTACTAACATGAAGTAATGCATATAAATGCTGTTTCAGTCAGAGAATAACTCCACCACCTAGCAGAACAGTCTGTAGCGAGGCGACATTAGACGGTTACACACAAGAGAGGTTTATCTGACCAAAGCGAAAGCTGTTGTGGTCAAGCCTTCGCTGTGAAATCAGCTGATTTGGCTACGATTATAGGCCCCGTTAAGGTTACTTCAACGTCAAGTCCCTTTAAAAAAAATAGAATCAAAAGGCAAAAAGTGCTCGGACCAGGAATCGAACCTGGGCTAGAAGAGCCACAATCTTATGTACTACCACTATACGATCCGAGCGTTTGATGACGGCAAAAGTCCGACCAATGGTTTTAACCTAAAAAATCGCAACTTTAATTCCACAATCTTTTCTACTATCACTATTCGATCCGAGCACTTGATGAGGGCAAAAGTTCGGCCTATGGTTTAACCTAAATATTGAAGTTTGGTTTTAATAAACAATAGGTTGAGTTGTAATGATAAACATAGTGCTTAGTTTATTCCTTCTGCCAGTCACCACCCCTGTGATGAACGGAACCAGTTTGTCATAACCAAAGTGCACCACCTACAATGATCATCATGTTAGTTGAAGACAACCCGAATGACAACCAAGTAATATTTGTAATGATGGGAACATTTTGTTTATTAAAATATTGGCTGTGCACACAAGAGCTTAGAGCTTGTCGATGAAACGATCCAAGGGTGGGATCTCATCAGAGAGACCCTTTCTCTTTCTGACACCGAGGGCGACCTCAGTAGCCTTCTTGTCTGAACCGACGACACCGATGGAGTTCCAGTGATCGAAGACACATTGTGGGAAGGCCTGACCGGCAGTGTGGGAACGCAGATCGGCAGTGAAACCGAAGGACTCCAAGACGGGCATGTGAGCCTTGACGGAGAAGAGTGGAGTACCGACACGACGCTCCTCAGAGATGACGTGACCACGACGTCTGTTGAGCACACCGTAGATACCTCCGACGGCAGACTCTGGGGCAGTGATCTCGACCAAGTACATTGGCTCCAAAAGGATTGGATCGGCAGTGAGCTCGGCAGCGTACATGACACGACGGGCAGTTGGGACGATCTGACCACCACCTCTGTGGATGTTATCAGTGTGCAGGGTAACGTCGTGAATGTTGAAACGGATACCTCTCATGTTCTCGTCACAGATGACACCCTCCTTGGTGGCCCACTGGAAGGCAGCGACGAAAGAGTCCTTAATTTCGTTCATGTACTGGACTCCCTTGGTGACGTTGACCAACAAGTTGGCACCGGTACCCTCTGGACCGAAAGACCAGATGGACTTGGCGTCGTTCTGGTCCCAACCGTAGTTCTCGCCCAAGTGGACAGCACGGAGCTTGATATCGTCCTTGGCAGAGACGGAACCAGCCTCGATCTCCTCCTGGAGCTCCATTGGGATTGGCTCGGCCTTGAGGTAGAGACGGTTGTGCTTGTTTGGTGACTTGGACAGACACATCTGGTTGGAGTGAGCAGAGACTGACTCACGGAAGGACACGACTGGGTCGGTGGTCTTGATCTCGATACCGGCATGGTCCTCAGCAAGATCCTTGAGACAAATCTCAAGATGGAGCTCACCAGCTCCGGCGACGATGTGCTCACCAGACTCCTCAGTGTAACAGAGCACACATGGGTCAGACTTGGCAAGACGCTTGAGACCCTCGACCAACTTGGGGAGATCGGATGGGTTCTTGGCCTCGACGGCAACACGCACGACTGGGGACACAGAGAACTTCATGACACGGATGTTGTGGGCAGACTCTGAGGTGGTGATGGTACCAGACTTGACGAGGTACTGGTCGACTCCGACCAGACCAATGATGTTACCACATGGGCAGTCCTCGATTTGCTCGGTCTTACGGCCCATCATCAGAACGGTACGCTGGATGGACTTGAGGAAGAGATCCTCCTTCTTGCCTGGAACGTAGTTTGGTCCCATGATTCTGACCTTCTGGCCGGTACGGATGACACCGGAGAAGACACGACCAAAAGCGTAGAAACGACCCTTATCAGAGGTGGGCACCATCTTTGAGACGTACATCATGAGTGGTCCGTTTGGATCACAGGCAGCGATGGCGGTGGCACACTCGTCGTCCATTGGACCCTCGTACAAGTTGGTGACACGGTACTTCTGGGCAATGAGTGGGGAGGGCAAATGGAGGACAATCATCTCCAAAATGGCGTCGGCGGCTGGAAGGAACTTTCTCATGATAGCCTTGACCAAAGCCTTACCCTTGAGCTCCATATCCTCGGTGGTGAGGGCAATGCTGAGGGTCTTGACCATCTTGTTGATCTTCTCTTGGTCGTCGTCGACGACGGCACGGGACAGCTGGTAGATTGGCTCGAGGACAAACTGACAGAAGGCACGGGACAATGGCTTGCCAGTGGCAGAGACGGCGTTGCTGGTCCACTTCTTGGACTCGGCATCGAAGTAGTTGTCACCCCAGAGACGGGTGATGAGCTTCTCCTTTGGCACTCCAAACTTGGCGGCGTAGAGGGTGGCGAACTTGCCGAGGGTGAAACCCCAACCGTGGAGACCGGAACCAAAGGCAACGGTTCCCATCTCTGGCTTGACGGTGACGTCACCAAAGTCCTTGTCGTCGATGTTTCCGACAATAACGTTGACGGACTCGATGGCACGACGGAAGGAGATGTAGGCCTCCTCAGTGTTGAGCTGGAGCTCCAAGAGGAAACGGTCGACCTTGTTCACAAAGAGGACTGGCTTGATACGCTCGGCAGTGGACTGACGGAGCACGGTCTCGGTTTGCACACAGACACCCTCGACACAGTCAACGACAACAAGAGCACCATCAGTGACACGGAGGGCAGCAGTGACCTCTGAGGAGAAATCAACGTGACCTGGGGAATCGATGAGGTTGATCAAGAACTCTGGGTCGGTGGAACCAGCTGGCAAGTTACCCTCTGGCATTCTGAAATGGAGGGACACGGACGAGGACTTGATGGTGATACCACGCTCCTGCTCATCAGCACGGGTAGACATGTATCTCATGTCACCAGAAACCTTGTCGGCAATAATACCGGCTCTTTGGATCAGAGAGTCGGAAAGGGTGGTCTTGCCGTGATCGACGCTGTTTTAAATAAAAAAAAAGAAAGAGATAAAGAGATCAAGAGAGTGAGAGAAGATGTTATTAGATACTGTTTGAAGGGTATGTATGTATGTGTAGAGTGATGATGATCAGGATACTTACTGAGCAATGACAGACATGTTTCTGATGTTCTCACGACGGTCCATGATGGACCTGATTTGGTCAATTGTGAAGTTTACCATGGTTTGCTTCTTGTTTTGTTATTGTTATAGGACTGTTATGTAGATAGAAGGTAGGGTAGAGGAGAGAGGGGGTATAAATATTAGGATTATGTCTTTATCGTTATTATTGTTGATGACGATGATTGATTGGATTGATTGGATTGATTGATTGATTGTGTGTATGTACAAAGGGGGTAGAGGTAACAACAATAAACGAACGAATGAATGAACAATAAGAATGTTTTGATTTGATTTGATTTATGTTATGATATGGGAGAGTAAATATATTATGACTCTTACCAAACTGTATCACAAGGAGAAGAGAGAGAAGAGATAGAGTGAATGCTGGATGTGCAAGTGAAGTTGACAACACACGATCGCACGAGCCTTTGAACACACTCCTCTCACTCATGAGGAAGAACGTTCGTGCACGAGAGTGAATGAATGAATGAGATGGTCAAAATATATAAAAAAAAATTAAAATGAAGTAAATACAACAACACACCGAAAACAAACACATCTTGCTTGCTGCTTGTGAAGTTGAATACACCTTTGTTGTTGCCGACAGAGTGGGATAAACGGGGATGTGTGTATGGGTGTGTGAGGTGCGTCGCAGTGTTTGATGATGGACAAGATGCAAGACAACTTTGATGTTGAGAAGACATTACTTCTCAAAATGATTGATGTTGTTGTGAATAATACAAGAAGTTGACTGACGTTGTTAATGTTGTTAATGTTGTTGAAGTTGTAGTGGACTGTTGACTTGGTCCAACTCATCGAGTCGATTTGAGTCCAAGTCATTGTCGTAAGTAATGAAACATGTTGTTATAAATAATAATAATAGTAAAAGTTGATTAACTTGTGATGATGATTGGTTGTTGTTGAAGAACGAACGAATAGAAGAAGTAGTGATGATGATGATGATGAAGTTGCTGTGATGAAGATAGTAAAGTTGGAAGGACAACCTACCTGTTTAGAGAGAGTGGTACTAAAACAACAAAGCTTGACTCATTCATTCGCATCGACTCTTTGTGTCTGACGCAAGAGTCCACAGTCGAGCGAGAGAACAGATCACAAACGATTAAAATTAATTAAAAAAATGTGAATGAAGAATAAAATTGACAAAAAATGTGTGTTAAATCAATAACGTTACACCAGGTAGAGATGTGATTGACCAAAAGCGGAGTTCATTGCCTTCACACACAAGTTCACTACACTTTCATACATCGCTCACGACTTAATCATTGAATCATCATTCATCAGTAGTATTAGTATTAGTTACAAGTACATACAAATACAAATTATTTATATATTTTTATATAGGGTTGATGCAAAAGGCAGTATATTTATGTTGATACCTGTGTATGATGGCGATGAGGGTCGCAGCAGCAGCCGCAGCAGCAGCAGCAAATGGAAAGAGAAAGCGTCGTGATCATATACATCAACAAGAAGAAGAAGAAGAAGAAGATGATGATAACCTACCAATTGATATCACAATATCAATGCCTATAATGATGAATAGTGATGAGGATGATGATGATGATGACGAGGATGAAGATGATGAAGAGGACGAAGAAGAAGAGGAAGATGATGATACAATTGATGGTCAACAACARCAACAACAACAACAACAACAAC